AGAAAAGTCAGGCTGCAGCCCTTGGAAATCTCGGTAATGTTCATTTATCGAAGGGAGATTACATAAAAGCGTTTACACTTTATCGAGAGCAGTTAGACATTTCGAGAGGAATCGGAGACAAGTTTACCGAGGGAAGGGCCCTCGGGGCTCTTGGTGATGTTTACCATTGTCAAGGAGACACAAGAAAAGCAATTGAAAATTATGAAGCCTACCTTCGTATCGCAAACAGTCTCAACAACAAGCCAGCACAAGCAAATGCCATTGGAAAAATTGGAAGAGCGCAACACTCCCTTGGAGAAAACAGAGAATCACAGAAAAATCTTGAAAAGTTATTACAGCTATCGCAAGAAATTGGCGATAAAGCCACCGAGGGCTTTGCGTATGGTTTCCTCGGAAACACTCACAGATCCCTAGGAAATTTTGAAAAAGCGATTTTCATGCAAAACAAGTTCTTGGAAATTTCAAAGTTGATCGGTGACAAGGCAGCGGAAGGCCTTGCTAATGCCTACCTGGGAAGCATATACTACTCTCTCGGAGACCTAGAAAAGGCCTTGAAACATCATCAATTCAATCTTGCAATAAACAAGGAACTAGAAAATAAAGGAGGTGAAGGGAGATCGGTTGAGAAGGTGGGCAACATTCATTTTGAATTTGGTAATTACAACGAGGCGATTGATTGCTATCAGCAAAGTCTCAGTATTGCCCTTTCAATAAAAGATAAGCCACTTCAAGGTGCCTCATATGCCAATTTAGGAAATGCTTTTCAAGCCCTTGGTATGTATACAGAGGCTGTAAAGTTATACGAAGAAGCTGTACCCTTTGCTGAAGAGGTTGGAGACCAGCGCATGTTGGGACAGATGCTTGGAAATCTAGGAACTGTTTACAACCGAGTAGGAGATTATCAAAAAGAGCTTCAGTGTCATTTGCAACATCTCTCACTCTGTGAAACCTTGGAAGAAAAGCAAGGAGAAGCAACCGCTCATGGCAACATTGGAATGGTCAATTACCGCATGGAAAATTTTAAGCAAGCGATAAAACATAATGAAAAGCAAATCTCTATTTCTAACTCCATAGGAGAAATAGCTGGTGAGATGACAGGATGCCTAAATCTTGGAAAGATTTACTGGAAATTGGATGAACTTTCCAAAGCCATTGAATTTCAGAAAAAAGCTTTATGTTTTGCTGAGAAGATGAAAAGCTTAGACAAGATGGGTTCATGTCACCATGACCTTGGCATTTCTTATTCAAAGTCTAAAGAGTTTGAAACGGCCTGTGATCACTTGGAAAAATGCACTGAATTGTATGCGGAAGTAAGACGACTTCTCTTTGAGAAGGACATATACAAGATCTCTCTTAGTAACGTGCAAGCTACTGCTTACCGTCTCTACACGCAGTGTCTTCTTCAGCGAGAAAAGTACGAGGAAGCACTACTAGTCAGCGAGCGAGCACGTTCTGCTGCGCTTGCTGACATGATGGTTGTATCATACGGTCTTCATAATCCAAAGGAAGGAAAAAGAGAAGCACTCAATGGAGGAAGCCTCCGTGAAGTTGTGTCTCGTCTGGGAGGCCAGATAATCTACTATGCTCTGTCTGGAACTGGAAAGGAAAATGTTGTATTATGGAGTATTCAAGCAAATGGTGCTCCTCAGTTTTTGGGGGAGGCTACCGACTGGAAGAGTCTGCTAGACGAGGCGCTTTCAGAAATGAAAATTAAAGAAAACCCTGTGAAATGTGAAGATCGCTCATTGCCATCGAGAGGAAACACACGTCCTCTTCAGAATCAAGAAAACGATGAAGATGGGCAAAAAACGGATGGCGACCTGCTGTGTTGCCCTCCATCGAAGCGGATCACTCAAAAAGATCGATCAAGTGCATTGGAGAAACTCTATGATGTGTTGTTTTCCCGCACGTTACCTGACCAAGCAACCACAGACCTCATTATTGTTCCTGATGCTGAGCTTCATAGGATTCCTTGGGCAGCGCTTCGAAATGAAAACAACCAAAGCCTAGGGGCGCAGCACCGAATAAGATTATTACCATCCTTGACAATTATGAAGGCAATTTTTGAGTGTCCGCCCAACTTCCATAATCAAAAGGGAGCTGTAATTGTTGGGGATCCAGATGTTGGCTTAGTGTCCTTTAAAGCAAAGAAGATTACAGAATTCATCACAAGACTGGAGCATGCAAACGAAGAAGCTCAAGAAATCGCTAGATTGTTTGGTGTTAAACCCCTATTGGGAGAAGAAGCTACAAAAGCACGTTTCCTTGAAAATCTTGACACGGCAGCCCTGGTCCATATTGCTGCACACGGAAATTCTTTAACTGGTGAAATTGCATTCGCTCCGCCACCAGAAAAACGCAAGCCAGTACTTGACGAAGAAGATGTTGTCCTTACAATGGCCGAAGTGCAGAATGCAAAGGTGCGAGCTAAACTTGTTGTTCTAAGCTGCTGTCACAGTGCAACTGGAGATATCCGAGCCGAAGGTGTCATTGGAATCGCTCGAGCTTTTCTTGGTGCTGGAGCGAGGTCAGTTCTTGCCACCCTGTGGGCTGTTGATGACAACGCTACCCTGGAATTCATGCGCAAGTTTTACCAGCATTTAAAACTTGGTAAAAAGGCAAGTGAAGCTGTTCACCAGGCCACAACTGCTCTTCGGCTCTCTGAAAAATTCCAGTCCCCATGTAACTGGGCCCCCTTTGTCCTTATTGGAGATGACGTCACTTTTGAGAATTTGGAACAGATGTAACAAGATCATACGCAAGGTTAGTAAACTGTCTTGTTAGCCTTTCTTTTAAGACAAAATTTTGCGCATGAGATGAGGGACCAAAAAAAGTGCCAATTGTTTTGTAGTGTTTTCATGAAGTTCTTAGAAGTCCTGATACTGCTGGCTGGGTTGGTATTCCATATTCCACATTTCCTTGACCATGTGGTACTCACTTAGCTGTACTGCTGCATAGATTGAGTCGTTGCCAAAGTAAAATCGGTACCTTACCAAACGAAACAACACATATTTATGCTTGGTGATCTTATATTATTCTACTGGTATTCAACCCTATGGAAAGCAGCAGTGTTCTTGTTCATTTCATCCTATGATGATATTTAGGTTTGGTTTTAATATTCCATAGAGAAGCCCTCATTAGTAACTAAATGTCTATGGCATGTATGCAAATATGGCTGAGGAATAAAAAGATGAAGCCAAGTTCTGTTATCCCTTTCATTCCCAGGATCTCTTAAGTAATTCTCCTTACTGTCTGCCATACAGTTCTCATGATATTAGTTCAGAGAATTTGTTATTGGATCAACTAATAATGCCATAATCGATGTTTTTCTTTATTCTCATCACCTACCTGTGTGATTTTGTATTGATACTGTAAGGTGAATTTCTGTCTTGGTCACTTGTGAGAGTGACAAGGTTATACATTTTCTAAATAGCCTTCTGTGATAAAGGTTTCAAAGTGTTAAATTTTCGGCGAGATTAAGCCTGCATTTCAGCCGTGTGTGAAGAGACGTTTACCAGCTGCCCTTATAGAGATAACCTCCTTGATATAAACTATATATTTGTTTTTCCAGGTAAAGGAAAGAACCCAGCTGGATTAGACACTTTCCAAAACAGCTAGTGTACCAAATTTAGGAGAATCAGGTTCAGATGTATGAAACAAGAAACAAATGAATGTTGTGCGAAAGGGATTCTGATTAGTAATTAGATATGATTGATAGAGTTCTTGTTGTACTGCTAAGGAATGATGCTTTTGATTTCAAATTTCCAAAGAAGACTTAATTTTTGTTCCTCAAATTGCTCCTGATGAGCATGCCATCGTATCTGTGGTCAACAACTGTAGGGATAGGGAAAGGTGTCAAAAGATTTCAAATTAAAAAAAACAACAACAAAAGATAGCTTCCACAACATTATAGTGATAATTCGCAGCAACTTACATGTATCCATTTAGGTGTCAACAATTTACATAACACACTATGATTTTCCTAATGTGATTAAATAGAAAAAAACGCAGAAAAAAAGATAATAGAAATGACTGTAACCTTGTTGTATCAGTCCAGCAAAGAAAGAAATGCTCTGGGACCAAGTAACTTTTAGTATTTAAGCTCATTTTAGGTTAGGAAGAAGGAAACCTGATCATAGAATTCAGAAAGTTAACAGTGCCACCTAGGACTGAGAAATAAATACTATAAGAAACACAAATTTCCAAAGAACACTTAATTTTTGTTCCTCAAATCGCTCCTGATGAGCATGTCATCCTATCTATGGTCAACAACTGTAGGGATAGCTAGGGAAAGGTGTCAAAAGATTTCAAATGAGAAAAAAACAACAAAAGATAGCTTCCACAACATTATAGTGATAATTCGCAGCAACTTACATGTATCCATTTTAGTGTTGACGATTTACCTAACACACTATGGTTTTCCTAACTGGAAATAGAAATAAATAGGAAAAAATGCAGAAAAAAAGATAACAGAAACTACTGTATCCTTGTTGTATTAGTAGAGCAAAGAAAGAAATGCTCTTAGACCAAGTAACTTAAGTATTAAAGCTCATTTTTAAGGTAAGGAAGAAGGAAACCTGATCATAGAATTCAGAAAGTTAACAGTGCCACCTTGGACTGAGAAATAAATACTTATAAGAGTAGAAATGACATAAATACAGTTGATCTAAACTTCATTTTTTTGTTTCAACCTGGAAAATTGTATTGGAATTCTTCATAAAGGGATGGGTCTCAAAGTTTCTTCTGACAGCAACTATCATTTGTGGAAAAATTTTAAGCAGAATCTCTTTGCAACTTGTTTTCAATTTTGTTTGTTTATTTTTTATCTTAAGTTTGTTGGTTCCACATGCCATTCAGATTTTTTCTTCAAGAATCAGTTTCTTGTGGTACCAGAAAATGAGATGAATATGGGCAAAAAATTGCAATTAAGTCTGATTTTGTTCTGTCCCATCATCACACTGCGCACTTCCCACCTGACTCTGACACAACTATACCAAATATAGAAAAGAAAACGACTTTATTCACTACACTTGAAGCTTAGAGCTTCCATTACAATTTGATGCATTTGCTGATAATAAGGAACGCTTCATAAGAAAACTAAATGAAGATTCTGCACTCCTGATGACATACTGTTAACATGTCGAAATTCATGTGATACCTTTATATCATTTACAGTGTTATAAATTGTTTCATGAGAAATGTTTATGGAAACCAATACCAAAATATTATTAGGATAAAAACACTTTGTAGAAATTGATTTGTGTAAAAAAAATATAACACACATTAGGAGGGAAAAAATGACTGACCATTGTTCTTCTCCCCAGAATAAAACATCCAAAACTTGTGCTCCCAAACATACAAGCTGAATTTTTTATTTACAAAAAGTGGTGCACTGAGAAATGTGCTATTCGCTGCCAAATACATTCAATTCTTCTTTGATTTATTGGTGAGCAATTTTAAATCGAATTTTGAAGTACCATTGCTTGACATGCTTGCTATAGGTAATTTTATTGTGCATCAATAGGGACCATGAAAACCTTGTCAACCTCTCGTGATTTGATCCTTTCCCTGAAGAAACAAAATATGATTCACATTAAGATTCCTTTCAGTCCCGAAATATTGCATTCAGAGTTATTTCTGATTAAGTGTTACAAGTAATGTGGGCTTTGTTGGGGTTTTGCTTTACTACACCCTGTGATAGGTCAACAAAGCTCCTGCCAATCTCTCAACCAATCAGATGTGAAATAAACCAAACACTTCTTGCTCCCTAGCATTCTCTTTACACTTCAGCAGGTGTGTTCAGTTTTGCTTTTGAATTCTCATTGGCTCCTTGTATAATTTTCCTTTGCTCTAATTGGGTGCAGTGATTTCTTAAGATTTAGGTTCACAGCTTTATTGAAAAGGGCTGTATGCAAATGTGGGGCATGTTCATGTATCATGACACAGAGAATGATGAATATATGCAGATTAATTGGGCGTAAATTTTTTTGATGTAGCACTGAAAAAGATTCCAAATCACAATGGAATTTTAGAGCTTTTAGCTCTATAGAGTATAGTGAACTAACATAGACCTAGAGAGCACTAACAACACAGATAACAGGAGCGGTTACAAAGTTCAACAGCTCATCCAACAGTGATCAAATATTTGTGCTGTCATGCCGAAGTTGAAAACATTGTACATGTATAGATATCATCAAAGTGAAGTAGGGAAGGGTACTAAATGTGTTTGCATAGTATACTAACGTTAAGTATTTGTCCCGTATGAGGTCGTATCTCTTGGTTTTAGAGTTAAAAGCACTTCTGTGTCCATTATTGTGCTGTGCTTTGTCATAGCGATCCACATCATAACGCCCAGGACCAACAGGATTCTGAAAATTGATTAAAAGTAAAAGGTTAAGGTCATTCGTGTAGAATAGAACCTGCAATGAGATTTTCATCAACATTAGCCCATTGGCTGCCTAAATTGAGATAGTGAAAAAAAGAAACAAGAATTTTCCTTTGAAATATTCACTTTGGATTAGTAGCACCTGATTATAAAAGCTATATTCAAGACCACCAGGCATGATCAGAGTAACTAAATCCATGTTGCTGTCTATCAATCCTTAAAATTTGCTTGGAATTGTTTCATTTTTATTTTACAAGTAAGACGTTATTGCTCAATTCCAAACAAGAGTAAACCAGCATAAAATGACTCCTTCCTTCTCTGGCTAGCTCCTGCTATAGAAAAAGCTATAGTTCCACCTATGATGACAAATGCAATGCTAGGGGTGAACATGACTTTCTTTTGAGCCGTGTTTACTGAATGTTGGCACTATTGCTAACTCTTCTTCCTATGAGGGTGTAGAGACGTACTGTGCTTCCAAGGAAGAATCTTCTGGCATGACGGTCAAATCTTTCAGCAGTTGAACCAAAGGGTGGTCTGACAGTTGCTTCTGGCTTTGTAAGCTCCTGAGGTGAGTAGTTTCCAGGTCCTGGGTCAGTCTAATGTGAAAAAAACTCAAAGGTTATGCACATGTTTGTTTTATGGAAAGATGCTTAACAGAAAGATATCTGAGCCTGCAAACATTGAAGGCCTATCTTGATCTGACTTTGTATTTGGATCATGATCATGCTTAAGTTGCACTAAAAAAAAAACGAGCAATACAAAAGCATCTTAGCCAATCACAACTCTGGCAAACCATGGAAAAAAACTTACAGGGTCTCTTGGGTATTGACTCAGCGTTGAACAATAGATCCTGTTGGTTGGGTATGGCGGGAAACGCTGCACCTTCAAGAAGACTCCATGGTGGTTCTTATGCTTATCTAGAAAAAAGAAAAGTTGAGGAATGAAAAGTCCATGAAAATCCCTCTCCTTGGTTCATTTGCTTAGCCCATCAGATTGTCAAAAATGACTCTAAGTAAGTAAATGCAACATTTTCTTGTGTCACTGTTTCATTGTCATCTAACCGATCAGAGCACACTGCTGTTTATAGTTAACAACCAATCTTGTTTCCATTCACATTATCCAGACATCCTGATGATCTGATTAGTTAATAATGTTTCTTGTTTAGGTTAAGGATGGAGAGGTTCAAGTCATTTTTAATTCTGAATAGTTTCTTGCCTACTGGAGCCAACTGAACATGCATATATATATATATATGAGCTGCAGATAAACTAGTTCCTGTAAAATTGCCTACCTTGAAGCTCGTGTAGGAATGACTTTAAGTCATACTCTCCAGGACCCAAATTTTGCTTTGTCTGAAAGATAAAAATACATGTTGGGTCAAAGACACTTTTTTCAAAGCTTGTGTCAACCTCACACTTAAATCAGGTTATCAGATTCCTACCGGAAGAGCAAAGTAGCCTACAGATATGGGTTTGTTCCTTTCACCAGTGAACAGATCGTAAGGTCCTCTTTTGCTAACCACTCTTGCCTCCATCTCATCTGTGAAACTCTTCATCTCATACTGTCCAGGACACAAATGACTTCCCTATTCAAACATTTCAAAGAAGAATATTGATAAGTGTTTTGGTGGTATTCACCAAACAATTTAGCATAGCATTAACAGACAATTATACATACCACTTCTGGCAGCTGCCTAGACACTTGTAAGGCTGTCCAGAATTCAACATTCAAACATTTCAAAGACAAATATTGTTAAGTATTTTGGTGGTATTCACCAAGCAATGTAGCATTGATAGGCAGTGTACATACCACTTCCGGAAGTTGCCTCTTGTAAGACTTTCCAGAATCCAGCATTCCTACATTACTGACTGACTTTTGAACTTTCTCCTCAATCACAGCACTTGGTATCCCTCCCTTACCATAAGTTCCTGGCCCTGGCACATGACTCTGAAGCATTTCAAAAACAAAAGATAAAAAAGAAACGCATTCCCTGTAATTTTTAATTTAGTGCCATCTGTGGGTATTTGCACACTTAATACAGCGTCAATTAGACATTTTGGGAATGCTTAACCCTTTCAATCCCAAGATTTCATTTAGTAATTCTCCTTAATGACTGTCATACAATTCCTATGATTTTAGTTCTGAGGATTTGTTATTAGAACAACTTATAATCCCCTACTTTATACTTCTCTTTGTTCTCATCCCTTGTCTGCTTGATATTGTATGGATATTGTGAGGAAAAATTCTGTTTTGGTCACTCATGGGAGTTAAAGGGTTAATTATTACGTATAGGCTCAAATATAGCCCCTTCCCTAACAACACCCTTTTAGTTGAGTCAAAGACCAGACTTGAGAAAAGCATAGGGACTGAGCACACCACAAAGAGGGTGGATCTGAAAGTACATTGACTAGTAAGGTAAAATGATCATGTAAACTTCCATCACAGACCAGTTAGATGTTGAACTGGAATTCTATAACTTATGCTGGCTAAGAGGATTTTAACCCTTTCCACCCTAACACAAGCATGCATATTCTCCATGATGTTCCCTATACATTCCCTAAGGTGCTGATAAGGAGAATTTGTTTCACAATCCAAAGCTTCTCTAGTTGGTGATCATTTCCTTTATTCTCGTTACCTTAATGTGAGATTTGGGGGTGATATTGTATGGAGAAACTACCAGTATATGCTTTTCACTCCAGGGGGTCACAGGTTTAATACAATTTGGCAGTGTCAAATAACAATTAATATTATTGATCAGACACTCAAGTAACACACCAGTTTTGTGGCATCAAATCTTGCTTCTCTGGTTTCACAAACACCTCTTGTGCTCCCAGGCTTTTTGCCCATGTGATCAATAAAATCAGTGATGGTGTATGTCCCAGGACCAAGAAGTTGCTTCTGTTGAAGTAAAAAAGAGTTGAAAACTTGAATAAGAAAAAATTACAAGTAAAACAACTAGATCCAAAGTAAAATGATTGTAACTGTGCTACAAACTTCTTAATAGATTAAAGGCAACAGATAAAATGGAAACAATTTGGTGAATAATTGGAGAGGAAATATTCTATCTTAGTCTAGTCCAAGGATTTACATTTTACACAAAATATGCATTTTTCCAGATGTAACCATCAATTATTGATCCAGCTTGTGTTTAAATTAGCATAAAGCATTTGCATGTAGTTACCTGTAGTTGTTTCTTTTCCCATTGTTCTTTGTACAAGAGATGAGGTATTTTTGCAAGGCGAGCTGTTTCAAATGCCCTTTCCCATCCTAAGGATTGACATCAAGTATAGCCAAGATTAATTTCATGAATAATGTATATGAGGGAAGCCTCAGCTAATCAAGTACTAGATATAGTTGATGACAGTTGGTCAATGGTTGGTAGATTGTTGTTTGCCACTGACAGATGACTGACAGTCCACTAACATCTCTACCAAGACAATGGCTGACTATTGGTGGAAAATTTCTCAATAACCAGTTGGCTAGTGGCTGATCATGGAGTGACTTCATGAATCAACTGATAATCACCAAATATACCATTGGTATCCATCATCTATCCACAAGAAGACTAACAAATACTGTAAGTGAACACATATCAATCAAGACTACCTACAGTTTAAACCATCCAATTTGAACTTAAATCTCTTTCATTACTATGTAATTGTCCATAAGCAGCCATTATGAATCTCTTGGAAGCGTGGAGTTCTTGATTTTCCAACTAAAATGAAGTGGCAGATAGTTTGCAGCAAGTTCTTCCAAACAGAATCATGGGATACTTGTCCACTTCGTGGGCAGTTATAATTTCATAGAAAATGAAAATTTAAAAGAAAATAATCTTTATACCCATTGACAAAAAAAAAAATGCATATCTTTACCAGGACCAGAGGATCTTTCAGAAACAGACTTGGGATTAAATCCACCCACATCAATGTTATATGAACCTGGTCCGAGGCGGCGATTCTAGTGCAAGAATAAACTGTCTGTTAATTAACAGCAAAAACTTATCACTTGTATGACCCTCCCTTACCCATGCTGCAATTTAGAAAGTCTCTGAAATAGTTTTTTTTCTAGCATCAAGCTATTGTAACAACCAGCAGCTATCTCCAATAAGCATTGAGACTGGCTGATTTCTTAAAATTAAAATTGTGGGCAAACTTTGTATGATGATTTTCAGCAGAATTTATGATGGCATATTGCAAAACAAAACATCAGTAGATGTTGTATTTTGTCATAAAATGTTTAGCTCTCCAGTTGAAGTGAGTGAAGGTTTAAGCACCCCAGAGGAGTTAGACCTCGTACATTCTTATGCAGCATTACTTAAATAACCAAGAGATAACCCACCACTTCTTGCATGCATTTCTTGTCATATGCTACTTGTGTTATTGTTCCAGGCGTTTTGCTTTTTGGGTGAATTCCAGCGACATCAAACCTGCAAATCAAAATTAATTGAAACCCAAAGTGTGATTAGAGCGTATTTTTACTGAGCATCTCTACAGAAAATTTTGTCACATTTAACTGTGATTTCCTCGTGTATACTTTACCATAAAAATTAAAAAATCAAAACTCTTTTGGAGGCTTTCTTGGTAAAATGTTCAGAATGTCACATGCCCCCACTGAGTAAAACTTTTAACGATGAAAGCTCTCTCAAAATTAATCAATACACGATATCATTGTGTGTTGTCAATTAACTTTATCTATTAATTGTTTGGGTGCATTCCAGAATATGTTGACAAGCCTGAACGAGTATTGCATGACCACGAGTGAAGCACGAAATTCTTCAGTTTACTAAGATCTTAAAATCTGAACTCAAAGCTTCCTTTGCTTTCTTTGATAATGCTTCAAGAATAAAGAATGAAGAAGGAATAGGCATAGGTATAATGAAGTCATTGATTTCGAAGAAACAGACTCGCGCGCAATTAACTTTGACACCAACTTACTTGTAGCGTTAGTAAATCGCACTCACCTCGAAGTCTGTACTCCGAATGGTGCCCCAGAAAATTTCTTCTGAGACATATTCGCTGGCCGTCATCAACCGTGATTCATAAGTTTTTTAGATTACATATCTTCAGATCAATATGTGACTTCGCTTGATGACTCCGCGTGAAAGAAATATTGCTTAGCAACACCGGAAAACGCCAGGCGATAATCTCGACGAGTGAAGGAGGCCAGGCTGCATCAACATCCGGAGTTGACCGCTGTGTCGTATTTCCTGCTCAGCTAAATATTTCTGTTCTAGGACACAAAACAAAAAATGAACGAAAAGCTCAAAGCATTTCCCCAAAGTTTTTGCAAAAGATCTTCATTTGGTTTGTCTATTTTAAAAAGTAGGATTTTTCTTTCTGAGACAATTACTCTCCTTATCAGTCGCTGTTTTTTTTGTCATGCAATGCACTCTTAAAATCAGAACACGTTGCGTGATGAATTAAGTAACAGCTGCAAAGGAGGCCACGATAACATCTACAGAACGAGAACTCACCGAGAGTGAAGTAGAAAAGTTGCCTCTTCAAAAGTGCCATCCTTAGATCGCTACTGATCTTTGATTCGTGGTCAGCGTTCAGCAAAGGTGGCGGACGTGTTTTGCTGACTGCATCTCAGTGATATGTCTTCAGTTCACTGCTCAAAGCAGATTCTTACAGCGTATTCAACCTGGCAATAGAACCTTTGTGGAATATTTAACAAATTCACAATGCGACAGCTTTTATTTATCACCAACAGAGGTTGAGAATATTATTTCTAGCCTAAGTACAAGTAAAGCACTGGGGCCACATAACATTTCAGTTTTTTCTTGTTCTGTATATTGTGACCTTTGTACCAATTTATGATATTTATGTGTACCAATGTATTTGTTATTCCTCTTTCCTGACTCTCACATTTTTAATTATCATATTTACGGTCACCCAACTATTTTAGCTTTTTAGTTATTTTGGGTGTCCCACTACTGTATGTACTGTTTATTTATTTATTTATTTATAATTATATTGTTGTAAATTCTTTTAGTTGTTTACAGTAGAAGAAAATCAACTGTTGATATTCTGCACGCGCTTACGAAAAAAAAAACAGTAGTTACGTCTCTATGACGTAATGCTTAGGCATTTAAATCCAACAAAGTAAAGATCAAAGCGATTATTCTATTTCAGTTGTAAACGAAATCTTACATGGACCTTCCTTACAGGAACTCGATAACTCCTGTAAAGAGACCTTGTCATCAGACTGGAAGAGATCACTCTTACATAAAAGATCCCGTACATGAAGGCCACGCCCAACATGGCGATAACAATCTTCAACTTGTGCACTTGCTCACAACAAACCCTGCAGCTGCTCTACCGGCAATATTTCCAGGAAGCGGAAATCAAAGTCAAGTTAACGTTCGCCCAAAATACCGATTTTTGAACTGTCCAAGAATATCCAGTGCAAGTAACAGTTACAGATGGGAAAATAACTACAGTGTTATGGACGGCCGGCGAATTATGGTGAATACTTGGGCAGCTAATAAGATGAATGAGAGAGTACCCCTCGGAAGCCAGCGCTCCTTCTCGGAGCTTTATGTGACCAAGGAAGAAATGGATAAAAAGGCTTGTTGCCTTGATAACGAAGGGAATTTTAACTTTGACGCTCTTCTACCAGCTGTTTATTGGAGGCCACAAGAGGAGAAATTTCACCCTCTTGAGTGATATTTAGGTCATTCGTAACTCAGCGAAATTATTTGTTCTGTGTTTCTGAAGTATAAAAGCAGTGAAAAAAATAGAAATAATACCAAAACAGAACTACGGGAAAAGCGTATCAAAATCAGCTTAAGAGTTCAGTAAAAATGTTATGTGCAGATGTTCCCTTTTTCGGAAAATGGCTTTCGAAGCCATTTCTGAGTTTTCACTGATAGCGCTGAAAATTATTTGTTTGAAGGCATGACTGAAGTACTGCAATCAGTTAGTTTATACAATGATAAAAACTCCCTCGAGCAACGACTTTTCGATCCACGCAAGCGGCCTGTATATTGATCGTTTCTCTAGATTTTTGATCAGTTTATCAACATGAACTTAAATTGTCTATTTGTCATCTGATCTAATAAAGTTTTTAAGATCAGTCGCCTTACAGCCGCTTTGACAAAACATTTTCAAAGACTGTACCTTTGTGCCGGGGGAAGGTGAAATACGTCTTAACATCCTGGTTTGCCGTAAGTGAAACTGATGAGTTTATAGATGTTGAATCTAGAGAAAAAAAAAGTTTAGGTATCTTTTCATGTTTGAGTTAGGTGTCTGATGCAGCCCGAGGGCGACTCCGCCGTAAGACTTCATTTTGTAAATTAATAAGTATTTGTTTTTAGATCATATTTTTCCTTTAAAGTAAGTAATTCTAGAAGACAAGATTGCCAAGTATGATTTTTCCATAACGAAGGAACATATGCATGCATTTGGAAGTCAGTGTAAGGGAGACCACAATACCTTTCCTCTTTATATCCCCTTTTCTGCCCCTTTTCTCGTTTTTTTTTTGTTTTTGTTTTTTTGTGGGAGCTACGGTTACCTAAGCAACCAATTGGGATTGAACTTCAGGTAATTACGGTTTCAAAGTGACTTTGTTTTGTCGCCATCTTTTTTCTGAAGCTATCACTTTTTACCCATTTTCCCAAGCACTCTTACCACACAGTGTTACCTGAAGTTGATGAAAGTAACCGTTCACAAATTCACCGTCACAGATAGCTTTGACTTCAGCCAGTTTAATAGTTCTTCAATGTCACTGCGTTGAGACTGTGCAAGTAAGGTGCCTTTTAGTAAGTGGAGGTGGCTATCCATTAAGATGATGTTGTCATTTGCATGACTTAGCTATGAAATCGTTAAACCATTAATTATTGTAAAAGCAGCATTTGTGTTGGTAAGTCTTTTACTAGGTGGAAACTCGCAGATTCCTCACTTGAATTAGTCTACTTGAAAAAACAAACAGTTAACTCCTTTTCATAACTTACACTAAACAGGCTGCTTCTGACAAGAGGTATGGCTTCAACAACACCAAGATATGATAGTGACTGCATGAAACTGTCATATACCTGACTTCACCCCATCATACATGACATCCAGCTTGGAGTCAGTGGTTGGTTGTTTTTCAGTTGAAGAAAGGATTTGTTTGTTAAGTATGTCTTTGCTAACAACAAAGAAATAACTGTACAAGCATTACTGCCTTGACAACCCCCAATTGTTGACTGAGATAGGAAGGCTGGCAGTTCCCAGAATGTGACTGATTGTGTTGTTGAAGATGGAACATGTATTGAAGTGGATTGAGGTGGTACACTTAAGTTAGAAAACTGTTGTTGAGCTACTGATGGTGTTGTTGTTGAGATTGATTGTGTGATTGTAAAAGGTAAGGGTGGATAAGGTGAGAACCTCAAGATCTTTGGTGGCAAGGTTACCCACAATTGAAAAGTAGTTTTGGTGTGAATTTACAACTGAAGCAGGCCTTTTTGCGCTATGTCCTCTTTCTTGAGTTGTCCTGTGTGGAACACTCGGTTGTGGTATAATCAGCTGTTCCATACTTCTACTTATCATATTTCCCCTGTCATGGGACTTGTAAAAGTCTGAATACCTAGAGGCATGTGTTGCTAGCTGGCTTTTGGGCTGTTCACGACTATTGTGGCTGTCTGCAATGTTGCTACTTGTATCATGCTCTATAATACCTTTATTGAAGGAATCACCTACTTCATTTACTCTTGTTAGAAAAGGATCATTGCTCCATCAAATGGATGGGCAACTGCTATGGCTGGGAGACTTGATGCCATATGAATTGCCACATTAACTTTATCAGTTGGTTTAGTAGGCATATTCATAACATGAAAGTCATCAATAAGATGGATAACAAGTTTTTTGGTCTTAAAAAAAATTAATATCCATTTCATTGATTGCTTATGTTTTTACAAAAGTGTTTATGTTTATTGTTCATTCTATTTGTTCTGCTTTATCCTGCAGGCTGTCAGCACAGTTTTTTCCACAACTTCCTCATGGTTGTTTTGCCTACTGCTGTTTAAACATGTCGTTCATACATATTCCACTGCTAAGGTCCAAGACTCTCCCTGCAGTCTGTGTAGACCTGGTTAACCCATGAATATCAAGGAACATTTCAGCTTATTTCTGGAGCTGTGATGTTTTCTGAGATCTAAGGGAAATTGCATATTATCCTGTTATCATACTCAAGAACAAAGGTTGTTTTTTACCAGTGACTGCTGACACTGTCAGAATAAAGCTGACATGGAAATTTTGTAAATTATATAAAATGTAATAATTTTTTATTCTTCTAATGGCAAAACTTTAGGCATGTAGGCAACTTGTGAAGTAGTGCAACTATTCTTTGCTGCTGTGAATGTGAATGCCTCTCACTGGTGGCATGTCTATCTGCACTCACTATTGTACTGATGTAATGATGATGTGAGGATGTAAAAGAGATGTGGTGCACAAGTCTCACAAAGTGCCTGCATATCATCAGATCTGTATAGAGATTGACCCGCACTCTCATAGTGCCTGTACAAGGCTGACTGAAATATTTCCACCAGCTCTGCAAGATTATATAGAAAATGCAATAATAATGTATTTGACCACTCTGTAAGTATTTTTCAACAATGAACATGCAGAACCTTTATCAGTGTTATATTATTACCTGATGGATGTTGTCATGGAGATGTTTAACCCTGCAAGTGCAATCATAGCATAACTATGATTATTAGCAACATGGTGGATTGGTTACCTTTCTTAGATTATGTCCAGGCATAAGTAAGGTACTTACTGTGATTAATGTTGAGAAATTGGATTTACCAGCCTGTGCACCAATTTCCTGACTCTCTCTGTTGAGCTTTTGAATTGTGGTAGAGCAGTAAGTTTTGCAGCATACATTTAACTGTCATAGCTTGTTAATCACATTGACCATCTGTCAAATCTGCTTGGAACTCCTGCTGAATTTTGCATGGCACCCATCTACATTTTGCATGAATTTTTTTGTTTAAGTTATTGATCTTCTCATGGAAACAAGGTGATCATATGCTTTATTGTTTATTATGTAAATGGGTGAAGTATGTAAACCCAGGTTATCCAGCAGGAAATGAAAGCCTTTGAATATAACTACCTAAAGTAAAGTGGTCCTTGAGGAAAATATTTTGTCAGCATTGCTCCAACAACTTGTTCACCACATTGTCCCTGGTTGATAACAAGCCTCACTTTTTCCAGCATTGTCAAGTTTGTACTGTCTCATGGGAATAGGTGTATCACTCAGAGGGGAAGAATGTGAAAGTAGTGGGCACGATCTGGTGTTGCTCCTTTTTCGAATTTCTGATAGTGACATTCAGACAACATTTCCTGGTTCCACCTCCGCCACGAGTTATTTTAGTGTTAAATGCAATTATGCTTCCTCTACAAGAAGAGCTCTGGCGTGTTTTTTCTCCCAAACAACAAACCTTTTGGCCGGGTAGTTTGCCATACTGAGGAGACGATGAAAACAAGTGCTAACAATACGGAGGGCTACGAAGTTCATCGCCATGTTACGACCGCTCCACTTCAATACTAAAATTCACACCTGTGCCCTGAATATTTTTTTTGTTGGGAAAGATATGTTGCAGAGCAGGTTCGAAAGAAACTTTCTTGAAAGTGGGAACCTTATCTGTCAAGGCTAGGGCTTATCCCCGCCAAATAAAAACAAAGAATATGAATTTTTAAAATGCCGCCATATCGTCGCTATAGTGTTACTATGGAAATATTGTCATTCCCATTCCTTTTCGCGCGTAAATTTTCAAGCATGCGCACTCACTTTGCCGCTGTGTCAACAGGTCAGCATTAGACATAGTTTGAAGCTACACTGGTTTGCAGATTTAATGAATGTAACCGAAGAAGTTACAGTTCATAGACCCAACGTTTCGACACTCCTGTCTAGTGCCTTCATCAGGGGTGATCTAAACGCTGCAACAAGAGGTCCTTTTATACGATCACTAATTAGCGGCCTTTTTTCTGACGAGGTGTAAATAGGCGTCAGGAAGCAGACCGCCATCGTCACGATTTAAAGGAGCGGGGGCGGAGTTGGATTCCATCCACCAAAACCACCTTGGTCGAGAGGGACTGAGATGGAATGATGGACAACTCATGACTTGTTATACTAAATTAAAATTACGAAGCTACGACAACATGCCGACTTATCCCGATGACCTAAGTGTATTATTTGTTTGGGAAATTGCGTCAAAACTTTTTACTCAAGAAATGGTAAGTATTAATTTATTGTTCGATTGTAGTATCATAAAACATTTTACGCAATTTTATGCAGATATTTTACGTATTTAAAAGGTGCCCAGATGTTACGTAGTTTTGGTGGATGTCATTAGGGAACATCCACCAAAACTTTGACCAAAACCATCAACAATATATTTTTTTAATTTTATCTATAGCCACTGTTAGATGTTCAGAGAGACAAAAGATTTATACCACTAATTAGCAGTTAGTGCTCTGGCTAATTATTTTTTATGGTGCACAATTGCTGACCGACCAAACGTTCATAATGATTATCATAACTCTTAACACATAGAATAAAGTGGTTTTGGTGGATGTTTCTTTCCATCCACCAAAACCACCATAGCAATTTCTGCTACTTCCTTACAGAAGACTGGTGTGACCTGCTATTTGGAGTACATAACCACAATCTATTTCTTTGTATGTAGAGATATTTTGCAAAGTTCTTGAGTCAGCACCTTTTATTATTGAAACCATAATCATAACATGGTGCACAATATAGAATACAAAAGGTTCTGGTGTGGCAATCATGTAATCTTGAAACAGGAGAGTTTATAACTGACTTAAACTGACTTAAACAGACATTTGCAACAAAATTCCAGGTCCAGAAATTTCTTCCACTATTTCCGCTAAAATCATAACCTTTAAGTACAACAAATCAGCACATCAGTAATTGTTATCAGGGGTCTGATAATCCTATCAATCTTTCACATTTATTTAAAGTAACCTTTAATTTTGCATGGATGAATAAGTATACACTCAAGATGCAGAATGTCTTACATTTTACAAACTATTTCCCTTTTTATGGATAGACAGTGAAAGGCCTTTGCCACATTGGTGAATCAAACCATTGTATACCATGCATTTTGTGATAATTGTTTGTTTTTGCTCACAATATCCAGAAAAATGGAGGGGATAAATCTAAATAGCAAATTCTATTAATGGTTAAAATTAAATAACATTGGAAGATCAAATTAACTTTGTACTGTTTAAAATTCAGTTTTGGTTTCTTGCTTATTCCAGCCTCTTAATATTCAAAAGCATTCCTTGTCATTTTTGTGTTCTTCTGTGTATACAACTTGAAAAATAAACACAGAGAAAGGAAACCACAAAGGATTAAACTTGAAGCTAAAGCAAAGTTTAAGTTGAGCCATAGCTGATCCAAATACTGAGCACTTTGTATTGTAACCCATTTAGCAGTAAAGTTTATCTATATGTCTGCCAGCTTGTCACAAGTCTTACCCCTCTCCTTCAAAAGTCTCTATAAATAAATTTTTCTTTGTGGTCCCTAATTGATGATAAGTATATTACAGCTCCTCAATTTCCTTCTCTCAAGACAAGGTTACTCTAAATTTAACAAAGTAATGGACTTGATAAAACTCAAACTATAACTCAGCTGGCTGCTACTTGCAACCTTAATTTCTTGATACCAGTATACAATAATCAATATGTTATAAATAAGAACCCTAATGCTTAATTTAGTAGTGATCACCTTCCTCCTTTTCATTTGCAGACCAGACTGGAACCTATATAGGTGTGTTTGCTTGTTTTGAGTGGGGATGGAAGAAAAGGAGTCATGCCTTATATCTGATTTATTAAACTGGATTTGTTCTGTTTATACATGAGTATAACTACCTTGTTCTCTGAAAAAAATAAAATTTATTGCATTTTTATCTGTGCTTTGCAGTCAAACTTCCTTGTGTCTTGGAAAAGAAATCTTATTTTCTTGAAAACAAAATCTTTGTTTTCGGCCTTCTGTAATAGGTAAATATAACAGTGTAAGATGAGTGACAGTGTATTTCTCAAGTTATTTTTTGGAATGTGACAAAATGGAAGTGTCATAGCATGATAAGGAGCCAACATATGATTGCTTGATAGAAAGCAAAAAATGCAGAATTGCATATATTTTCTCCTTTGTCAGCAGCATATGTTAGTGAAAAGTTCTTATAATTGTTAACTTCTAAACCATCTTCAATTTAGCCAAGATTGAAGTGTTATCACGTTTGTCCTAAAAGTATTCTGAGATCGATGTCATATGACCCATTCATGTATTTGACCTTTCAAATTAGCAAGCCATAGTTGACAGTAACACAATGGTTGAGGATAAAAAGAAATTATTATACACAGTACTTCTTCTGCATCTTTTCGTTTCCTTTTCTCTCCAGTTGTTTTATCTAATAGTCCATTTTACAGTTGTATGCTTGGTTGCCAAGTTTGAACAGGAGTTGGCACCTTGTTATTGAAATGCAAATTAATTTGTTATCTTTAGATTCTGGTCCCTAACACAACAAGGTCCCTTCAGCCTCAAAATCAAAGGCTAGGAAAGGCACACCAGTGTGAAAAACGAATTTATGCTCCTTAAATATCTCATGCATCTTCCCCCAGTATTTTGTGACTTCTGTCCGAGGAAGGAGATGTAAGCATTAAGTTAACCCGAATGATTCCACAATTGTGGTATCATCCAAGCCATGCCAGAGGACTTGAACTAGATAAACTAGTGAGAATGCACAATAGCGATAGCAAAGCTTTGTAATGCCAAAGAGCTATATCAATATATATGTATATATATATACACCGGTGTTCCCGAAACCTTTGACAGCTTTAAAGAAAGAAAACTTCGTCGTCAATCCTGTTTCAAATTCCGCAATAAGTTTATGCGCCTCATCAACAGAATATACGTATCCTAAATTATCTGCATGTCTACCATCAAGCAATGGTTCGCGACTTAAAATTCTCGCTATGCTGTTTCTGTTTGTTCCTCAAGAATCATGGGATTTACAGCTTCGGATGTTCGGCTACATCACTTGCGGATTTCCGAGAATCTTCGGTTATGTTTTGCAAGTCATTAAATATTCCGTCTCAGTCCCTCTCGACCGAGGTGGTTTTGGTGGATGGAATCTAATGCTGACCGTGTCAACAAAATGTCGAAAGCAGGTAATTTAGTGTTAACAACTGGGTTGAAAACGCCATTGGTGGGAATATGGTGACGTCACACAACCCACAATTCCTCTAATCGCTCTGACGAAGGGCTAACGCTCGAAACGTCAGCTTTTTTACCCTTCACGGTGGCTAATTTACGTTTTAAACCCAGTTGTTAACACTAAATTACCTGCTATACTCTCCCACCGACGCAGCACCACAGTTTCTTTAGAAACTTACCCCTTTATTCAAATGTCGAAAGCGCCAAACAAATTTTAAGCGCATGCGCATATGAATTGCCCCACCCCCACTCCGTTCCGCATCCGTCTCAGCAAGCAAGGAATATATTTGATGGTGACGCTATTCGCTTCGTCGTTACGATTCTTAACTTCCTCGAGATGAACACAGCAATGGACGCAATTTTTTTTCTTCCCTCGCTTATGTTCGGTTTAAGTTTACTTCGTGCTTCTTTCGCCAGATGTCCGCCGTCTGAGTACAATGCCCCGAATGGTACTGTTCACCATTCAGGCTTCACTGATGACAACAACCTTACTTGTGCCTTCAATATACGAGTTCCAGTCGGCTTAAGAGCTGTTCTCGAAATTAAGAAACTGAAAGTAATGGGAAGGATGCCGAACTGTGAAAACGGTTCTTTAGAAATAAGAGTGGGGTAGGTGCTATGTTTTATTTCTTTTCGAAAGAGCGTTAAATGGCGTGATCGAACAAGTCTTGCAATCGTTTTTAAATCGAATGCGAAAAAATTTCTTGTTTTTACGCCAATATTGTATAAACCTAACTTAAAAGCACGCAAGCATCGGGTAAGTCCTATATATTCTCTTTTAATGCGGACTTTCTTGAACTTTTCCCTGATCCAGAAATTATACTTTGGCCTTCAATTCCATGCGTGATTCTCACTTCGTATTTCCGTCGTTGAATGTGGCTGGATGTGCAAATAGTTCGTTTTCTTGTTAAGTTCAATATAAAATCAGATGTTAAAGTCACATCTTTCTCTCTGACATTAGTTTTGTTCCTATTATGGATTAGAAGTTTGCCGCCTAGTGCTTTTAGAAAGCTCTAGTGATTTCTGATTTACATGTAAGGACTAGATCCTTGTATTGCATTTCCTTAACCTTTTAACTCCCAAGAACTCCGTAGTAATTCTCCTCATTATCTGCCATACGGTTCTTATGATGTTAGTTTGGAAAATCTGGTATTGAATCAACTTATAATCTCCCAATTGATATTTTCCTTTATTCTCATTACTTGTCTGCTTGATATTTTAAGGAGAAATTCTGTCTTGGTCACTCATGGGAGTTAAAGGGTTAAGAAACTCAAGGAGAATTGTATGTTGCATCAAACTTTATATAATCTTTTATTTCGCACATCCCTTGAATTGAATATATTTGTTACACAGCACAGAGGCTGATATCTTAAAAGAGGTTGAACATGTTGTGTTAATAATTTATGCCAAGTTTCACGGAATTTCTCCAAAACAATCTTTGCACCTAAGTGAAATATGCATGAAACATTTTGCACTTTGTCTTTTTAGATGCAGTGGAGAGTCCTTATCTCTTGGAAAGTTTTGCTCTTGCTCAGAGTTGGTCATACCTGAGAAAATCTATTCCTTGGACCAATGCATTACTGTTGTTTTTAGACCTTATGGGTCAGTTCCGGGTGAAGAGTTTGAAGCATACTATACATCTATGGATAATACCACAGAACTGGATCCCACCTCAAACTGCAGGTCTGTAAATAAGATATAATTTTATTTCACATTGTAATTTGTTTCATGGGAGGGCATGATATCTCACAAGTGAGCACATCAAATAAGTGAGATATTGAGTTGAACACAGGGAGAGATATTTTATATACAAGTACCTACATATTATTTTGTTCATTATATAAAGCCAATAGGTCATTATTGACAAGAAAAGTTTAGTTTATGAATGATTGAATACTTTACCATCAATTTGTCAACCTGACAGACTAGCGCTAAAGGTAAATGAGTGTCAGTAGCTGATTGACAATATCAAACACACTGAAAAATTATTGTTATTTTACATGTGTGCAGTTATGGCTTTTCTTAAGGCTGGAAATACTTGTTAAACACTGCTGTTTGTATAATCCTCCTTTTTACATAATTAAAAATGTTTTTTCTACCTGTTTTGATTTGTAGCAAAAAGTTTTTGGGTCAAGGAAGTGGAACATTGTTTACTCCCAAGTGGCCGTTGACTTACATTCAAAATGCTTATTGTGAATGGAGTATTTCAGTTCCACAAGGGAAGGCAATTCGCTTGTTTTATACAAGCTTTAAATTGGGTGGATATGCTTTGTGTGACCCAGATAGGAAAGATATTGAAGATGAGATACGCATCACTGGTAAGTGCACTATAATTTGTCAATTCAGTATACCATATTTCAATGGCCTGCTTAATTAAAAAATTTTTTTGAATTGAAATCATTAACCTCTGTTTGCACCTAGAGATATGATAAATATCTTAACAACCTTGTTTCTTTGGTCTGTACCGTAAGTTACAGAACCTTGTTTTTCTGAATGTATGGCTTGCATGCTTTGCACTCAGGGCATAAATGGAAATAAAAAAAAGCCACCTCAAACTTGGTTACTAATTGTAGTAGTCGAGGGGTTGGAAAGAGCAATCTCTGGCGGTTCCTTCCGTTAAGTTTTTGTATAGCTTTCTGGACAAATTTGGCATTTGTGTGTTTTAAAAAGATAAACTAGATTTGTGAAGTGGCTAGAATTTATGTGCTCAATAAATTGAAACAATAGCTACATTGAACTTTTATGAAAAGTCTTATAATAAAATGTATGCAGGACATCATTTGTCTCTTAGGTGAAGCTTTAGTTCATCCCTGCTGCCTATGGCCTGAGCATGCTGGGAAACTTTTGGTCTGTTTTGTGAAAAATCTGTCACCAATTCTGTGGTACAAGTGCAGAAAGTAATTTTTAGGTTCCTAACTAATTTTGTCAAGCCATACTTATCTTCAAAGGCACCATCATCTTGCTTCAGAGCAGGATGAATTTTTGTCAGGCATTGAAATCTGACAAATTTGTCAATTTTTGTAAGCCATGAGTGGAAGGAAACCATTGATCAAGAAAGTTTGATCTTGTTTTTAAAATGGAAGTCTTTCAGGCAGTCAAGGGGTCAAAATGTATAATTTTTGTGCAGAAATCCAGCAATGAGATTGAAGATTCCCACATGGGGGTGCTTTGATGCTTTGCTCAGTTTGTATATCTGTGTGATTGACTGTGTTGTTAGCAAATATCTTACTGTATTTCAATGTGACCTGAATTGATAGAAGGTTGAGACAAATTTTGAGACAACTTTTATTATTTTTTTTTGGTGGAACCAAACAAATTTATTCAGCCTAGTGCTTCTTAGCCCTTTTTTGCTCTCATCCTTATCTCTCTTTTGGCTTTCTTTATCTTGTTTATTGTTGCACTTCAAGTTTGCCAAGAGCACATATGCAGAAAAATGTTTTTGTTATTCATTTTCTTTATATAATACATTTGATTGTGCTATTGTTTTGCTCCTTTGACAATTTACCTTTTGTTTCATGTTGACTCTTAAACCTTTCTGTTCATTAAAGCTTTCAAGAACTGGGTACCCTGTTTTATGGGCAGAAGCCTGTGGACATGAGTACAGGACATTTTGCACAAAAGACTTTTCGCACAAGTCTTTTAGCACAAGTTTTGGACCGTTTGCACAATTCTTAGTGGTCATTTCGCACAATAATTATAAGTGAGAAACATCAATATAAAAGGTATACTAATTGATACTGATAAGACATTTCACCTTCACATGTCACTTTCAATAAGATCCTATGGTGAGAACATAAACATTTATTTACACAATAACTTCAACTAGATTGAAACGCTTGTGAACACGATCACTATTCTTACTTGAAGAAAGGAACAAATCTTTCTCTCTATGAAAATGTAAAGAACTCCCTATTCAAACGATTACTTCTTTTACTTTTCCTTTGTAAACGAAAAACCTTTTAGTTTTGACAGTACATCATCCACTACAAACATATGAACATGATGACCCAACGCTAAGGACGCCATGTTGATTTCGAAAGTAATTGTCACCAATCCTCCCTCCTCTGAAGTCAAAGTAAAAACCTGCAAACTGTTTCACTTTTTATTTAAAAGGAGAAAAGACCTATTTACAAAATTTCTGTGTAAATATATAAAATTCAAGTTCGTGGCCATGTTACCCGACGAATCATGCATATTTTAACTCGCTACTCAGCCAAGACTTGTAGAAATTTAGCCCTTTCCTACATTCATTTAAGCTATAGTACATCTAGATTTCTTTATTTGTTTTGATCTTAAGTTTATATGATTACTTATCGGACGGCTAGTGTATAATCTTTGAATTATTTTGAATTCTTGAAACTTTCATGAAATCATTTGTCTACATCACGGTCGCTATGATGCTTAACGATTGATACTGAACTCTCCATCGCTTAGGTAATTATTATTAGAATAATTTGAAAGGTTACTACTTAATAGATGTATTAAAATTTATGATCTGTAAAATGATACAGATTGAGCTTGTCTTTCTACAAGATCACTAGTTACTACCTACACTGACACATTCAAGTTGTCAAATCACAACACTTGCACGTGCCGACATTCGATGTGAATCACTCTCTGAATTTTGAGTTATTAACGTTGAACTATTTTTGCTGAAGGTACTACCAGTATGCCTAATTTTCATTATAAAACGTAGAAGTTATTATGTAAATAAATGTCTACATTTTCACTGTTGGATCTTGTGAAGGTGAAATGTCTTATCAGTATCAATCAGTATACCTGTTACATTGATGTTTCTCACTTATAATTATTGTGCGAAATGACCACTAAGAATTGTGAGAATGGTCAAAAACTTGTGCTAAAAGACTTGTGTGAAAAGTCTTTTGTGCGAAATGTCCGGTTACTGTGGACATCCCTCACCCTTGGTTCTCTAGCTACAACCTCAACGATAAACTTGAAGTGAAGCCTAGAGCTTTGACTCCTAATCAGCATTTTCTTACTTCAAAATGTAAGCGCATGGCACTCTTTCATTAATTGTGTCCTATGTTCTATTTTATAGGTACAAGCACAAAAGACCAACCCATAAATATTGTGAGAAGACTTTGCTCTCATACCCCTAAGGTTCCAGAAATTTATACATCAGAGCATTTGAAGAGTGTGCGCATCACGTTTAAGTCAGATGGTTCGACAAATTTCATATCTGATGAGAGTGGAGTTGTTATTGGTTACGCTACTTTCAAAACAGGTATATTCTATTAGCTTAAACCCTTACATGATAAAATACACAACACAATACTGACTGGGAGAATATGTTCAACAATCAAGAAATGTGTTAAATAGTGATCATTTCCTTTCTTCTCAGGACTTAAGTGTTTGATTCAGTGGAGATACTGTAATCATGAGAAACCAGATGTTAGTTACTTGTACAATGTAGGGATTAATCCTTTAACCCCTAAGAGTGACTAGCATCAAATTTCTCCTCACAGTATCACCCCTGAGTCACACATTAAGGTCACAAGAGTAAAAAAAATTATCACCAACCAATGGAGCTCTTGATTGTTAAACAAATTCTCCTTGTCAGCACCGTAGGAAATAAATAGAAAACAGTACAGAGAATATGCATACTGATGTTATTGTGTAAAAGGATTAAAGGGCTGAACTCTAAATAAAGATACACTAAGCCAAGCATTGTTGACTGTGGAGTCTCTCAGTGCCTCCATGTACTGTGGGATAACTGTGATCATGTTTGCCTTGGTAAGACCAGCACCAAGAAGAAATAAATTGTTGAAACATTGATTCATGAATTAGATGTCTTTTATGGTAACATTTAATTTTTCAATTTTGTTTTTATTTTTAAATGCAGAGTGCATTGTGAAATATCATCTGTTAGTTGAGTCTTCCCAAGGTTGTCAGTAATTTTCAAGTGTCAGCTCTGTACATGTTTTTATCATAAGTAGGTGACGAATCACTGTTAACTGTTTCATTTTGGCTGTTTCCATGTCTTCCCTCTTCATCTTTTATGGAATTTTTATTGCAGCTCTTTGTTAAAAGAGATATTTCCTTATAAAAGAGTTTGTTTACTTAATTTATATGGGTTCACTAAATGTTTCTAACACTTTCAGTGTAAGGTCTTTTGTCTGAATTAAATATATTTTCAAAACAGTTTGCGTGTTTTAGTATGCATGAATTGTCAAGCTATGTTATTTTTAAGAGGTTTGTGAGAATTAATTTGTTTGTTCTCAATTTTTTCCCTTGCTGTATTAGAGACAAGATCACAAGCTGAGTAAGAAATTTTTCTTTTTAACGAAGTTACATAGCCAATAAAATTTTTAAAGGAAAGTTTGTTTTATTTTTTAAACATTTATTTGTTCCACGGATTCAGAGTATTTGATTTCCTGAATTCTGTCATTCATCGTTGAACAATTAGGCAAAAAATAAGTACTACCTATCAGTGGGGCACCATCTACTTGTAATAAACAGTGTCAAAATGATTATGCATCAGATTTTGAGTCATGAATACTAAATTAAATTTAAGTGATATATGTCACAGTATGGCATCATTAGCAGAGCAATGAGGGCTACAAGTTATAGATCAAAGTGTCTTTTTCTCAACTGGTTGAGTGGTGTATGAAGTGGGTACTAACTCTCATGTCCACCCACTGGGAAAATCTTCATATTTTTGTCATTTTAGTCAGTAACTTTTTGATAATTCTTTTTCTTTTTTCTTTGTTTTTTTTTAGATGCCTGGGCCTTCTAAATTCAACAACTAAACCTACACCAACTAAACCTGCAACAACTCAACTCAATTCTACAGGTTAGCCATCTCTTTGAAGTTAAACAGACAACTGAAAAACTCCTATAGCTGCCACAGTTTCCCTAAATTTTTCATCAAAATAATGCGCTGATCAATTCAAAACTGTAACACCCCCTTCCCCCCCTCTTCCTGGTAACCCACAGGCATGTGACTGTCCTCCATACTCAGGGGTAGGAAATTTGAACCTTCCATGGGTGGGGTTGGGAATTTGCACTCATACTGTCAAGTCTTTCCAGCATAACAAATGCATTTCTTCTTTTAATTTAGAGGTGTTTAAAGGTAATAAGTTCACTTTCGCTAGCAGATGGCATAGGGGGAAAGGTCTATAAGAAAGTTGCTGCTGCAAATTTTGCCTTATATAAAGAAAAAAAAGGGACAATCAAATCCAGCACTTGGAGGGGTCATATAAACACAATTCTGACCCCAAGGGGGCAGGAATTTGAATGATTCCTCTAGTTCCTAATATAGATATTTTTGGCAAAATGTAATTAGTGAAAAAGAGACTGTTTTACAAGTAGGAAATTAATGATAAAGATGCAGTGTTGGTGTCTTTTAAATTCTATAAGTTCTTTTGTTGAATGTCAAATACTGGTAAGTCCTCTCTCCACTCTGACGCCATACCTCCCATATAGAAATAAAACCAATAATTCATTTCTAAGAATCTCTTGGGTCCGCACACCAGGCTGCATCTGTTTTGCTCACCATGGCTAGAGGGAAACATTTTGTTGACTGAAGTTGCCAATTTTGTGACCTGAGTTTGGCAGTCATGTACATGTAGCAAGTTGTAATGTTTTTATTACTTACAGTGTAGGGCTAATGGTCCATGGTTAAGATTATATGTATATTGTGCCCCTTAGGGTAGCACAAGCAGAAGAATTTTTTTTAGGAGTACTTCTGCAGGGAGTTGGAAAGGGTGGACTGTGCAACATTGGTATGGCTTTAACTGGGTTTTGTGTTTTCTTGATTTTAGGAAGCAAGCTGTTGGCAAATTTCTTCTCTGTGGTCATTTGGACCATGGCCACCTTGGTATTTTGATTAACTCTTTGATTTATTTTGATTAACTCCCAAAAGTGATTAGCATGAAACTTCACCCCATACTATCTACACATTTTCCAGGAACAGGTGTTAAGAATACTCAAACTTATCAGATAGAAATTGTTATCTTGATCTAACACCAAATTCCTCTATCTGATTTACATGGAAATGTGTAGGAGGTAGAGGGGAGAATTAAAATTCAGATATTGGGAGTTTAAGGGTGAAAGCAGGTTTTTAAATATTATTATTAATTAAATATTATGCTGTTAGAGATAGCAGAATGTTATAAGTATGGTGAATTTCACTCAAAGGTGCCAAGGATTTGTATATTTTTATATTTGAGTAGGTCTTCTTGATCAAAGGTGGTCTTAAAAAGAAAAACTAAATGACTTTTTATTTAGCAAAGTTGTGTTCTGAGAATGATATTGCTTGAGAGGCATTACATGTGTATTAATTTGTTCTCAGTAGGATTTGTATTTGAAAAAATTAGGAAAATAAGGATTAACAAAAAGGAGAGAAACTCTTGATTTATGGTAGAGGTGGAAAATGCCACAGAAGGTTATTTATTTGATCATTAAAACTTAACTATCTACTTTGTCTTTTAATAGTGGCATTTTTCTTTAGGTTAAAGCCAATGATTAAATTGTTTTACCCTGTGTAGCTGGTAATTAGCAGTTTGAAATTAAATTCATCCAATTTTGGAGGGGGAAAATATGAGTTTTGGAAACAAAGGTTGCAAGGTTGCAAAATTTGCTTCTTTGTCTTTCATTTTCTTGCAATTTGATTGGTTATTTTAAACAAGCCTTGAAATCTGATTGGTTGTTTTGTTTTTAGTGTAGCCTCCTCATTGGCTGGGAAAAATGGTGCAATTCATGAATAAATCGCACCAATTAGAGCCAATCAGATTACAGGGACCACCAGTGATTTCAAAATGGGTTGTAATAAATTAGGTAATCCTCTGATCCCCTTCCCCCTTTCCTCACCCCATTCCTCCCTTCCCTCCTTTCTCCCCCCCTCCCCCCTCCCCCTCTTCCCCTCTTCCCCCCTTCCCCCTCCTGTAATGATAAACTTATAATCTCTTGTTATAGTGTCAAAGCATCAACCACCAAACCAGGGATTAGCTGAGCTAATATTAGATTCTCCTTACTAATTTACAAGAAAATGAGTAGCACCTTCCTGGGAGAATAGCAAATCAAATCTTGGAAGTAGCACTAGGGGTGGGAATCTCTCTAAAGGTAAGTATTTAGGGATACTCTTCTCCATCCCCTTGGTACCCAGAGATATTTTCTTGTACACTGCTTCAAAGCACGGGTCAGTGTTCCCACTGCTAAGTGATTAATTCTTGTCATGATTGACAAATGCTATAAAAGTTATCTGTTTTATATTGTAGATTAAAGATGGTAAAGTTTAAATGTCACCATTTGTAAAATAATGATTACTATATGTAGTTTATGGGTTAGTGCTGTATAGGGTCTGTTTTAACTCCCATGAGTGACCAAGACAGAATTTCTGCAACAATATTAATACAATATCAAGCAGACAAGAGATGATAATAAAGAAAAATAGAAACTAAGGGAATATAAGTTGATCCAATACCAAATTCTCCAAACAAACATCACCAGAACTGTATGGCAGACAGTAAAGAGAATTACTAATGAGATCTTAGGAGTGAAAGGGTCAAACATTAGAGTTCCAGATTACATTTGTGATATATGTGATATTAGGGAATCAAAATTTAGTTCTCAATTGTATGTGTTGCAGTTATGCACACCTACTTTGAGAGGGAGCTTATTATAGAAAGGATGATGTAAACTAAAAGCATGTAATAGTGTGGTTAAAAATTGAGAGGAGTCTTAATGATTAGGGAACTTTCTAATTGACTCATTATGAACCGTTTAACAACTCAGATATATTGAAGTGTGTACTACAGGGGAGCATTGTCTGACACAGTCAATGTTATTGGTGCATGTTAGGATAGAAAGCTAAAAGTGCATTATTATGACATGCAGAATTATCGTGTTAGTATTTTAGCTGTATTTTATTGAGAATAGGGCTATTATTTATTAATTGTAACTTGTTAAACGTTTTTTAGTTAGAGGTGATGATGACCAGAGAGATGAAGGAATGAAGAGCTTCTCTATTGTTAATAAGCTTGTTAGAGAAGCTCTGCCATGCTTTGACTGCCATACAAACTTTTTGTTCTAAGTTTTAAGACTTTTTAGTGGCTCCCTCTATCAAAGCTCTTTCCTACATGTAGTTTCTGAAGCTTTAAATTCCCCAAAAGCTTGACATTTCCCCTAGGATGGAATGCAACCCCACATCAAGATACCCACCATCACTTTGCAGCCCAATTTCTAACAGGTCAATACTCATCAAGATTTCTGGTTGGAGAGAGGCATAGATGCATTTATACGATGCGTGAAGGCAAGGCAGCTTATCCTGCTGTATAATTCTTCAAATATTTTTTGCTAGTCTATGTTGAAATGATCTGTGTTGTTTGATCATATCAAAGGGTCAGCAAGTAAACATCTCTAAAGAAATTTTGAAACAAACTTCTTACAGCTCGCCTGGTCATTGTCACTTTCGGTTCTAAATAGTTCAAGGCGGCGAAGTCACGCTAATATAAGAATTTAGTCACGTTTCGTCACGCTAGCTTTTACAATGCTGTCATGCAGTGGTATTATGGGAAATATGACTGGTTGATAGAAACGTTCATTTTCTATTAGTAGGATAGGTTACAGAATTGGCAAGGTGGAGTGACCAAGCGTGATTTAGCTCTAAGAGATTGCGTGACCAGACCACCTCAGTAAGTTTTGGTACTTTGTAATTTTCATAAAGCACCATATTTGTAAATTATAAAATTATAAATTATAAATTATAAAACGCCCAGTCTCACAACTGCCTATTTCTTCTTTACTGGGACTTCAGTTGATTTTTTTCATATAATACTTAACTTAAGAAGATAATGGTAAATAAACGTTTACTGAACGCTACGCGCCTTTTGTTCTCAAGGTCGGTTTGATATTAGCCGTCGTCTGAAGTGGCTGTGAACCTCCACCTCGTTAACGGTATGGATCCCTTAAAACAACGTACAGTCTGTTGCCGCCTATGTCTGTTCTTAATCGATGTACATGGTTTGTTTTGAAGGGGCCCAATTTATTTTGATCATCCTGTCTTGAATATTTTTATGAAGCCTTTGACTTATTCCAATACTTTGCAGCAATTTCCAAGACGTGGGTTATTGATATTTGCCCTAAAGGATCGGAGCAAACATTCTTCACTAATATCAGTTTTCATTTTTGTACAATATTTTTTTAAGTCAGGCAGACAAGGCCTTTATTTTACTGTGTTATGATTGAAAAGTGCCGTGCACCCTACGGTTAAACACCTCAAACATACCAAATTCGTCTGATTCCTTAATGCTTATTGTAATAAAAAGAAAAATGCTTGGAAATAATCGTTTCGTCCCGCTCCATGCAGTGCAAAACATCGAGAAAAAACTGTTATGTTTGAGTAGTTGCAAAGAATTATAGAAATCAACTTTTGCACCTATCTAAGTTGGTCTCCAAAATTGATCACCCTTGTCCCATTAGGGTTATGGTGTGTTATTGGCTTTTGCCTTTAGTTGGTGCATGTGCACACAATCTATCCTCTTTATCCCTTGTAAGACATAAGGCAATACGAAATTCTCTATCCATATAACTCTGTTTTGTGCAGCAATGTGCCAACTCTAAAAGAGCTTTACCTCGATAAGCTAAACCATAACAGTTCGGCGCTTGATAATTTTTGGCTAACAATGGAAAACTGCATGCTATCTAAAAATTCAACAGTTTAACTCGACATACAAAACAATCAGATATCCTGTGCACTTTCACATTCTTTCTGTATTTAACCAGTTTTTAACTATATGAGCACATGCTGTGCAAGTCTGAATACAGCTATATCACCCGTCAGTGTGTGGAAAATATAAAATAAACCGTAAACATGTTCTTCTTGTTTCTTCTCCGGGTCTTGTTCCAACTAACGCATGCGGCGGCAGAAGTAAAGGATGACCAACCTCCACTAATACTAGTATCACTGGATGGAATGGATTGGCGAGTTTTGAGGGGTCAACTTTCCAAAACTACCAATTTGAACTTCATCGCTCAAACTGGAGTCAGAGCCGACTACATCAGAAATGTTACGACCACCTCTACATGGCCCAATCATCAGAGCATCCTCACTGGTTTATACCCGGAAAGTCACGGCATTGTGGATAATGTATTCTGGGATCCGGATTATGGAGAACAGTTCATTTTCGGTTATGATTGTTCAAACTTTGATCCCAAGTTTTACAATGCATCAGAGCCAAGAGACGACAAACCAGACAAGTATCGATGGAAGAACTATCGACGAGTTCCACCGATCTATATCGAGACTGAAGTTGGTTGGGTGGTTACTCGTTCCCGAAGCGATCCTCCGGCAATGTTTGGATCACATGGCTGGCCACCTGACCAATCAAAAAGCTACTCAATATTTACGCCCGCGGTCCCGCTTTCAGGGAAGGTGTAGTGGTTAGCCCTTTCAACACCGTGGATCTGTACCCCCTAATGAGCAAACTTCTTGGAATAAACCCGCGTCCAAATAATAGCTTAATGGAAAATGTCACAGTTGTCCTAAGACAGCCACCCATCAGGCCAATCAGAAGGTCATCCCAATTCGAGGCTTGAGTCAGGAAAGTTCAGCATTTCTTTTGAATTAAGTAATTTTTAAAAAATATGTTTAATTTCTCGGTGGTAACTCAATGGAATATTTTGAATAAGGATATGAGAAGATGAGGAGTTTATATTACTTTCAGTGATTGGGTAAAATTTTAAAATTATAATTAGTTAGAATAAGTAAGTTAAGAAAGATGTTTCTTCGTCTTGTCACGAGCGTGGGACAAAGAAAAAATTCTGAGTCCCCATAAGGAATCGAACCTCAGACCTTCGGATTTGCGAAGTTCATATGACACGCGTCATCCAGGACGCGTGTCATATGAACTTCGTAATAGACCTCGCTCACCGAAGAGTCTCTGTGGCTCAGTGGTAGAGCATCGAAGCGCAAATCCGAATGTCTGAAGTTCGATTCCTTATGGGGACTCAGAATTTTTTCTTGTCCCACACTCGTGACAAGACGAAAAAAACATCTTTCTTAATATATTAAAGTTCACACGGAAACCAGGTGGACAATCAGACATAGTTTGATGCTACACTGGTTTGAAGATTTAATGAATGCAACCGAAGAAGTTACAATTCATAGACCCAACGTTTCGGAAATGAAGCGGAGCGCCTCTTGTCGCATTTGAATTCAGTAGAGCCGTCGATCCAATTCACCCTTGAACGTGAAAAGGATAGACATTTGCCCTTTCTTGATTTAAACGTGTCCGGAGGGGTTCAGGGTAATTTAGAGACAAGTGTCTACCGTAAACCCACCCACACCGACAAATACCTAAGGATCCTGTCACGAAAGAACAACGAACCGACGCCATTTATTCTATTCCTTGCAATGACTGTGACAACGAATAAATCGGACAGACCAAACGCCAGTTTGGTACACGGTAGAAAGAGCACCAAAAAGCAGTTTTTCTTTGCAAAAAGGAAAATTCAGCTTTATCGGAGCATACTTGCCTAACCAACCATACAATTGGGTGGGATAATTCTAAAATTACACCTCCCTTTGTTTTCAAGGCGTTACCACCAGCGCCTTTGTTTGGAGGCTTAGCACATTAACTCCGCCCACGCTCCTTTAAATCGTGACGATGGCGGTCTGCTTCCTGACGCTTATTTACACCTCGTCAGAAAAAAAAGGCCGCTAATTAGTGATCATATAAAAGGACCTCTTGTTGCAGCCTTTAGATCACCCCTGATGAAGGCACTAGACAGGAGTGTCGAAACGTTGGGTCTATGAATTATAACTTCTTCGGTTACATTCATTAAATCTGCAAACCAGTGTAGCATCAAACAATGTCTGATCTTTCTTAATTCTTCACCGAGCTCAAAACTTACCATCTCTTCTATGTCTATCTAATAAGTAAGTTTTTGAAACAATACACGTAAACTATTCACTTTCAACTGTCCACATAATTTGGTATTTCCAGCACAAGATGGTGTAATCAAACTGAAGTAGACGTGGCCGCCTAATTGGTAGAGCACTGTAAAACACGCATGTTCATTACACAATTATGCATCGAACATGCAGAGTTAATTACACTGAGAATGAGACGCAGTCTCTTACGTGCAAAAAGGTATCAAGAATAACCGATTTGCGCCGAATTCAATCCTCCATGGAATTGCTTATTTCAAAACAGCTTGATCACAGTGTGAAGTTTTGCTGTCACTTTTTGAGACTATTACTTGCAATTTTGATTATTCTTCTTTGTTTCGAAATCAAATATATCTTGTTAGACGTTTTTTCGGTTATCAATATCCAAAATTTTTTGCATATTACATGCTAGACTGAGCACGACTCTAGAGATGCGTTTTGTACTCACGTATTAAGTAAGACGTGGAGATGTTGATACTGTTTATTCTTCGGCTCTCGTTTTTTTTCACCGATGCTGTGGCAGAGGTCAAGGATAATCAGCCTCCGCTGATAATAGTATCACTGGATGGAATGGATTGGCGAGCACTGAAGAGTCAACGATCCAAGACTACTAATCTAAACTTCATCGCACAAACTGGAGTCAACGCCGAATACATAAAAAATGTTATGCCGACCTCTACATGGCCCAATCATCATACTGTTCTCACTGGTCTGTACTCGGAAAGTCACGGTATTGTGGATAACAGATTTTGGGATCCTGTGTACGAAGAAGAGTTTATTTTCGCTTACGACTGTTCAAACTTTGATCCCAAGTTTTACAATGCATCAGAGCCAATATGGCTTAGTCTGCAAAAACAAGGAGGACGTAGCGCATCGTACTTTTGGCCTGCAACAACCAGTTACTCAGTCAAACCCACATACTACGAAAAGGAAACCTGCTTCGGCATAGATTGTGGTGCAATCGATTCTAAGGACCTTCCAAAGTACAGAAATAGAACTCTTCCACCTGGCTCAGGTGCGCCATACATCCACTGTGTGTTCGACGTGAGAGGTCCGTGGTCGGCACGGGTAGATAAGGCGGTAGAGTGGCTTAGTTTGGACAAACCACCGCATTTCATCGCTCTCTATTTTGAACAGCCCGACCTGGTAGGTCACTCACACGGGGTTTCCTCAGAGGAGTACAGGCAGATGGTGGAAAATGTTGATGTCAATGCCGTTGGATACTTACTCAAGCGTTTAAATGAAAGCGATTTTCTGCAAAAGGTGAACTTGATAGTCATTAGCGATCACGGAATAGATAACACTTCCACGAGTCGTCGAGTGTACTTAGATGATTACATCGATCCCTCGAGTTACACAGTGCTACATACGGGGTCTGTACCAGCCCACATCTGGCCTAAGCTAGGAATGACAGACATCATCTACCAAAACCTTACAAGAAATTCAATACCTCATGTCCGTGGAGTTTACAAAAAAGAGGAAATACCCGATGAGTATCACTGGAAGAATAATCGTCGAATTCCTCCGATCCTTATCGAAACTGAAGTTGGTTGGGTGGTAACACGTTCTCGAAACGACACTTTGAAAAAAGACCTAGGGTCACATGGCTGGCCACCTGACCAATCAAAAAGCTACTCAATATTTTACGCCCGCGGTCCGGCTTTCAGGGAAGGTGTAGTGGTGAACCCTTTCAACACCGTGGATCTGTACCCCCTGATGAGCAAACTTCTTGGAATAAACCCACGTCCAAACAACGGCTCAATTGAAAATGTCAAAGACGTTCTTAGAGAGGGACAAACCACCGCCGGAAAAGTGCTGCATCACCTCTGCTTGAGGCTTGTGTTGCTAACACTTCTTATGGCCTTCGCATTTATTAACAATTGAAACAATTAAGTTTAATTTCTTGAAAGTGACGAGAAGGGCAACTGAAACCGAGCCAAAACACATCAATTTGCTCGTGATCAGTCTTCCTCAGGGTTTAGTAATTTTCTATTAAGTTTGCACGTTGGCCAGTATTGTCAGCTGCTTTTAGTGTTAAAGGTGTCACTACCTCAAGTTTTTATTGGTTTTAAAGTTTAGAAGGCTTTTTTAAACAGAGGGACGCTATCAGTAATTCTGTTTTCAATCCTGTTTTAAGTCTCTCAGCCTTTTTTATTGTAACCTTAGAAACAGCAATCACGATTTAAACCAGGTCTTTTGTACTAAATGGTTTTCATTGGTTGGCATTAAACATCACCTATATGGCTGTGTAGATTAAGTAACCCACTCAGCCAGTGATATACACTGCACATCGGACATGACCAACACTAAAGCCTCACACGCAGCCAATCAGAAGTCAAGCTGTTCTAAACTAAACTTTTCAAAACCAATCCCGAATCGCTCACTTGTGTGTAAATGTTCTTGAGGCCAGTGTAGCGTAATTAATCTTATTTGTCATTGGTTCTTCTGATCTGGTTATCCGTTCTAATTGGTTTGATTTTGCAATTTCACAATATCTTTAGGAAAAGGGCACTCTTTTATTTATTAAGGATTTTATTGCAAGAAATGAAACGATAATAATTTCGTAGATACACAAGTTTGAGTCCGCTATACGAACAGTTTCCAGGACTCGCTTTTTTGTTATTAAAGTGCACAGAACACTATCAGTGTGACATAAACTTAATTGCGCCATCACATGACAAATGATGCTTTCGGCATCGCTTTTTGCAGGGTAGTTGGACTTCAGTAGCTTCTCGCAGGAGAAAACATTGCAACCTCAAAGGAAAAACTTCAATATTCAGTATTCAAAGTTCGACAGTTTCAAGACAGGGCCGTAAGTACCTTAGATTTTTAACCAACTATAGTTAGAATTAACACTCGTTTTTACAGGCCACATGGGCGAAGGAATCTTCAAACTTCGACTTGAAAAAATGGCTTGTCAGGCAAATGTTGAAAAAATGCTTTTCCAGTCCACGGTAAAAAAAAAAGAAAAGTTTTTTCATGATTTTAACTAGCACGATAATAATGGTTAGAATTTAACTTTTTTCTTTAAAATTGAAATAAAGGGCACAGTACGCAACGGAAAGTATTCCACCTCGTCGCCAGACTCCCAACCACATTCCAATCATCAGTATTTCTATCGTAACTCTCAATACAATTTGTGCCTGAACCTCCAAAGACAAACATCATATCGTGAGTGACTCCTACACCAAAATCACGGTGTGGATAATTCATCGGAGCAATAAAACTCCAAGTATTTACCACTGGATCAAACACTTCTGCTGATTTGAGGCTACTTTTTCGCACATCAAATCCGCCAACGACGTAAATTTTACTTCTCACTACAGCAACCCCGTGTCGAAAGCGTTCCGTGTTCATAGGCTCGACCGATTCCCAACGGTTACTCGCAGGATTATAACATTCAACCGAGGCTACAGTTTTGTCCCCTGGGGGTGTATTTCCACCAATAGCGTAAACCTTTCCTAGGAGTCCAACAGCTCTGTGAAAGCTTCTACGCATGCTCATGTTTGGAAGTTTACTCCATGCGCGCGTAGCAATGTTGAAGCTTTTGGCGCGCTTTCCACCTCCTACCACATAAATCGAGCCCATGCTCTCACATACATCAAAATCGCTCTCTTTGATCCCATTGCCAACTTGGACCCAAGCATTCAGCTTGGGGTCGTATTTTTCAATGCGTGTACCCCCTCCTAGCACAACATACAGGTCTTCGTTGACAGCCACCGCGCATCCTGCAGTTTGCGCCATATCACTTGCGGGCGTGCAGCTTCCACTTTCTAAGTCAAATGTTTCAATCCTGCAGGACAACTCACCAATCAGGTATAGTACATTAGGTGATTTTCGTCTCGTCACTGCCCTCTTCTTGACACTCCGTGGAGAAGTCAAAAGAGTTATGGCACCCTCTACGAACTTCTTCCAATTCTCTTCACCAAGAACAAGCTCATCTTTTAAGACAACGTTTTCCAAATATTCTGTGCTCATGCAAGGAAAACGAACTAACTCGAAAATCTCCTGCAGAAAATTAATGAGACAAAGTCATTTTCTACCTGAAATGGGTCAAATGAAACAAGAAATGTGAGGAATTGCAATAGTATCCAACAAGACTCCTAATTAGTATGCAGATGCATAAGCTTAGTGGTTAGTACACAAGGCAACGGATCGATAGCTCTAGATTCAAGCCCTGGCTGAGTCGTTATGCTTTGTTCTTCCGTAAAACTCTCACAGTGGCCCTTTTCGCCTATGGGGATTAAAAGGGTTCCGGGAAATTGTCAAGGAAACATGTGGAGATTTTGGGAGGGTCACCTAAGTTGGATCGGTATCTTAAGCAAATGGAAAACTTCATGTCTCTTAACGATGCACGAGAGGAAAATCTCCGGCTACTCAGGCCCTTTGTCGGGAGTATGGTTCCCCATTCATGGGCCGTCCCCCTTTCCGTTCGACTCATCTACAGAATGTTACTAAAGGGTTTGAAGATCGGCAGAAATTTCGCACAGAATTGATATTGCATACATTTAACAAATTAACTTACGGAATGTTTTATCCTCTCTCCTCTGTCATGCTTATACCACCTGATAACAGCCTCAAACACGTCCTCCTCCATCTTAACATGCAAGCGATCACTTTCCACGATCTTACTGAGTTGCTGAGGAGGAATCAATACGAATTCACTCTCCCGCGACACTTCTAAGAAATTCCAACTGATGAAACTCCTCACTTTAGACTCAAGATTTCCCAATGAATACTGCATCGCCAGCGACTGAATACCGAGGCAGTTTTCAATCCTAATAAGGGTTCCCAGGAAATCTGCACATTTCTGAACGACAAGCTGGATTTGAAATAAGCTCGCCACTGCAAGAATATTTTCCACGTTTGATTCGTTGAGATTCATTTTGCATGTGTACAGAAAGTCTACAAGTTGTTCAACAGCAGTTTCGTCGCAATCCTGCAAAGATATCGTGCCTAGGTTGCTCTCGAGGAACCCCGTGGTCAACATGGCACGAAAGTACGAACTACAAGCTGCCAGAACAACTCGATGAGCGCGTATTTCCCTTCTGTTCACTCTGAGTGTGATGTCACATAGTTCATCGAGCTTTCTCATCTCCTGGAAGACCGAGAAGGAATCTTTCTCGTGATTGCCGATCACTTGTAAAACCTGATCGCCAAATTCCACCGCGGCCGCCATATCGGTATGAAGTTGTTGATAACACACAATCAGGTGCTTACTTGAAGTACCCAAATAGAGCAAGCTTGCTGTTTACCTGCAGGCTCATCAAGAATCGAAATATGGCGGACGAGGCTAACGAGACATCAGAGAGCGAGTCAGTTGTCGATCCTGCTATCGTTACTCTTATAGGAAAAGTTAATTCACTTCATGAAGAATGCATTAAAATCCGACAGAGTACATCAGGTCAGTCTTTGCACTATTTTGTTCATAACGTGGAACATGCATCGATCCAAGGCATGATTCGTGACGCCTGTCAACTTACCGCTGTAGGTTACTAGCGCCTTCATCAAACAGGGGAATAATCTATATAATTTATGTTGTATTTGCAGACGCTGGTGAGTTAGATTTATTAGAAAAAGCAGAGGCCAAGTGCAAAATGTGCCTTCAACTCCTGGAAACAGGGTAAGCATGATGATGAAATTCTGGATAATATGTAAAATCTACAGTGAAACTTGTGTTAAGCAGACATCTGTGGGACTCTCACTTGTGCTTGCCTAAGAAAAGAAGTCTGCTCAGTACTGCGCAATGTAGATTGATTTTTAAATCCTGAGTCGGAGAGAATGTGTAATCAGGATCCCTTTAGATAGCGTTTCGGGTAGATAGAGCAAAAATCAAATGTCAGAATGTGATAACATCTCACTTTGTTAAACTATTTATTGTATAATTTCATTTTATTTCTCATTATACAACTGATGATGGATGATGTTTCATCTGAAACATGTTTTGTTTTCATTAAAAAATATAAGAAAAATGACCTTCAAGAGCATTGTGTGGTTCATCAAAGTGATAACTTACTTCATGCTGATACAAAGCCTTGAAAACAAAAATTATTGTAAAATTCCTCATTATGCTGTCTGCCTAATACAGGTTTTGAGTTAGAATGTGTCCATCTACAGAGCTGTGCTGTAGCAAAGCCTGAGTGTGACAAGTAACCATATTTTTAGGGAACTTGTATGAAACCCCTGATGTGCTAGGCACCTAAATTTCTGAGAAAAGAATCTTTGGGCATCTGGAGATTCTTTTGACAGTACAGCTTTTTCCTAATAGAAACATTGAATGCATATTGAAAGGAAAATCAAATCTTCTTCTAATTTACAGTCAAGCTGCAGCTGGGAAAAAGGCAGTACTTTTCAAAGTTCTCCAACATTACTCACAGGTATGTTGCTATTCTGTATTGATGTAAATTTTGTTATAACAGTGCATTCTTAATTTTTATTCATCCTGCATATAAGAATTGAACATAATGTGCAATAGGATTTGAATAATGAGGAAATGACAGTGACAATGAAGGTATTTAAGGACAATAAAAAAATAATACTTTTGACAAGTTCAGATCAATATTTCTTTTACTTAAAGATTAAGTGACTAAAATTTTTTATCATCTTTTAAACTTTTCTAAACAACAGCATTAAATAATGTTTCTATAAGAGGAGCTTGGATGAAATTGTGAGACAAGTAATTTGATTTCAGGCTCTTCTTGACGAAACATATGTTCTGGAGTGTAGACTGGTAAATGCGGATTTCCCAGAAGACAGATGTAAAGGAGACATAAGGCATTTAATTGGTACTGCAATCTTTTTTTGGATTAAATTTTTTTTTCAAGGATGGCTACTTAAGAACAATGGAAGCAGTGATAAAGATTGGGGTGAAGTCTCAAGTTGTGGAAGAAGGAGTTAATCTTTTCACTCATAAAGATCTCAAAATGTTTTCCTCTCACTGTTTGCCATACATTTCTTGTAACTTAATCCTAGAGAAATTGGTGTTAACCCTTTAACTGCCATGAGTGACCAAGACAGAATTTCTCCTTACAATATGAATACAATATCAGCCAGATAAGTTATGAGAATAAAGAAATATATCAATTAGGGGATAATTAGCTGATTCAATACTAAATTCTCTGAACTAACATTATAAGAATTGTATGGTTGACAGTAAGGAGAATTAAAAATTTGATCTGGGAGTTAAAGCATTAGATCAAAAAGTGTTCTTTTAGCTGGTGTTTTTCTTTCTTCTCATCAACATTCTGCTTGACAAAATGTTTGAAATTGTAAGGAGAAATTACTTAGTGGTCACTTGTGGGACTGAAAGTTGGAAAAGGGGTCTCAGGGTAAGAGGGGGAATGATGATGGGTTTGTATGTATCATTATTTCTGTCATCTCAGAGAAAGTGTGATAAATCTCTAGTTTTTCTTTTTCATTATAAAGGCCAATTGGACCAGCCTGAGGAGCTGGTGAAAGAAATGTTTGGATCAGAGTACAAAGTAAGTAACTAGTGAATCATTCATGAAAAATAATTAAACATGTGGATAAAGAGAACAAGGGGGGAGGAGAAGGGATAATATAGTGTGGAGTTTAAGGGGAACGTAGACAGAAGTGAAGATGAGGGTAAGTGAGTGAAATCACTGATCAAATGAGGAGACTGAGGATTGGTTCAAGATGTTGGGGAGGTACAGTGTGCTGCTTTGATAGGTAACTGCTTGACAAGTGATACAGATGAGGCTTTTGGTTCTACCCAGTTTAGAAAGGAAAATCAAGAACAAGTAAGCTAGGACAAGGAAGGTTGATTTCTGGTTAAGTAGAGGAATCAGTGAAGTCTGATTTGGATGTATGGTCTGGCTAATGTAAATGTAGATAGAAATGAATGAGAGGTGAAATGAGTGGGCAAAAAGGCTTAAGAGGTTTGTCCATAATTTTGTGCTTCATATAGTTATTGAGGAGTGTGGCTTCTAATTTATCCACAGTCTGGACAAATTCTAGGCTCAGATATACTAGAATGCTTGTTTTGGAGGCGTGGAGCTCTGTTCTACATGTACTGCCATACGTTGTTTAATGATCCACAAAGAAGGCAGCTTGATACAACGCATATCAGACAGGTATCATCTGATTGTTTTAAATTGTTTTATTTGTTTTGTTGTTCGTTGGTTTTTTTTAATCAATACTCAAAGCTCTTTTCTCCTCAAAGGCAACTAAATGCACAAACCTCGCACCTTGATTCGTTACCCTTTGATCCTTTCAGTCTTCTATGTTAGTCTACGTTCGCAAAATTTTATTTAGCAGAGATAATTGTTTTCTCCCAAATATCTACTTGCTGTCTTCTCCCCTGCAGTGTGCCGAGTCAGGAGTCAAATATCTGGAGGCCATGTTATGTGTTCGTTCACCGCTGATGATGGATGCGATGACAGATGTTTCAGCAAAGAATGAAGACATGATGCAGCTTCTGAAAGAAGGTGATCGTTTGAATTTATTTACTGTCTCTTAATTTCTTTGCTCTTGACGATGTTAACGATATTACGGTGTAACCTTTTCTATAACCAGGAGCCCATCACAGTGATGAATCAGCCATAGCTGATTAAGAAAATGCTTAAACTGTAATCTGATGTCTCACCTCTTCTCGGGGTACATTGCCCCCCCACCCCACTCTCCATATGAAAGTTAGCTCCACCACAACGAATTCGCCCAAACATATATTGCACTTTATATTTTCGAACTTTAAGCATTCGGAAAAAATTCGGTATTACTCTATCTCGTTCCAAAACGATCTCGCCCAAGTAACTACATACAAATACAGTAAGGGTCTCTTTCTGTGGGAAGACTACGAGAAAACAAGAAACCGCTAGGCTGCTCCTAAAATGCTTGTTCTCATCTGAACGGAGCTTTATATTTTCAACCGTGAAAATGTTCTTTTAAGGACAACCAATACGAAACGGTTCCTTTAAGAGCTACCCAATGCAAAGAGCCAACGATTAAGGTAATTTCAGGTCAAGACCGTTGGCGCATGTGTGTTGTACTTATATTGTAAACATTTAAATAAACCCAAACTTCCAAAATGTTTGGAAGCTTCTATTGAAAGGTTTTTATTTTGATCTCAGGTATCTTTAGTGATACTCACCTCCTCGCTCTTATGTACTCCGGTGAACTGTGTTACTGGCATTGGAAGATTGTAAAGGAAACAACTACAGATCAGTCTGTGAAAGAGTCGAGCGATGCGGATGAAAATTGTTCAGGGAACTTTAATTCTGTATCAAATGGAAGGCGACTTCTTCAAAAGTTTGTGAACATTGTACAGGACTGTTTTAAAGGAAGAGGCTGGGATTGTTCTAGGGCTGAACAAATTTTGGCTGAGTTTCCTGAATGTTAATCGTTTGAAATATTTTTCCCATGAAGAGACGCTATGGTTAAGTTTTGTAAACCCAAAACAACAGTAATCGCCACAACCAAACATATGAAGGGAAAATTTCGCAAGGATGTGATGAAAAACCATAGAAGAAACAAGCAAACTTTATGAAGAGTGGGAAAATGAAAGTCACTGAAAAGTAAGCGTTTTTAGTTTTGTATGTTAGTAATTGATTGGGTGGCAAGGGCTTTCTAGTCCAATCACAGAGCGTTCTGAAAAAGAAAATTAAACTCCCAAAAAAGACACAAACAAAAAGGCAATCCCCGATTGCTTTTAACGCAGAATTGAAAGTGTCCCGAATTGCAATTTCAGCTGTCACCAGCGTCTCAACTCTTTATTGTATGTGTGAGAAAAGCTGACCCGTTGTATGATAGGAAGTCTGCTATTCAGAGTATTTGGTTAAAGACGGTGAAAAAGATGATGAAACAGGGTCAGAAAAGAATCACTGGAAAGGACAAGTTACTAATGCAATTGTTTTTACACGACTGGCCGCTCAATCCGTGGAAACATTATAACAAAATGACGGTGTTGAACGCAAAGTAGATTTACTACAATGTTCAAGTTTATTAACAAAGTGTCAACCCTAACTGGAGGATATAAATAGAATCATTTTGCTTGAATATTTTATGAAGAGTGACTTAAATTCTGTTTTACTACTTACTTAAGTACTTGGAGCTTTACTCTAAGGAGTCAACAAAGGGAAATTTCAACGTGAAAGAAAAATATTAACTGGGGAGTATTGTTTGGTTTAACACCAAATTCTTAGCACTCAAAATACAATAAATGTACGATAGACGGTATGGAGAGTTGATATTTAGATCTGGAAAGTAGGAGAGCTAAAGAACAACATCATACCGTCACCTTGTTATTTTTTAGATTTATCGTTAAATATGCTTTTTCAAAGACGAATATAAAGGAAAGTTGAGATTTTTTTTTGCTTTTTCGTTTTGCCTTTGGATCAGTTCGCAATTTCGATGAATCCGTGTGCTTCTATAAATAGACGAAACACAATTTGAAAAATACTTTCAGCTTGGAGTCAAGGAGAGTGTTTTGGTCCAACATCTCTCTTTATCTTTCCGTACATCTCGTCATTTCTGTATCTATTTACATCATTTAATTGTATCTATTGCATCAACCGGAAGAGAATTAAATTATGATTATGTTCTTAGTCTCCTCCATAGCATTATGTCGAAGTGTCACGCAACGCTCCCCTTCCCCTCCCCTTAGAGACTTCTCAAAGAGCGGCTTCGGACACTGTTTCCTTCTGGCTTCTACTGCTGGCGTTTTGTCTGTTGAATGCTGGCTTCGTGTGCCCTTTGTAACTTATATACGCCGTCTGACAAGTGGGGGATAAACGCGGTGTGTTGGTAGCAGACGACAGACCATGTTTTTCTCCTTCGTTTTTCACTTCAGATCCATCTGATAGAAGACTGCGGTTCACAGTAGGCGAGGCATGCGAAGGAAATTCAGGAGGGTCATTTGATGCAGTCGAGGGGGAGGTATAAGTGGGACTCTCTGGCGGTATGACAAAAAAACGCCCATATGTATCTTGGATTTCTTTTGCAATGTTTTGGAGACGGGAATTAAATTCGTTCGCTTCTGTCTTTTTAAATAGCTCGTCTATCCCCTTCTTTGCTTTCTTTTTGGCAAGTTCTTTCGCTTCATTGTGATAATGCTCCAAAGCCTCTTTTGCTTCAACATGGTGATAATAATTAAGACTTGGTATTTTAAGATGTTTTCCCTTCCGAACGCATCGACGGATACAGATTGTGGTGAAGAGAACAGACATGGCTACCAGCATTAGAGACCATCCTGCTATTTGGCTACGGGTTTTGTAGTGCTCCTCTTGCAACCTAGTGCGTAAGTCGAGTTTAAAAGAGCATTTTTCGGTTGTATTTCTCGCGGTGAATCCACTGGTCAGAGGAGGACCGAAAAACGCGCATGTATAGTATTGCTGCTGTAGAAAGGACAAAACCAACCAAGCGACTGGAGCGATGGATGCTCGCACTAATACATCAATTATCGTTAAGAGCACTTTGAGATGGCGGCGGGTGAAAGGCTTGGTTTCCTTCTTTGTGACAGAATTCCTTCTCGAATGGCTCCATAAGTCTCTATCTACCAGGATTCCAATGAGAAACAGGAGAACGGTCGGCGCCCACAAAAAAGCCAGTCCGTAAGCGAAGTGTCCTTCACAAGGACAGCTAAACACGATACTTTCAAAGAACCCCTCCAGGCCAATCGTCACAGCTGCTATAGAACCGTACATCAGTGATCGACGAGACCTTTTGAATAGTCCTGTAAAGGAGGGAAGGACGGTGTTCATGTTGTCCGAGAAGACGAGGCGAAAATAAGGATTCAGACGAAACTGCGTTGTCAACAGAAAGACTCTAACTTAATGAATACAAACACTACGAGCGAAAGTTGATTTATATTGCGAGTGTTTCGAAAGGTTTTGAAACTTTCAGTTTCGGTCAGTTTGAAAAGGGTTCTTTGTTTAAGCAAGGTCGTGTTCCAACCGGATGTGAAACAAAGAAAGAAAAAGATGCCCCACCCAACTCCCCACGATCGCAAACGGACTTTGACGTCAGTCCCGAAAGTCCCTAACATGAAAACGAAAGTCTCTTTGCCACTTCCCTAAGCTACATTTATGTCCCTTTTCGCTAAAACAGGTTTGTTGATGGATAAAATAGAAATAAAACAATGAATGAGAGTTTTGAACGAATACGTGAGTGTAGAATATCCGTTATTGAAAATTGACCGTTCTACTTTGCTTTTTTGAGACCGATCAGCTGTTCGGATTACATCAATTTAAAATATCAACATAATAAGCTTGTTACGTGAAATCGTTTATCTTGAACTTTTTTGAGGTAACAAACAAATAGAGAGACGCAGTTGAAAAAACCAAAAAACCGAGACTGTCTGAACAAATCGTGCGTTTCCAACGCTAAAACCTGAGAGCCCGTGTTAAAGTTAACCCATGTTTCTCTACTAATTGTTCTAAAATTTTTACATTAGTTTGTTTATGGATGTAAATCGGTCATCTCATCTGATATTGATTTTTCCATTTTGGACCAAATGGTACAATGACAAAATGACCCGAAATAGTGTTACTTGACCTCTTGAAACTGATCTCTTTTTCCTCTGTAAAGGGATGACTGTTGATCGTCTCAGACATTTTCGTTTTCACAAATACCTAAAAATAACCAATGATTGATTCCTGAATCAGGGGACTAAGAGTCATTACCGTCCGTACACAAAATATACCTCAAAACCGAAAACACAGATTACTAAGGAGGAGTTATTTCCAGTAGAATTTACTTGACGAAACAAAAAGCATCTACATTTGTGGAAGGAAAATGATAACCATATGGTGATTAAGAGAAAGATATTACAGTTCAAGGCGGGAAGTTTCTTCTTTTTTCTTTTTTCTTATCGAAAGCAAGTTATATCATTGTATTAAAATCACGGTCTGAGTTATTATTGCTTGCGGATGTGGATAACTGAGTTATTATTGCTTGCGGATGTGGATAATTAATAGGTCCTTTTCTGTGTCTGTCGTCGAGATGAGCATGAAAATAGCTTCCTGATCTCTCCGAGCTTTTTTCCCTGTGATCGCACTAGAGGGAAGGTTTTTTAAGCACCTGTCCTATAGAGAGAAAAAAGCTGAGCTTCTCCAAAAAGGCGTTTTAGGCATGTTCGAGTTATGCACTATTTCTTGATGTGATGTTAACATAAAAAACTTTTTACAAACGAACATAATATGACGTCACAAAAAGTACGAAAGCGCAATGTTACAGACAAGACGTCGTGAAATAACGCGCAGTTCGAAAGCTCGGCTGTTTTCGAAATATGGACGGGAAAAATTTGAAATTGCGAAAGCGTGGTTATTTTCCTTTATTTTGATGTTGCTTGCCCTGAAAACCTTCCTTTGGCGAAAACAAGCCAATGAAATATTTCATTTGGTTTAGCTCCCCTTTCACTGATTAATCACTAGTTATGTTTGAGTGAGGACTTGAGAAACGCGACCTAGTGTCACGTTGGGGCATTTGAGTGTTGTCTATGAATACAGATCGCAGTACTGCTGCGAAAGTCGCGAGAGTTCAATGTTAATTTAGGCGGAGCTATGAATAAAGCGCTTCATTTGGATGCCTCGTGGCCACGGGTGATCTTTCGCTGGTAAGAATTTTGGCGTTGAATTAGTTGTTCTTGGTAAAGGTTGCCCCTGATTGTAAGGTCGATATCACGAATATCAAAGTTAACATGATTTTACATTGTATACCAATTTAAGATTGGAAGGTTGGCGCCCAAGGAAATTCCTCTTCTATGTGTTTTGATATCTGACGTATCATCTCCTTATTGTCGCCTGTCTCTCTGTATTTCTCAAACAAAGCTTCGACGTGTACCTTAGCTTGTTCTTTTGCTAAAGGTTCCACCTTTTGGTTAAACAACCTGATTTCTTCTTCGGCCAGATAATGTTCATATTCCTGTTGATCTTTGATTGATGTGTCGGACTTGGAACAACATCGATCGACGGAGATTGATATCGTTGCAAAAAGCATCGTGATCGACAGCAGAATAAATCCAATGACCTGGGACTCTGTGTTAGCAGCTTCGAACTCGCTTAAGATTTCAGGATGTTCATCTGGCGTAGTTTTGTTAAGTCGAGTCTCTAATGAACCCAGCTTTGCACAGACGTAATACTTCGTATCAAACAGAACAAATAGAAGCCATACAACTGGTGGGAGGGTACTGAGATACACAAATCTTCTCGAGCGTTGCCAGATTACTCGACGAAGATTTCTAGGAAGGCGACAGCACCCTGCCACCATCTTCCAGAATGATCTTGAGATTATCAGCGCGAAACAGAAGAATACCACCACTGGGGCAAATATGAACAACATACTATACAATTTATGGTAACGTTCAGGGCACTTGAAAACCAACTTATTCAAAAACTCTTTCAACCCCAAAACAAGTCCCGATATAAAAGCTTGTTGCAAGGGAAGTTCCACTTTTTGTATAATTTCTTTAAGAGAAGAGATTCCGCCTGTTATCAGTTGGCCGAAACTTGGATTTACCAGGGCGCCCTCCAAGCCTTCCGCCATTCTTACACCAACAGTTTCACACAAAAATGAATTAATTGAGACAATTGGTATGTAGTTGCTATTGTTTTGTGATGTAATTTCACGGTTACGTGTTTTGGACAGATGCAAAAGTTCCTCAACTACCACCCGCTGAGTACCTGCCACTTGGATTAGCGGTCTTTGCTAACTTGAATCTAGTTCCTAGCTCTAAATGCATCATGTTGTCTTCTAAAGTATTAGTTTCACTACTTGTCGCGATTTAAATGGCGAACGATTCTACGAAACATGAACAAACCCTTTTCTGCACGTCGATGGCGTAAAAACAGGAGATTTTATTCACATAAATAATACATAGATTGTCACCTAGCCCACTATACGATCATCAGAAATAACTGTTTCGTGAAATCAAAAAAAGGAATACTTTTTTGTATGTAAACGCTACTGATTTGCCGAAATCGGAAAAAATGTAAGATTACTTTGTGTCTCAGGTAAAAACATTCAGCCGTGCATTGGTGTAGGGATGGAAAATACCAGGCAATTTTCGTGCGTTCACCAGTAAGGACGTTTGTTATGTTTCCTAGTGAGTAGCGACTTACAGTGAAAGTGTTTTGCATCGAAATTGTAGTAATGAAGCTCTCTTTTGTCGTGACGATTATGTCTGTCTGTTCTTGTTATGCTTGTGGCTCACTCATGTGCAGGAATGATCATCATGCGGTGTTAAGCCATTTGCTTTTACAAGTGCGTCGGTAGATCCCCTATTAGTGTCCTAAGGTCAGATTTTAAGTTGTGTATTTGACATAGGTTTGTGTATTTTGATAAATCAACACGTATACATATGCCTCAGGATCTTCCCACGTGAATTGGTTCATGGGCAACACTACAAATATAGTGTTAATAAGGTCACACCTTGGTACTTTTACCAACACTGTTAATGGAATCAATTGAATATATTCCTCATCGATCTTGGTCACATCAATACACTAATGAAGTCCACTTCAAATCACTTCTGTGAATCAAAACTAGAAACTATATATAAAAACAAATTTTTAAAGCCAGTTGAAAAGCAAAGCCTATATGTTGCCGTTGATGCTTCGTGCTGCGTTAGATCGACAGAGAAACTCAAGTTTAACATGAATATTGTCATTAACCTTAAGATCATAACTTTGCAAATTTACTACCTCACCCACCCTCGCGGAGGAGGAGAATTGTCATGAAGAAATGGCAGACTTAAAGGTCTCACAACTCGAGTTCTCCATCTTGAAAAACGTGGACTAGATTTTTTCAAGTTTTTTAAATTGATAATCCGTGTAAATCTTTTCCATCCTTACAATTCTTGGTTCCTTTTCGGTTAATTCGTCCAAATGTTTCTTTTTCCAATTAGACTACCCTCATTTTCACTTAAGGGAGGACATGTGGAGGAAAGGTATATTCTGATTGGCTAGTTTGAGGGCTGCTAATGCCAGTTTTGTGAAAATAACGATGAGAGTGGATTCAAAATGCCGAGACCTGGCTCCTTCAACCATTTTACCCCAAGAAGTAAGCAAAAGAAACATTTCCATACAATATTTATATATTTTCTGGTAGAAAGGTGACGAATTGAAGAGAAAAATATTAAATGCAGGATATTGTTTGATTTGACACCAAATTCTCAAAGCTAAAATTAAAAGAAATGTATAGAATTAGTATTAAAGACCTTTGGAGTGGAAGGGTTACCACTCTGCCTTTCTGCCATGACGCGCAATGAACCATTCCAACATTAATCAATCAACCATGATTTGACGTCAAATGTTAAAGAGTGCCTGAGGATATCGTCATATTCACTCTTACGTTATAATTGAAAGAGTGAATTAATGACTCTAAATAGTCGTAATAAGTCTGTGACAATAACTGTATCCACAACAATATTTGCGGGCGTTTCATGACAAAGCATCAGGTCGTGGGAACAGAGGAACCGAGAAATTGAAAAAGGAAGTCAACACTGGTACACAAAGGAATTCTATGACTAATGATTTCAAGTTGAAACTTTTAAGAGAGAGATTACATATGTAAATCAAGTTGATGAGGATATTTTATGAGTAAACACAACATCGCGTGCCTTTTTTCCCATCAAGTCTGAGTAACAATGACGCACCATTGAGAGCAATCAAAGTTATCACCTCCTGTGTGTGACTGACCAGCATGAAACACCGTTAATCCGCTCAAAGTGAATTTCGCAATTTCGAACCTATCTTTGTAATCATTAAGTACTCTTCGTATCGAAACAAAACTGTCGGAAGCTTGGAAACAAACAAATTCATCTGCCAGCAACCCACCACCAGAAGTTCTAGAAGTTTCTTCCGGTCGTTCCGGTTAAAGATTTTTGTAAGCGCACATTAATTATGACTCGGCTTTTATTTCAGTGCTAAGGTGGATCAATGCCTAAACTACCCTCGGATGAAACATTAACATTTTGAAACATTAAATATATCAGAATTCTCATAATCTGTCAAACAACACATGATAGATATCCTATTGTAATGAAAAACGCAAAGCAAGATTATGTCAAAAACTTACCCAAGTTTTGAGCACTTTTTTTTTAATAGCAGAGTTTCGATTTTAATCCTCTGTCAGGCTACAGCTTTACAACATCTCAAGAGTGTCTATCCAAATTGTTGTTTGCAAACAATTCGCTGAAAAGTCTCTGAAGGAACAGCCATACAAATAGACACTATTAGCTTTTCCACACAGCCGTAATATTCATCCTACAAGCCATACGTACATCTTTCAGTAGGTAACTTAAGCTTTTAAGACCCTTGGAGCAACCCTGATTTCTTTTATCCATTGAGCGCCCTTTAGAAGTTTGTCAATTCATTTGGGTCCGTTTAGAAGAACTTGCATTGCATGACAACGTATTGTTCCAGGAAGGCTAGTTTTTAACAAAAACGTGAATAATTCTACCTCAGTTTCTCCTGATCAGCTGTCCTAGATACGGACGCTAATCAGACACAATTTTTTAAATGCTTCAGCCAGGAATAGGTTGCTTTTTTGTGAAGACATTCCGATTTTTTCTGTGTGTGAAGAAATTCAAGTACGGCCTATGAAAATGAGGTAGTCGTAACTTTTAAGTTTACAATCAAAATGTTAGTTGATGTTAACAGCCGTTTTAAGTCTGTATTTAAAAAATACATGTGGACCATGATCATTACTAACTTGTAAATGGGCTAAGATCACGAGTCGAGAAGCATTGGTTGTAATAAGGATGGAAATTTAAACCGATTAAAAATCTCAGCTTAAAGTTAAAACAATCGAGGCTATTAGTTCATTTTTAAAATTTATTTATCTATTTATTCATTTTATTTCACAAACCATTTACAACGCTCAGTTTTAAGAAAGATAATTATGAAGTAAAGAAGGGTATAAATGATTGAAACTTATCCCATGCCTTTTAATTAAATTGCATTTGTTCTACGATAGAATTGAAAAAACAAAGCTTAGGTTCAAGAGGAAAAAGAATAATATTTATGGTACTGAGATTTTAGGACAGTAAACAGGACAAAGTTTACTATTGAGGAAGATAAAACGATGGATTTACTCTTACGTAAAGTTAATATTAGTTAATTAAAAAATCGAGTTGATGGTCACGAAAGGTTTTATGAATCTTGACAGCGAGTGAAGAGTGTCACCGGGACAAAAATGTCGCACAATAAAGTACTCTTGACTTTTCTTTTGAGGTAAAAGTATTTTGATTAGAAATAAACCCTAACGGCTTTATATGTAAAATAAACATTTAAAGGTGCTGTGACTACAGTGGCATGAGATATCATGGATAGGGGAAAATGTGAAATATTGCATTAGGAGAGCAACGAAATACGTTAATGTGGCGGATTAACAGATATTTACTTCACTTGGTCAAAATTTAATAATATAGGGTTAATTTGTTTGAGTCTTACTTATGACGACACCACGATATCGCTTACTGATCTGATAAGCCTCTTACGTCCAGTGAAGAGTGCATTATATGATATTATTTTCTAATCTTCGTGGCTTAATACGTTGTGGAAAAGAAAAGGAAAGGTGTTACGACGATATTACAGACTAGGACGAACTGATGTACAGCTAAATTCTCAGAAGTATCATTAAAGGAATGCGTGTGATCACCAATGAGAATTTGAGTATCGTAGTGTGACGGTTAAGGTTCATCGATTTCATAACCGGTGCCCCCACGTCGCGGAAATACAAACGCATAAACTCACGAAAGACTGGCAGTTTTCATTTTATTTGTTTTTCAGACCACCGAAACACCAACAATCATTTGAATAAATGCTAGTCACAAGTCAAGCACGCTGTGAAAAATTATTGTCGACCTGTACACTTTACATTTTATCATTTACGAACTCGTATGACTTTTTTTTTGGCGGTATATAGCTACAGAGTCCCTGAATTTGTGTGTATCCTTTTTCTGAAATATAGAGAAAAAAGTACACATTTATATTCTTTCACAGAGAGATCGAGAAGTTCTAATTTAAACTTCCCGTTATCCTTATCAAAATTTACTTTTAAGGAGTTGTTTTTTAGACATGCGAATATATCCACGTATCTACGTCAGAAACCTGCGCTGATCCTATACAGGACATAACCATCCGATCATGAATTTTATTCAGTTATTCATTTTATTTGTATTTCAGACCACCTAAACTCCAACAATCATTTAAATAAATGCCAATCACAATTCAAGCACGCTGTGAAAAACTATTGTCAATCTGTGCGTTTTACGTTTTATCATTTACGAACACATATGACTTTTTTTTTTGGCTGTATATAGCTACAGAGTCGCTAAATTTGTTTGTACCTTTTTCCTGTTTATATCAGGTATTTGCATAGATGTTAGCTCCTGAAATACAGAGAAAAAAAAGTACACATTTATATCCCTTCACGGAGAGATCGAGAAGTTCTAATTTAAACCTTCCGTTATCCCCATTTAAATTTACTTTTAAGGAGTTGTTTTTTAGACATGCGAATATATCCACGTATCTACGTCAGAAACCTGCGCTGATCCTATACAGGACATAAACATCCGATCATGAATTTGCACGAGTCTTTGAACGCTTGACACGACCTTTAAGCTTGAAAGCCTTCTAAAGCTATGAATTTTTGGACAAGTACCAGACTTCTATAATTACAGGTTTACAATGCCTTTATTTGATTCGTTCAAAAAAGAAAACACTTCATATCGTCCTCTATTAAGGAAAAAAACTTTAGAATTTAAGTTCGCGAGAGATCAATCCTTGCAATCAACACACTAAATCGTTTCATTATGCCTCAGAAGAATAGGGCAGCCCTTAGGTATATGACCCTCAAATGAAAGCCCAAATGAAAACCCAGTAACCCTTTAACTCCCAGAAGTGATTGACATGTATCTTCTCCCTATAATATCCTCACCTCATTCAACAAACGGATGATAAGAAAACTCAAACTTATCAGTTCGAAGTTGTTATCTTAATCTTACACCTATGAAATTCTCGATACTAATTTACAAAGAAATGTGTCGCAGCTAAAGGGGAGAATTAATAATCAGATCTCGGGGGTTCAAGGGTTAAGCTGTACAGGGCGGTTCGAACTGTTTAGATACAATAATTTATACATGCATGGTCATATGCTATTGTTCTGAGGCTATGCAGCGAAACTCAGTAATTCTGACTCAGCTATCAAAGAAAAACTGTTGTGACAGCTTAAAAGAGAATTACTGGTAGACTTCTAAGAAATCTACTTAAGTTAAAAAAAAATATCGGGAAATTTGTTATATACATATTAATTAGGCATGTGCAGAGTGCATGGTATTATTGCGATGTTAACTGTACTTTGGCTCTTTGTAGAGTGACTTACTTATGGCTCTAACTTTAGCAATCCTTATAAGATTAATCTATCGCTGAAATATATATTATGATCATATCTAACATTTGTTCAGGTGATGAAGAATGTAAACGTATTTAAAACAAGAGCAATTATGTATGTACAAGTGTACAAGTGATGTCGTTGTTCAAAAGTCATGCTTCTTGTGCAAACATTCGAACGCGCTTGTTTCCCGTGCTAAGAAGAGAAAGCGCTTGGACCATTTTCTTGTCCTTGTTGTCCATTGCGATTTCAACAGGTGTAAGTCCTTCCCTCGTGTAAGCTTTTACGCTCGCTCCATTCCTAATAAGGAAAATTACAGCTCTAATATCACCTCCGCAGACAGCGGCGTGAAGAGGCGTCCATCCCTCTTTATCTCTTATGTCTACCGAAGCGCCAAACTTCAGAAACACTTCCAAACATTTCACTTTACCTTGAAATGCAGCTTCGTGCATTGCAGTCCCTCCGCTGGCGTTTAAATTGTCCAACATAATGTGTCCAGCGCTTAAAATTCCATGAAGCAGGCGAGAGTCATTCCTCGCTACAGCGGCGTCTAAAACGTATGAAGGATTTAAGAGACCTTCATCGTAATTGTTATTTAGCATGTCGAGTTCGTTCAGTTTATCCTGTGGTTCGTCTTTTGCACAATCAATGACAATAGCTGGTGGTGTCCTCTCTTGTTCTGTGGGTATTGTATGCCTCCTTTTATTGTGACAGGCGTGATTGTAAAGGTTTAAACCATTCGGAAATGCAACGTTTCCGACCGATCTACATCTCTGCAATTTCTCTTTCTTTCGTCTGTCTGCGTATCTTCGAACGGTTCCAGGCGAGTCGGTTTGAGACAGTTCCATGACAGATTCTTCTGCTAAACACACTTCAGTGCTTTTTCTTCACTTTAGAGTTAGCTGTTGACCTGTTTTCGCGAGAGTGCTCTAAGTCACTGACAAGAATTAAGAGTTTACAAAGGAAGCTCTTCACTGCGACGCTTCAAATAACTTATGACAACTTCGCCGTATTGCAATGCCTTGTAACGTGCTTTGAGCTAAATTTACATCCGTGAATGCGCCAACCGCCGTCAGATGACGGAAACCTACTTCGCCGGTCACGAGATAACATCCCTTAATCCGTGTTGTAATCCTTCTAAATACAGTATTTCATGCTCCACTGCTTGCCTTAATGGTCCTTCAGGGGGTAATTAAGATATTAGCATTTTCACAAAAGGCATCGCTCGGCACCTCTTTTGTTTGATATTCACGTCACTTTAACAATTGGTGCTCACAAGAGAGATTGGAGAGCAAGTTCCTATGACAAAAGACAAGTCAGTTTGTGATATTGTGCGCAGCATTTTCCTTTTTGTGTTAATGGCGCCCTGTGTATGCGGTGTTTGTTTAAAGCTCACAAGAACAACATAGCTTTACTTAACATGATGGCTTTTGACTATGTTTCGTATTGTTATCCCTTTCGCCGGTAATTTCATTCGCTTAAAAGTTCAAACAAACTCCACAGAGTAGTTTATTTTGTATCATAACAGATGACTACCATTTCTGCACAGGCCGAATAATCTCAGCTATTGAGCCAAATTTACTGTCCTACAAATGCAATTAAGTTGCCATCTTGCAAACACAGTCAAAATTATTTTGCGATTTTAGGGAATGGTTTTCTTTTGTTGCTCTTTGTAAACCTGTTTCCGGATCTTCAAAAATAAATCAAAAGAGTAAACAAGAATTCACGACAAGGTCTTGTTGTGAAATTGCAAACTTGTTGTTGAGTGCTGGGATCGAAATTTCAAAAAAAATTCCGAGTTGTACGTCTTGACACAAGTATATCCTCTTTAGCAAGACAATAAATCCTCCTTTAAACTAAATAGAGAATTTAGATATTTTCCCAGTGACACGTAGTGCACAGAATAGTTCGTTAATTTGCTTAAAAGATATTTACTTTTTTCCGTTTGTTGACATGGCAGTCTACACGGCTTATTTAAGAAAACATTTTTGTCCACGGAGGTCAATTTCCACGGGTTTTAACTTCGATGTTCAAGACAAACTTTTGTTGACGCCGTATTCAGGTCACGTTTCTGAAAATGAATTAAATTTTACAAGGATCCCCGTGTTCGCGCCATCACATCACTACATAGTAAACGTACTCCACTACTGTCTAATGTTCTCTGTATGTAGTTCGAGAGACTGTCAAATAACTGTCCCAGACCCCAAAATTGCGCGCGGCCAATGGAGTTTCTCCCTCTGAAGAAAATTACTTCTTCCTTTTTAGGCGATTACTGTATTACTATGTAGTTTAAGAGTTGCACCCAATTTTATTTTTATTCCATGATGTCTCACAAGTTTTTTATGGAAACTAGGAATGAAAACCGCAAGCACTTCAGCTAAAATAAGATTGTAGCCGTGGGAGATGAAAGGAAGCGAAAATATTGGCTTATACTTCGAATGTACGGTGTTCCCTGATATTTTTTGTTTTTTTTTTCATTTTCGCCTACAGAGAAAATTCATGACTACATTCAGAATTATGTCCGGTTAGACACAATTTTTTAAATGCTTCAGCCAGGAATAGGTTGCTTTTTGTGAAGACATTCCGATTTTTTCTGTGTGTGAAGAAATTCAAGTACGGCCTATAAAAATGAGGTAGTCGTAACTTTTAAGTTTACAATCAAAATGTTAGTTGATGTTAACAGCCGTTTTAAGTCTGTATTTAAAAAATACATGTGGACCATGATCATTACTAACTTGTAAATGGGCTAAGATCACGAGTCAATAAGCATCAGTTGTAATAAGGATGGAAATTTAAACCGATTAAAAATCTCAGCTTAAAGTTAAAACAATCGAGGCTTTCAGTTCATTTTTAAAATTTATTTATCTATTTATTCATTTTATTTCACAAACCATTTACAACGCTCAGTTTTAAGAAAGATAATTATAAAGTTTAACACTCTTTAGAATGTAGAACGAATTTTTTTGTTTGTTTGTGTATATTGTTTCTCTTCGTCTTTTATATTCTTTTGGGTAGCTGGAAATTTACATAAGCAAGCTGGATTCAGACACAGTCGGACATGACGTTAGTTCTGGTCACATTGAACAAGTCAAGTTATTCTTCAGCTGCATGCTGAGAAACGAGTTGGCAAAAAAAAATCTGTTTCGTACGACGCCGCGGCGACTTAGGATGACAAGTAACGAAACAGAAAAATTCCTTTTGTGACTCATTTATTGCTAATAAAATATCTAAATATGTTAGACGACCCACTGATGAGACATGAAAGATAAAAGACGTTAACTGCAAGAAATACATGTATATTGTTTATAGCCCGTGAGACGTTTTAAATAATGATCTTCAACAGAATACGACGATGGCTTATTTTTTTCTCCCTTACCAGACATTGGCTCTCATTAGATACCTGTAGTAAACTCAGTGGAAAAAGATTTTTATCTTTTTTTTTTTCTCAATATTTTCTGGAAATGTCATCCTTGAGACCTGTCGATTAACTTGTGGTTAAACTTTTTTTTTCTTTCTGTACCAAATTAATATCCTTTATGTCCAAAAGAAAATGGTTAGTTTTTAGGGCATGCGTAACGTACCTCGCCTCTTGAAGACTTAAGCCTAAGAGAAATTTCGGTTGCTTTAAGTGTTAGAAACGACCTAAGTTAAGAAAAATCGGGGTGCAAATTACATGACTCCAGATCAAAATGATCTTAATATAATAATACGCCTCTTTCATTTGTTTTCCACCACCCTCGTATAATACAAACTTCAGGCCTCCCTATCTCTCTCCTCTCCTCAACCCCATCTTTGCTAATTCGTTTATGCACGCACTTTGTTTGATAAACAAAAAACTTTTGGTTGCAAGAGTTGTTTCTTAGGATGCCAAAGGAAGAAACTTAACTTTTTCCCAATATCTACTTGGTTCTCTAGGAAGTCCAGTCGGTGCAGTTTCGTGGATCAAACATGAATTTTTCAGCTTATTTGGAAAACAAATCGAGTGCAACAGGTGAAGTAATTTATCAACATTGTTTTTCGTTAGAGATTATTACTAAGTTGGTTACCTCAGTTAGTGCTTTGCCAGTTTTGAAAATGTTGTGTCCACGAAATCATCTCCACTAAAAGGGACGATGGGTTGGATACGAGCACTTTTTCTGTCGACTGTTGTCCTGCAAGTGTAAGTAAATCAAGTCCCTCTTTTTGATGTAATTTAACTCGTCTAGAATTTTGCTTTGAACGTTCTTTGTATCCAACAGCAGATACTCAAACAGCATATTTTAAAATGAAAGATGAAAAGTGTTATGGGCTAATAGTTTCTATAAAAGTAACTAACTTGAAAAAAGGTTTATTCTGTTGCTCTCAAGATTCTTTGGTCATCTTGAGAACGCCTTTTAATGGGCTTTAATTGTTGCTAATTTTGTCTAGCGTTTTAAGCGAGAAAATCATGTTAATAACGACGCCTGTTTCGTAAACGTTATCGATGATAAGTTTTCTAAAATCTTCAAATTTCCTCTAATAATCGTACCTTCCTTTTAAAGTTATCCACCCTTTAGATTTCTACAAAGAGAATTTGATCTTGAGATTCGATCGAAAATATACAATATGCAAACCTGTTGTCCACCATCAATTGCTGGGCTTATTTCAACGTTAACATTATTCAATTCACGAAATCAACAGACAATGTAATTATTGCAGGAACAAGTGGCATTAAAAGATCGATCTTCACTTGGAAAGTCGACCGAGGAAATTATTTTCCTCTTTGATCTTTGTCAGTTAGGTTTCCTTAAGTGTTCATTCTTATGTATTATTTATCGATTAAGAAATTAGTTACCAGTCCTAAATTAAGAGAATTTTTTGTTACTAGACATGAAAGAGCACCTGGGTACTATACAACGTAAAACTTACACTAAGACAAGCGTTCGCTCACTGAACCATAGGGTCCAGTTGAGAAGAAATAATATGGTTGCATGCGTGTGAACAAAAGTATTTTGTTTAAAGTTAAGGAGACACCTTGCACTTTGCAGGTCTTGCTGTTTCTTGTTTGTAAATATGCCGTGAAAATTTGTTTCAAGTGTGGTGCAATAAGGAAAAACATCACGTCCCTCTGTAATGGTGGTTAAAAATATTACACTGGGAAAAAATTTAAATCAAATACAGCAAGCATGACAATCTGTCATTTAAATATTTTATGTCAGTCTTTTTAATTGTGATGAAATCAGTTCTAGCTGGTGAAAGCAAAACTTTTTTTAATAGTTTTCGTTGTGGATTATCATCTCTTTGAAATAATTAACAATTATTCCATAAATGCATGTTGATAATTGTTCAACTGATAAAATTTCAATAAATCCTGAATGTTTGGATATCTGGTGATTTTTTCAGCTTCGCAACAGTTGTGCAATGTATTTCCATATAAGGTGACTCGGAATATGGGCTGATAACTGTAGTTGAGTGAAACAATCAGAATATTCAGAGCTGAAAATTTATTGATGAGAAATATTCGAGTTTCTTCGACTAAAACCGAGAGAAGTGCGATGTTACATTCGTATCTGTTGAAACTAGTGTTTATATATTTCTTCACCCAGGTACCAGTCACGGGAAGTAAATGGTGAGTTTTCCTAAAAGAGCTTTTTCAATTAAGTGCTTAAAGTAATCGAAGTTTGTTTTGGTTTTGCTTTACTTTATTCTGTGATTGGTCAAGAAAACTTGCGCATTTTTCTCAACCAATCAGATGCCATTTGGTCACTCATTGGCGGAAAGAGTTAAGTCAGTGACGAATGTTGATGCAAAGACACACTGATTTCAGTGCAACTCAGTAACATACTTTCATCTCAAACGGAACATGAATTAATTTTTTTTTACTCACAAATATTAGCGATTTTGACACGAATTACTAAATCGGTGCCATCGATACAAAATTCATGACCTGTGTTGTTTCTCTTGCTTCTAGGAAGATCAATCCCCCGTCCAGGTATGTTTTGAGCATCACGGCTTAAGTCCATTACAATAAAGCCAACGAAGTTTCCTCTCAATTTTAATAGTTTTAGAATGCAGGCCCTCTAAGATAAAATGCTCCTAAATAGAACTATTCTTCCGGTAAGTCAAACATAACTTACTTCGATCGATGAAATCTGAAGGGTGCGTAAGTGATAGCCCTTAACTTATTTCTATTTCTTTTAGCTGGAAAAAGTTGAGCATAACGAACAGAGATCACGAAAAGGGATCCTTTCGGGCCCGTTGAATTTTAATGCATCTAAAATGAAACCTTAAAAAATGAGCACGGGTGTACCTTAAATACCCTACACTTTCTTTTTTATCCGATGAATATCTGAAGCATTAGTTCTGAAAAAATATAGATCATAGATTGGATAGTAGTGGAAAAAAACCTTTTTGTGACGACGATTGAAGGGTAGATTTTATGGTGTAAATAGGCAAAGCCTACCTTCCCCTACAAAATTTCATCTCTGCATGCAACTACCATTACACATTGTAACAGAGAGATCAATGATGTCTTATACTGATTTGATTACAGTGTGCCGTGCCCGGGTCGACTTGGCTTTCGTCATCGATGGTTCAGGAAGCATCGAGCAGTATGGCAAAGGAAACTTCCGACGATGCCTCAACTTTGTCAGAGCGATTGTCAGCCGCTTCAACTTTAGAGGCGGGCAAACCCGAGTAGGGGTCGTACTGTACTCGTCAAGGCCTCGACTGATCTTCGACTTTCGACGTTATCGTTCCAAAGGACAAATTCTAAATGCCGTTAGTCGCATACGATACCCCAGGGGTAGTACGAGGACCGGATATGCTATGCGGTACTGTTATAGCCGGGTGTTCCGATATGCACGGAGAGGAGTTCGTAAGGTATAACTGTAAGATACTTGACTGGCAAAACATCTCAACCACTTTTTATCAGCTGAAAAACTAAATATTCCATTTCCCTTACCTAACCAGAAGTTGGATCTTATGTGTTTCAGGTTGCTATAGTAATGACTGATGGAAGATCATATGACAGTGTGGTGTCTCCTGCAAATTTGTTCCGACGAGCAAACATCAAATGTTATGCGGTTGGAATCGGTCGGAAATACAACAGTAGACAGCTCTTACAAATAGCGGCAGGACGTAGAAGTCACGTGATAACAGCCGGGTTTAGACAATTGGGCTCTATAGTGGGTACTATACAACGACGAGCATGTAGAGGTGTGTTACTTTTTAATTTGAACTTAAGTGTTAGAACTATATGGCTTCATAAAATAGAACATGTATAATTATAAAAAAACAAATGATCTAAACAATAAACGTACACTTTAGATTCTGATTGGTTTATTTATATATTTTTCATTTTGAAGCAAAGCTGATGTGTTTTTCCTGCAGGTACACGTCCTATTAGACCACCAGTAAGACCAGGAACAGGAGGTATGTTTGTCACACATCTTGTACACGATAAAATTAAAGTTGGGATCATATTGCATCTGATATTAATATTCTCATAAGTTGACGGCAGCAGCATACCTTTCTTTAAGCTCGGGGTTTATTCTGCCGCAATGGGGTTTTTAAGCTCATCTCTGTACAAAAAAAAAGTCTAACTGGATAGAAATTGCAAGGAGGACTTTTTGTGTATACAGAGCTGAGATAAATTTTGAATGCTTTTGGTGTAGGGGTCACCCTAGTGTGATGCCATTTTTTTAAATGACCGTAACTGACACCATTCCGATATTCATTTCTTACGACGCGTTAGTTTTTTGCAGCATTATAGAGTCCAAATTAAAGGTTGAAAGGATAGGTGATTAAGACAAATAGGTTTTGCAGATGAACGGAAATGATGCCCAAGGAACTCACTCATTGACCAATCAGAGTTGTGTTACTTTCTTTGAGTCGTCCTAAAATGACAAACGCGCAACTCTCCCTACACACTGTAAAAGAAAGTTCACTCCTGTGTTCGCATCTAATTGCAGCGTGCCGTGCCCGGGTCGACCTGGCTTTCGTTATCGATGGCTCAGGAAGCATCGAGCAGTATGGCAAAGGAAACTTCCGACGATGCCTCAACTTTGTCAGAGCGATTGTCAGCCGCTTTAACTTCAGAGGCGGGCAAACCCGAGTAGGAGTTGTATTGTACTCGTCAAGGCCTCGACTGATCTTCGACTTTCGACGTTATCGTTCCAAAGGACAAATTCTAAATGCCATTAGTCGCATACGATACCCCAGGGGTAGTACGAGGACCGGATATGCTATGCGGTACTGTTATAGCCGGGTGTTCCGGTATGCACGGAGAGGAGTTCGTAAGGTATAATTGTAAGATATTGATAAACCATCTCAACTACATTTGTATCAGCAGGAAAACTAGATGCTCCATTCTCTATACCTAAACAGAAGCTGGATCTTTTGTGTTTCAGGTTGCTATAGTAATGACTGATGGAAGATCATATGACAGTGTGGTGTCTCCTGCAAATTTGTTCCGACGAGCAAACATCAAATGTTACGCGGTTGGAATCGGTCGGAAATACAATAGTAGACAGCTCTTACAAATAGCAGCAGGACGTAGAAGTCACGTGATAACAGCCGGGTTTAGACAATTGGGCTCTATAGTGGGTACTATACAACGACGAGCATGTAGAGGTGTGTTACTTTTTAATTTGAACTTAAGTGTTAGAACTATATGGCTTCATAAAATAGAAGATCTATAATTATAGAGCAACAGATGATTTAAACAATAAACAAATACTGTGGAGTCTTTTTGGTTTATCTTTTCTATTTATTTTTCAATTTTACTCAAAGCTAATGTGTTTTTGCTGCAGGTACACGTCCTGTCAGACCTCCAGTAAGACCACCAAGAGGGGGTAGGTTATTCACACACTTTGTATACAATAACATTAAACTCGTTTTCACATCGCATCTGATATCAATATTCTCATAAGGTGATGGCAGTAGCAGGCATTTGTTTGAGCCCAGGTTTTATTTTGTGCAATGGGGTTTTGAAGTTCATTTTTTAAACAAAAGAAAACAGTCCAGCTGGATAAAAGTTGCAAGAAAGAACTTTTTGTGTCAAGAAGGCCAGGGGAATATTGTCGCGTTAAAGTATTCAGCTTTTCTATCCCAGCCCTGCTTTTCTAATGCTTTTTTGCACAGGGGTCACGCTCATAAAATGCGATTTTATTAAAATGATCGAAACTAGCAACAGTCCGATATTGATTCCCTACTAGGTGTTAGTTTTTTGCGGCATTATAGATTTAAAATAAAGGTTGAAACAATTCGTAGTTAAGACAAACAGGTTTGCAGATGAACGGAAATGATGCCTAAAGAACTGACCCATTGGCCAATCAGAGTTGTGTTACTTTCTTTGAGTCGTTCTAAAATGAAAAACGCGCCCAACTGTCCCTACACACTGTAAAGGAAAGTTCACTCCTGTTTTCATATCTAATTACAGCGTGCCGTGCTCGGGTCGACTTGGCTTTCGTCATCGATGGTTCAGGAAGCATCGAGCAGTATGGCAAAGGAAACTTCCGACGATGCCTCAACTTCGTCAGAGCGATTGTCAGCCGCTTTAACTTCAGAGGCGGGCAAACCCGAGTAGGAGTCGTACTGTACTCGTCAAGTCCTCGTCTGATCTTCGACTTTCGACGTTATCGTTCCAAAGGACAAATTCTAAATGCCATTAGTCGCATACGATACCCCAGGGGTAGTACGAGGACCGGATATGCTATGCGGTACTGTTATAGCCGGGTGTTCCGGTATGCACGGAGAGGAGTTCGTAAGGTATAACTGTAAGATATTTGACTGGTGAAGCCATCTCAACTACATTTGTATTAGTAGGAAAACTAGATGTTCCATTTCCCTTATCTAAACAGAAGTTGGATCTTTTGTATTTTAGGTTGCTATAGTAATGACTGATGGAAGATCATATGATAGTGTGGTGTCTCCTGCAAATTTGTTCCGACGAGCAAACATCAAATGTTATGCGGTTGGAATCGGTCGGAAATACAACAGTAGACAGCTCTTACAAATAGCGGCAGGACGTAGAAGTCACGTGATAACAGCCGGGTTTAGACAATTGGGCTCTATAGTGGGTACTATACAACGACGAGCATGCAGAGGTGTGTTACTTTTTAATTTGAACTTCAATATTGGAACTATAAGGCTTCATAAAATAGAAGATCTATAATTATAGAGCAACAGATGATTTAAACAATAAAAACAAATACAAAAAGAGTCTTTTTGGTTTATTTTTTCTATTTATTTTTCAATTTAAGTTAAAGATGATGTGTTTTTCCTGCAGGTACACGCCCTGTCAGACCCCCAGTAAGACCACCAAGAGGGGGTAAGTTATTCACACACTTTGTACAAAATAACATTAAACTCATTTTCACATCGCATCTGATATCAATATTCTCATAAAGTGATGGCAGCAGCAGGTATTTCTCTAAGCCCGGGGTTTGTTCTGCGTAATGGGGTTTTGAAGCTCATTTCAGGACAGAGAAAAATCGGTCTAGCTGGATAGAAATTGCTAGAAATAATTTTTAGTCTACAAGGCTAACGGAATATTGTGTCGGAAAAGTCTTCAGCCTTCGTATCCCAGCCCTACTTGTCTAATGCTTTTTTTACAGGGGTCACGCTCATAAAATGCGTTTTTTTTAAATGACCGAAACTAGCAACAGTCCGATACTGATTTCCAAGGGTTTTGAAGCTCATTTCTTGAAAAAAAAAGAAAAAAACGGTCTAGCTAGATAGACATTGGAAGGAGGACTATTTTGTGTCTACAGAGCTAGGAGAAATTTTTAATGCTTTCGGTGTGGAGTTCACGCTAATAGGATGCCGTTTTTTTTTAATAACCTAAACTAACACCATTCCGATATTCATTTCTTACTAGGCGTTAGTTTTTTGCAGCATTATAGAGTCCAAATTAATGGTTTGAAAGGATAGGTGGTTAGGAAAAACAGGTTTTGCAGTTCAACGGAAATGATGCCTAAAGAACTGACCCATTGGCCAATCAGAGTTGTGTTACTTTCTTTGAGTCGTTCTAAAATGAAAAACGTGCCCAACTGTCCCTACACACTGTAAAAGAAAGTTCACTCCTGTGTTCATGTCTAATTGCAGCGTGCCGTGCTCGGGTCGACTTGGCTTTCGTCATCGATGGTTCAGGAAGCATCGAGCAGTATGGCAGAGGAAACTTCCGACGATGCCTCAACTTCGTCAGAGCGATTGTCAGCCGCTTTAACTTCAGAGGCGGGCAAACCCGAGTAGGAGTCGTACTGTACTCGTCAAGTCCTCGTCTGATCTTCGACTTTCGACGTTATCGTTCCAAAGGACAAATTCTAAATGCCATTAGTCGCATACGATACCCCAGGGGTAGTACGAGGACCGGATATGCTATGCGGTACTGTTATAGCCGGGTGTTTCGATATGCACGGAGAGGAGTTCGTAAGGTATAATTGTAAGATTTTGATAAACCATCTCAACTACATTTGTATCAGCAGGAAAACTAGATGCTCCATTTTCTATACTTAAACAGAAACTGGATCTTTTGTATTTCAGGTTGCTATAGTAATGACTGATGGAAGATCATATGACAGTGTGGTGTCTCCTGCAAATTTGTTCCGACGAGCAAACATCAAATGTTATGCGGTTGGAATCGGTCGGAAATACAACAGTAGACAGCTCTTACAAATAGCGGCAGGACGTAGAAGTCACGTGATAACAGCCGGGTTTAGACAATTGGGCTCTATAGTGGGTACTATACAACGACGAGCATGCAAAGGTGTGTTAGTAGATTTTAGTATGAGATATAAAGGCTTCATAGACAAGAAAATTTGTCATTATAATGGATTATTATCAAAAGAAATGTATTATTTTTAATTTTGAATGAAAGCTGGTGTGTTTTGCTTCCAGGTACGCGCCCTGTGAGACCTCCAAGTGGAGGGAGTAAGTTTATTGTTTTTTTTTTTATGGTAACAGTTTTGGCATCGTGCCTGAACCACGAAACATTTTAAAGAAAGAAAAGCTCAGTATTACAAAGGAAGAGCTACAGTTAAATTGATATGAATAAATATGAACGATATATAAAGTTTTTCCCTTTTTCTTGCCTGGTATAATAGAGTAACTTTAAAAAAATCAGGGATACAGAGCTACTTAGACCTAACTTTAATTTCATGATCAATGACGTTTATCGAAGTCTGGCATAAAATGTTAGGCTAATTTCAATGGAACACACAAGGCGTAATCGCTGTTTTCAACAGGCTTATTGGTGACTTTTTTCTTTAAAAGGGGGAATTTGTAACCTTCCAAAAGTAACTGGTCCTTGCCGTGCTGCAATGCGAAGATGGTACTACAATAGGGCCACAGGAAGGTGCCAGATGTTCATTTATGGCGGGTGCCGAGGAAATGCTAATAACTTTGGGTCAAAAGCTGAATGTGAACGAAAATGCCTCAGAAGAAGTAAGTTTAAGCTAAAAAAAATTAATTAACAATTTTAAAAAACGGCAACCTAAGCAATTTGAAATTTACTATCCTTAGCAGGCCACAAAAATTTTGTCATGAATTGTTGTAAAAATATGATTTTTTTTAACATAATATGACCAGCTCTTGAAAAGTTGAACCAAAGATGTATGAAATAAATCATTCTGAAATTAGAAGCATGCACCGTCTGTTTCACATGGCCGTTAGACTATGAGCAAGGCCCCGTAAAAAAGCAGTATTTTCACCCGTCATACACTTACACATACACAGAGAAAAATCGGTCTAGCTGGATAGAAATTGCTAGAAATAATTTTTAGTCTACAAGGCTAACGGAATATTGTGGCGGAAAAGTCTTCAGCCTTCGTATCCCAGCCCTACTTGTCTAATGCTTTTTGTACAGGGGTCACGCTCATAAAATGCGTTTTTTTTAAATGACCGAAACTAGCAACAGTCCGATACTGATTTCCAAGGGTTTTGAAGCTCATTTCTTGAAAAAAAAAGAAAAAAACGGTCTAGCTAGATAGAAATTGGAAGGAGGACTATTTTGTGTCTACAGAGCTAGGAGAAATTTTTAATGCTTTCGGTGTGGAGTTCACGCTAATAGGATGCCGTTTTTTTTTAATAACCTAAACTAACACCATTCCGATATTCATTTCTTACTAGGCGTTAGTTTTTTACAGCATTATAGAGTCCAAATTAATGGTTTGAAAGGATAGGTGGTTAGGAAAAACAGGTTTTGCAGTTCAACGGAAATGATGCCTAAAGAACTGACCCATTGGCCAATCAGAGTTGTGTTACTTTCTTTGAGTCGTTCTAAAATGAAAAACGTGCCCAACTGTCCCTACACACTGTAAAAGAAAGTTCACTCCTGTGTTCATGTCTAATTGCAGCGTGCCGTGCTCGGGTCGACTTGGCTTTCGTCATCGATGGTTCAGGAAGCATCGAGCAGTATGGCAGAGGAAACTTCCGACGATGCCTCAACTTCGTCAGAGCGATTGTCAGCCGCTTTAACTTCAGAGGCGGGCAAACCCGAGTAGGAGTCGTACTGTACTCGTCAAGTCCTCGTCTGATCTTCGACTTTCGACGTTATCGATCCAAAGGACAAATTCTAAATGCCATTAGTCGCATACGATACCCCAGGGGTAGTACGAGGACCGGATATGCTATGCGGTACTGTTATAGCCGGGTGTTTCGATATGCACGGAGAGGAGTTCGTAAGGTATAATTGTAAGATTTTGATAAACCATCTCAACTACATTTGTATCGGCAGGAAAACTAGATGCTCCATTTTCTATACTTAAACAGAAACTGGATCTTTTGTGTTTCAGGTTGCTATAGTAATGACTGATGGAAGATCATATGACAGTGTGGTGTCTCCTGCAAATTTGTTCCGACGAGCAAACATCAAATGTTATGCGGTTGGAATCGGTCGGAAATACAACAGTAGACAGCTCTTACAAATAGCGGCAGGACGTAGAAGTCACGTGATAACAGCCGGGTTTAGACAATTGGGCTCTATAGTGGGTACTATACAACGACGAGCATGCAGAGGTGTGTTACTTTTTAATTTGAACTTCAATATTGGAACTATAAGGCTTCATAAAGTAGAAGATCTATAATTATAGAGCAACAGATGATTTAAACAATAAAAACAAATACAAAAAGAGTCTTTTTGGTTTATTTTTTCTATTTATTTTTCAATTTAAGTTAAAGATGATGTGTTTTTCCTGCAGGTACACGCCCTGTCAGACCCCCAGTAAGACCACCAAGAGGGGGTAAGTTATTCACACACTTTGTACAAAATAACATTAAACTCATTTTCACATCGCATCTGATATCAATATTCTCATAAAGTGATGGCAGCAGCAGGTATTTCTCTAAGCCCGGGGTTTGTTCTGCGTAATGGGGTTTTGAAGCTCATTTCAGGACAGAGAAAAATCGGTCTAGCTGGATAGAAATTGCTAGAAATAATTTTTAGTCTACAAGGCTAACGGAATATTGTGGCGGAAAAGTCTTCAGCCTTCGTATCCCAGCCCTACTTGTCTAATGCTTTTTTTACAGGGGTCACGCTCATAAAATGCGTTTTTTTTAAATGACCGAAACTAGCAACAGTCCGATACTGATTTCCAAGGGTTTTGAAGCTCATTTCTTGAAAAAAAAAGAAAAAAACGGTCTAGCTAGATAGAAATTGGAAGGAGGACTATTTTGTGTCTACAGAGCTAGGAGAAATTTTTAATGCTTTCGGTGTGGAGTTCACGCTAATAGGATGCCGTTTTTTTTTAATAACCTAAACTAACACCATTCCGATATTCATTTCTTACTAGGCGTTAGTTTTTTACAGCATTATAGAGTCCAAATTAATGGTTTGAAAGGATAGGTGGTTAGGAAAAACAGGTTTTGCAGTTCAACGGAAATGATGCCTAAAGAACTGACCCATTGGCCAATCAGAGTTGTGTTACTTTCTTTGAGTCGTTCTAAAATGAAAAACGTGCCCAACTGTCCCTACACACTGTAAAAGAAAGTTCACTCCTGTGTTCATGTCTAATTGCAGCGTGCCGTGCTCGGGTCGACTTGGCTTTCGTCATTGATGGTTCAGGAAGCATCGAGCAGTATGGCAGAGGAAACTTCCGACGATGCCTCAACTTCGTCAGAGCGATTGTCAGCCGCTTTAACTTCAGAGGCGGGCAAACCCGAGTAGGAGTCGTACTGTACTCGTCAAGTCCTCGTCTGATCTTCGACTTTCGACGTTATCGTTCCAAAGGACAAATTCTAAATGCCATTAGTCGCATACGATACCCCAGGGGTAGTACAAGGACCGGATATGCTATGCGGTACTGTTATAGCCGGGTGTTTCGATATGCACGGAGAGGAGTTCGTAAGGTATAATTGTAAGATTTTGATAAACCATCTCAACTACATTTGTATCAGCAGGAAAACTAGATGCTCCATTTTCTATACTTAAACAGAAACTGGATCTTTTGTGTTTCAGGTTGCTATAGTAATGACTGATGGAAGATCATATGACAGTGTGGTGTCTCCTGCAAATTTGTTCCGACGAGCAAACATCAAATGTTATGCGGTTGGAATCGGTCGGAAATACAACAGTAGACAGCTCTTACAAATAGCGGCAGGACGTAGAAGTCACGTGATAACAGCCGGGTTTAGACAATTGGGCTCTATAGTGGGTACTATACAACGACGAGCATGCAAAGGTGTGTTAGTAGATTTTAGTATGAGATATAAGGGCTCCATAGACGAGAAAATTTGTCATTATAATGGATTATTATCAAAAGAAATGTATTATTTTTAATTTTGAATGAAAGCTGGTGTGTTTTGCTTCCAGGTACGCGCCCTGTGAGACCTCCAAGTGGAGGGAGTAAGTTTATTGTTTTTTTTTTAAGGTAACAGTTTTAGCATCGTGCCTGAACCACGAAACATTTTAAAGAAAGAAAAGCTCAGTATTACAAAGGAAGAGCTACAGTTAAATTGATATGAATAAATATGAACGATATATAAAGTTTTTCCCTTTTTCTTGCCTGGTATAATAGAGTAACTTTAAAAAAATCAGGGATACAGAGCTACTTAGACCTAACTTTAATTTCATGATCAATGACGTTTATCGAAGTCTGGCATAAAATGTTAGGCTAATTTCAATGGAACACACAAGGCGTAATCGCTGTTTTCAACAGGCTTATTGGTGACTTTTTTCTTTAAAAGGGGGAATTTGTAACCTTCCAAAAGTAACTGGTCCTTGCCGTGCTGCAATGCGAAGATGGTACTACAATAGGGCCACAGGAAGGTGCCAGATGTTCATTTATGGCGGGTGCCGAGGAAATGCTAATAACTTTGGGTCAAAAGCTGAATGTGAACGAAAATGCCTCAGAAGAAGTAAGTTTAAGCTAAAAAAAATTAATTAACAATTTTAAAAAACGGCAACCTAAGCAATTTGAAATTTACTATCCTTAGCAGGCCACAAAACTTTTGTCATGAATTGTTGTAAAAATATGATTTTTTTTAACATAATATGACCAGCTCTTGAAAAGTTGAACCAAAGATGTATGAAATAAATCATTCTGAAATTAGACGCATACACCGTCTGTTTCACATGGCCGTTAGACTATGAGCAAGGCCCCGTAAAAAAGCAGTATTTTCACCCGTCATACACTTACCAAATTCCGAGCATTTCAGTTATGCTGAGAGTGATTATTTTCTGCATTTTCTGTTTACTTAGGGCTTTTAAATAACATCCAGATAGCTGGTAGATCTGATTTCATGTTATGGGCTGGCTAAAATCTGACATACATTAAATTCTCTTCAAATTGGTTGACGGCTAAGAAAAAGAGAGCAACCGGCTTTTTAATGGATCTCAAAATGCCAAAAATGCAATTGTAATATTCAAACCATCAAAATTTTACCAGGGGAGCCAAGAATTCCCCAACAAGTGGAAGCCCTTCAGGCCTACAAAATTTCCCAGAGAAGCCCGGACGAACCTAGGGAGTGAAAGCTCCTCAGGCCTTCAAAACTACTCGCCTAACATTAACCCTAAACCACCAAACATTATTGAAACCACTGTTGCCGAAACTATCGCGATGTTACAGTAATGCCATCCCTCTTTTGGAAGTATTTTTTCTGAAAAAACATTGAAAATTCGTTACACCGTCAAGACTATCAGATATCCCTTACTACACTGTTATATAAAAAAATACTTTCAGTGGCAATTCCAATTTTTTATTACTTGTTTTTGCTCATACGCTTGTTTTGTTAAGTAAAAAGTCTTTTACGCAGAACTTACAATTGCTCTTTGTTGTTTCATTTTAGGGAGAGTTATCAGAATTACTGCAAACGTCATAGGTAAGAATTTTTTTTTTGTACCTGAGGCATCTACTGAGAACTGATGTGTTTTAATGGAAGGACTCGGGTTTCCTTAATCGTTAGTTGTTTTTACCCCAATTTCATAGGAAGTACGTCGTGGAAAGGCGTGAATTAGAGGGAAAACTATTTTTCAAGCGAGCTAAATAAAAAGTGTCGATGTGAATTCATAACTCAATAAGTTAATAATACTAATTGACCTGTCTTGAATTCAAAGACTTGTGAGTACATATACGCTACTCATTTTAATTCGAGGCCCTTGCACAACCTTTGAATAATCACATGTTGAGTGTTTACTTTCACAGCAATAAGTAAAGGATGCTTCAGGGACACTGGTCGACGAGCGGTAGCAACACTGGAAGGCAGAAGTCGTCTTTTGAAAGGAAGTTACCGCAGAAGGCGTTACGCAATTCAGAAGTGTGCTATGGCAGCGAAAAGGCGAGGTTGGGGTGTTTTCGCAGTGCAACATGGTGGATGGTGTGCTTCCGCGAAATATGCGTATCGAACATATGGTAAATACGGAAGATCCAACAGATGTAGACATGGAAAGGGAGGACCTTGGGCAAATGACGTCTACTTTCTTAAGGGTAAGTTTGTTAAAAAAGTGACTGAGTCTGTCAATATCTATGTACAACAAGTCAAAATCTGAGAATGGATTTTTACCGAGGTACCACAAGTTGATGTTGAAACTTCATTTAAAAATTTTACTCCACATTTAATTTAACTTTTTATCCAAACACATTCGAAATAATCAAAGGGAACTTAACTTACCTTAAGTTAAAAGCTTGATTTTGTGCCATTGTTTACGAAAAGCTTCCGGAAACGCGTACAGCACCAAGTTTTCCCGCCAAAATATCACCGGTGTAACTGAGCGAAGGCTGGGACTCTTTAAACCAAAATGGCGGACAGTGAGCCACTATGTCCATCAGTTGTTTTGTTAACGAGAAAAAATTTCACGACATTCCAGCCTATGATTGAAATACATTTGAGCTTTCTATATTTCAAGTTAACTCCCTTTCACGATATGAGTGCCTGTAAGACGAGAAGTTGTGATCATAACGTTTGTCCAGGCAGTGCATCTGCGAATCGCGTGCCATGGAATTTGTTACAAAGTCAGTACAGTGTCTTCAGTAATGCAGTTCTCACAGTAAGTTTTCATAAACTAAGATAATCTCACAACATAAATATCCTGTGAGTGCGTTGGAAACGGGAAAATATATTGTATAAGAACAAGTCCTTTAGCTGTTGCCTAATTTTTTTGGCGTTTTTCAGGGTCATGTCGAAAACGCACAACTCAAAACTTCTGTTGCGTGTTTCCGTTCATTTACCGCGGCAAACGATACAACAGTTGTACCAGAATAAGATCTCGACGGCCATGGTGTGCTACAACTCCCAACTATGATGTAGACAAATTGTTTGGATATTGTGGTGGTGCAGGTGAAGAAATGTGTTTGATGACTCAACTTTAAATTCCGTTAAATTTATTTCGTTGGTAATACTAAGTAAAATGAGTAATTTAGATTTTCAGATTAAGATTATATTTTGGCAAGAAAATACATTTTTTAATTATATATGCAAATTTGTTTGTGAGGAAGCTCATTTGGCTGATGACTGCGAGCTTCCCCCTTAACTAAGACTTAAATTTAGTTAATTTGTGGACTGTAATCGGTGTAAAAAAGCTATTACGAGAAAGACAAATGGACCAAGCACAGCATTTTTTTGATGTGAAATCAAAATTATGATTTCAGTCCCATAGTTCTAGACACAAAGCCTTATTACTAGTACTTCCGTTTTGGAATCACATCATTTGATGGTCCAAGTTATTGGATATTGGTAGTCACAATTGTTGTACTAATCCTGTGGCAAAAGAAAATGAATATGAAAATTAGGAAAAGAGTATAATTGGTGAATAAATAACATTGCTGAAATCTGCAATCCAATTGCTTGTTTTGTCTTACTCTTCCATCCTTACTGGTTGGGGGAGAAGGTGCTCTTCATAGAAAAAAGTGTGATTTTTGAATAAATTACATCTTTCTGATTAAGGGCCAATCAAATTACAAGGGTCACTAGTTATTTTCAAATAGATGTGATAAAGTATGAGTATTTTATTTCTACTTTCAGGACGTCTAGTAAGACTCACACCACCCCTGAGACGTAAGTGTTTATAAACCAAATTCTAAACTGATGATAGTGGTGGTGCTGATAATACTTTGTGTAATAAGAATGCAGTTCAGACTTTTGTCAAGGGTACTATTAGAAGAGTGAAAAAAGTTTTAATGACAGACTGATCATATGCTAGTAAGTGATCAAAAACTGAATCTAGGTCAAACCAAAAGCTTCCTTGCAGTCTGTCCATGCCAAATTTTGTTTAATTTTTTGGTCTAATATTATAATATAACATAACAAAACACATTTCTTTTGTCCTCTTTTTTCAGTCCAGAGAATTGGTTGTTTTAAGGATACATGGCGTAGGGCCATCCCACAACTAGATGGTAAAAGTCCTATGTTAAGAGGAAACTATAAGCGCCGAAGAAAAGCTATTGAAAAATGTGCTTATGAAGCTGTAAGGCGTGGCTATCAGTTCATTGGAATCCAAGATGGTGGATGGTGTGCATCTGGACCGAGGGCTCACAAAACCTTTGCTAAGTATGGCCGATCAAACAGATGTAGGAATGGCAAAGGTGGACCTTGGGCTAATGATGTTTACAGGATTATAGGTGAGACTGTGTTTGGTGAAATTTCCAGTTTCCAAATTGGCAAACTTGCCTATATAAATTCCAGTTCAATTGAAATATCAAATGTGCATAATATTACCTAGGCTTTTCACTTTCACATCTCATTAGTAATTCTCCTTACAGTCTACAACTCTTATGATGTTAGTTGGAAAATTTTATATTGGATCATGTAAGAATCCCCTAAATTATATTTTTTTTGATTCTCATCACCTATCTTGTATTGCTATTGTAAGGAGAAATTCTTTCTTGATCACTCATAGGAGTTAAAGGGTTGAATGTTGGAAAGTATAATATATTCATTTATTAGTTTACAAGAAACTTTGATGAAATCTTTTCAAGTAGCAAGTAGTTACAAGTGTTGAGAAGTTGACCAATTCATTTACTTTTCATTGTTCTTTAAAAAATATATCTGAAAAAATATGTATTTACATAACCAACATTGAAGACAATGGTTGCTTTTAATGATAATCATCACTTTTCCTATGTATTTCTTTGTTTTCCAATGCTGTCATTGTTTGTTGCTTTTTTTTTTTGCAGTATTTGAATGTGGAATGACAGTAGTATCATTTATTTTTTCCCTTTTTCCCTGATTTGATCAGTTAGCCAAAGGAAATGTTTTGTGTTTCTTTTTTGTTAGGAAAATGCAGAAAACGAACTACGTCTGGTTACTGCTGTGTGTTCCCATTCACCTATGGTAGACGCCGTTACAATAGATGTGCAAAAACAAAGAGTGGGCGGCCATGGTGTCCAATTACACCAGATTATCCTCGGAGCAAACAATGGGGATATTGCCGTGGTTACAGAGGTATTAATGAAGATATACTATAAACATTAGACTTGATCAAAGTGAGGTAATTGTTAGTTACTTTTTTTGCAGTGTTGCTAATGCTTGTCAACTTCTTTTGCTCCACCAGCTCCTCCAACTAAAGTAACCAGTGGAGTTGTGAGTAAGTAACTTAATAGTTTTGTTATTTGTTTTTGTGTCACATCATACTTGCACATTTTTAGTATTTACAGTACTGTCATTATTGTCCAAGTGATGCCAAATGAAATAAATGGTACTGGATTTAAATGATTATTACTATTCTTCTAATTAACATGGCTGAGACCTGTCTCTTTTCTTGTTTTCTTTCTCCAAATGAGAATTGATTTTGATACTTCTTGTATTACAGTTCGATCCCGAGGCTGTTACAGAGATACAGGTCGCCGAGCCATTCCACAAATGGATGGAAAAGGCCTTCTTGTGCGTGGTTTCTATAGACGAAGAAGTGATGCCATAGCAAAATGTGCTCTGGAGGCTGCCAAGCGACGCTACAGAGCTTTTGCTGTTCAACATCAGGGATGGTGTGCTACAGGCCCTAGAGCTCACCTGACGTACAGGAAGTATGGACGATCCAATCAATGTAGGAATGGCAAAGGTGGTCCATGGGCAAACGATGTTTACTTTGTTTCTGGTAGGTTTAAGAAAAATGAATACCACTGTTTTAAACTGTTTTTATATATGGGATAATTATCTTCATAGGATAACATAAAAATTTGTTTTTATAGGTAAATGTCGAAGAAGGGCCACAAATCACTACTGCTGTGCATTCCCATTCATCTACAAAGGACGTCGTTATAACAGTTGTACAAGAAGAAACCACAATCGACCATGGTGTGCTCTGACACCTAACTATGATCGCGACAAGAAATGGGGAAATTGTAAATGTAAGTTTTATCTTATCGTATGTCAGGTGAGCTCTAGGGCCTGTAGCACACCATCCCTGATGTTGTTCTATCTGAATTGAAGTCTTTCATACATTCCATTTCTAGAATATGAGCTGTTTACAACTTTGCCCATTGTTCTTTTTTTCTTTTTTTTTTTTTTGTAAATGTAAGTTTTATCATAAACCAGCTACTTATGGTGTATGTGTTGAAATACTTTAAATTAATTGTGCAGTTGTGCAGTCTGATTGTCTGGCTGACAGTTGTCCTGAGAAGGACTATTGTGGATAGTAGTTCTGACAACCTTAGTCGAAGTCATTATCAGAGTTGAGTGATTAACATCAGAGGAGACCCAGAAAATATTGATGAATACAGGCTATTTCACTTTGCTTCAGAAATTAATTTTACCCGAGCCTCTAGTGAGAAACACTAAATAATAAACGTACTGTATAGCTTAATATTAGCAGTGACCCCTTTAAACTATCAAATCCTTCACGAGACTTTGAATCCTTTTCCATTACACTAGGCCGACGTCGTAAACCAGTCCGACCTGTTGTACCACGAGTTAGAGGTAAGTGTCGCAGTACCTTTTCATATTTGATAAAAAAGTAAACTTCTATCTGAATTGAAGTCTTTCATACATTCCATTTCTAGAATATGAGCTGTTTACAACTTTGCCCATTGTTCTTTTTTTTTTTCTTTTTTTTTTTTTTGATCATGTGTGCTGGCTGAATGGACTAAATTAACTGTAAAGAGTACAGTTGTTAGGTACTTTTTGCATGGTACACATAATTTTTTTTTTGATATTGTCACTAATAATCAGTTATAGCTTATGATAAGTTTGTGATAGCTTACAATATTGTGTTTAGGCTCTTTCTCCAATCATCGTAGCAGCTTTATGAATAAGTGAATTGTTGTAATAGTTTATACATATAGTGGATTTAAATCTCTCAGCTTAAACTTTATTTTTTGTTTTGTTTTGTTTTTTTCTTTTTTTCCAGGACGAGTAATCCGCATCACAGTGGTTTTAGTGGGTGAGTAAACTAAAATTATTAAAATTCTCTCGCATGAACTTGCACAATATGCCTATGTAGTTGATTTACCTTATACTGTTTAGACCCAAAACCACGTTAAACATGTACTTCTCTTTCCTTAAAGGCTTTTTCGTAATTTCCCTCGACATATATACGTGATTTTTTGTTTCGTAAAATACTGATTTTTTCGTTGTTTTTGTTTTAATCAGCTAAAGGACTCGGCTGCTTCAGGGACACAGGAAGACGAGCCATATCAACGTTGGAAGGCAAAAGTCGTCTCCTTAAAGGAAATTACCGCAGAAGGCAGTACTCAATTCAGAAGTGCGCTCTGGCGGCAAAGAGGAGAGGTTACACAGTATTCGCAATCCAACATGGCGGATGGTGTGCCTCTGCTAGACACGCTTATCGTACATATGCCAAATATGGGAAATCTAACAGATGTAGGAATGGAAAGGGTGGACCCTGGGCTAATGACGTGTACGTCTTAAGGGGTAAAGATGGCTTTGGTTTTTGTAACCCTCATGTTTTATTGCTAGAAACCTGTCAACCTCAAGTTGATTTATAGCATATGCATATCATATGGAAATTTTGGTAAAAACATATTTGGAAAAAATTTGTTTACTCCTTTTGTCCATTTTTATTCAAGCATAGTTCATATCAACAGTTTCTTGCAAACATTAAGTGAACCAAATTTTGATTCTTGTGCTTTTGGTTGAATTTTTGAAGCTGATTGGCTGAGAAGTTAACCAATGACGGGGCCGTAAAAACAATGTCAATGTGATCCCGACACTCAATTGCCGTAGTGCGACACACTCTCACTATATTGGGTTTTTTTGCCTTTGACGTCAGGGTCTTGCAGAGTTCGATCAACCCGTGGTGAATGCTGCGTGTTCCCGTTCGTTTACAAGGGCCGAAAGTATACTAGCTGTACCACGGTCAATTCTAGAAACCGTCGTCCATGGTGTGCCTCAACTCCAAATTATGACGTGGACAAATTGTGGGGTTACTGCCGAGGACGAGGAGGTGAGAAATATATTGTCAAACAATATATAGGGATGATATCTTTAATGTATCCGGTTTCGTTTTATTTAAGTGGTAAAGAATAGGATACATCGTACGAACAAACAACTAGGGTATCTCAATTGGTTTGTTTGTTTGCATGTGAGAGAATTGTAAATTAGTTCTTAAAACTCTGTGAGAGAAATATTACTAGTTTTAATCTGCGTTTTCTTTTTTCAATTTCAGCTCCTATCATCAAGGTCACACCGCTAGTAACACGTACGTAACGCTATTAATATCTTGCTAGTCCTTCTTTCGTTTAGTGTTTTGCCAGAGTGGTTGTGTTAGTGTTACACTTGTCAGTCGTATTAGCTACTACATATTTTTTTTCATTTGGAGCCTATCAGAGCGCATTTTGACCGGGGGGTTAAAACTACTCCGGAAGCTTGGTAACCACAATAGGTAACCTTATCAAAGTTCAATGTCACAAGCAGCGTATAGGTATTGAGAGGAATTATAGGAACGCAACCAAAAAAAAAGTATTCTACTCAGGCGGAACTTGATTTAGTTAAAAAGTTAACTGGATGAAAGCTTTAGCGAGTTCTCTCGACAAACTATAACATGGTAAATCAGAACCAATGCAAGTGTTCCCTTGTGTCTCGTTTCGTCTATAGTCCAAAGAGTCGGCTGCTTTAAAGACACATCTCGCAGAGCCATCCCTTACCGTGAAGGCAGAAGTATCCTTCTGAAAGGAAACTACCAAAAACGTCGCTTTGCCATAAAGAAATGCGCCTTAGATGCTGCCAGGTTTGGCTACAAGTACATCGGGGTCCAACATGGTGGTCAGTGTTTTTCAGGACCCCGTGCCCAGTTCACTTATGCCAGGTATGGCCGTTCAAACAGATGTAGGAATGGAAAGGGAGGTGGCTGGGCAAATGATGTCTACAGGATCTCAGGTGAAGTGATTTTTTACAGAATATCTACTTGAGTTTTTTTTTCTATTATTTCATCATTCCTTCTCGTTTTCTCTGGTTCTTCGCAATGGTAACTGAACTGAGTGGAATGCAGTTTGGTCGGAAATCATACTCGTGATTTGGGGACAAAAGTTGCAAAGTTGCCACACAATGGCTTCATTGTCTTTCGTTTTCTTGCAATTTGATTGGTTACCATTAGCAAACCTTGGAAGGTGATTGGTTGTTTTGTCTTCAGCTCCTCATTGTTGTTATTTCATTGGCTTGAGAAAAGGAGACGATTTGGAGCCAAAAAAAATAGAGCGATTCGTAATAAAAAAAATTTGCTCTACTGATAGCCAATCCGATTGTAAGGGTCGCTGGTGATTTGAAACCAGATGTAGTAAATTTAGGAATCACTCATGATTAAACTAAAAGTTCTGTGAAGAAAAATCGAAAAACTAAATAACGCATAGGGCAAAGCAAAAATAAGAGAGAAAAGTGAACTAAATGATTGTGTTGAATAATAAGAGTTTTCTAGTGAAAGATTCTTATTGTCAGTGATGTGTTTCAATTTTAGGAAAGTGCAGATATCGCACTACCACAGGTTACTGCTGTTCGTTTCCTTTCGTGTACCGCGGGCGCCGATACAACAGTTGCGCCAAGAATAAACGGGGACAAAGTTGGTGTTATATAACTCCGGACTATAAGAGACGGAGACTTTGGGGATACTGTAGGGGTGGAGCACGCCGTAAGTTCGTACATTCATATCTATTTGTGTCTATTTTTATCTATTTATTACAATTGAACGACAACAAATTGATGAAAACAATATAATTCAAAAACATTATAGCCATAGTTAAAATAACTAACAAAGTAAAAAGGCGCCCCACACAACTGACAAGATAGATCAGTTGCGCGCTGTACGACAGCCATTTTAAAAATTTGAAAAGATACGTGTATTGTTTGTGAAAGTTATTTACGTTTTATTTGCGTTTGTTTTTTACAGCTCGACCAATCCGGGTAACACCTAATGTCTTGCGTAAGTATGGCCACCTTTCTCTTTCTTTTTTATATTTATGTTAAAAAGAAATTCCCGGATAAATTTTGAATTTTTAGTCGAGAAACTGTAGACTCGTAAGACACACTGTACAAAAATGAACTCTGATCTCACCTCTTTTGACCCTTGACCTTTTCCCTGCCAATATCTAAATACAAATTCTCTGGAGATTCCTCCATACATCTGTAATCATTTTAGCTTCGAGAATTTGATATTAAATCCAGGTAAAATTTCTTGTCATAACCTTTCTGCTGGAAAATAAAATAATATTGTTAGCAGTAAATTCTCTTTGGTCACTCTTTGGAGTGAAAGGGTTAAATCACTAAGGACTAATCACTAACTTTTACATGGAGTGGTTCCTGTTCTCTTTTCAGTTAAACCTGCTGGATGTTGGCGAGACACTGGCCGTCGAGCCATTCCACAAATGGATGGCAAAGATTTTCTTGTCCGCGGCTATTACCGAAGAAGAAGCGACGCCATTTTCAAGTGCTTCGCAGCTGCAGCGAGACGTGGCTACAGGGCTTTTTCCGTTCAGCATCAGGGATGGTGCGCTACAGGTCCAAGAGCTCACTTGACCTACAGGAAGTATGGACGATCCAATCGATGTAGGAACGGCAAAGGTGGCCCGTGGGCTAATGACGTGTATTTTATTCGAGGTGAGAGCACAGGAATTGTGGCTCACGACTTGTCAGTACTCGACTTGACATGAATGGACATGACTTAACCTGATTTGAGTGAAACTGCGCTACATAATTTTACATGTCATGAATTGACTTAACAGATTTAAAACTTACCAGATATGCGTAACATGACACAACGTGACCTCAACAGTGACATGACGTCATAGATTAACACGACTCTATCGGTGAAAATGCGTTACGTGACAGAACGTGACCTTGATATGACTGGACATGTTGTGACATGGTGTGACAGATTAACACAACTTTACCTGATATGAAATTAACTTCGTTTCCTGACCCTACGTGTAACTTTGACATGACTTAATATGGTTGATATTACTCTACTAAATGTTAATATGAGTAACTTTTTATGGAGCGTGACTTTATTCGACTTGAGATATCATTCGTGCCGTTACTTTTGAACTCTCACCTGTAGGATCATGCAGGAAACGAACTACCTCGCGCTACTGCTGTGCATTCCCATTTATCTACAAAGGACGTCGTTACAATCGCTGCACATCGAAGAACCACAAACGACCTTGGTGTGCTCTGACGCCCAACTACGATCGAGACAAGAAATGGGGAAATTGTGCAAGTAAGTTTTAGGCTGTGAACAGGGAGCACTGAATTAGAAACGTTGTTCTAACAACCAGATATTGAATAAAGTTATGAAAATTATTAAAGAAGGGATTCATTGTGACGAACGAGAGAACTAATTTTGTTGATTTGTTCACAAATTTGCACTATCCTTACCCTTTATTTAGTATCCTCCGCTAGTTTGTTTGGATAAATATGTTAAGATGAAAACTAGACCTTTTACAAGAAGAAATATTATTTCCTCGTTCCAATCCAAATTCACTCTTTTAGTTGTTTTTCTTTTTGTGTTTTATTTTACCTGATTATTCAGTGCTAATTTATATATCCAATGCTTGCGTTCCTCTACATTAACATCTATCATGACTTAATATTGATGAAATATTTGTTTTAAACGCTACACAGGACGCCGGCCTGTCAGACCTGTTCGTCCAGTTGTTCCTTCATACAGAGGTGAGCTCTAGCAGCTATTCCAGCTTTTATTAATAGCAGTAAAGTAGACTGTTAGTAGTCGGTATTTTCCTCTCCTTCTTTTTTTTTTTTTGTTAACGAGCATGGAGGGGAAGTGAAAGCAGAACTTTGGTCTGGACGGGAAGGGGCTGGATCGAGATACGTGACACACCCTGTGTTTTCCCTGTCATGTTTCAGTCTCCTCTCGTGCCAGGCTCTTTTCAAAAAATGAAGAAAAAAGGCTCAAAGTGCACCAATTAAGTGAACTTCTCGGATGCTTGACTTCTGTCTTGTGTTCTTCACTTTCCATGGTGAAATTGAAGGCAGGGGTAAAACTGATTTTCCCTCGCTGTGACTCAAAATACTTTATTCCTTACAGGGAAAGTGATCAGAATCACCGTTGGATTGAAAGGTTGGTGCAGTTTCCTTCTTACGTGTAACTCTGTGTATTAGCAAGGTGTGACTTCCACTTTCGGTAAAATTTCGTTGTAACACTCAAAGAGTGTCAGTCTACTTAATTGAGCGAAAGTAGATTAAGCACACACGAGTCCTTCTGAAAACTGAGGTATTATATCCAGACTGTAGTTGTATTGCTTACTTAACTGTCAAGGTGCCATCACTAATTGCGAAGACAATAGTAAATTGAAAGCGAAGTTCGGTGAGCAACGGTCCAAAACAGGTCACAGTTGTCCAATGGTGATTTTCCAGGTTTAGTTTTTCCTTACAGCGTACGAAGTCCTTTTAGTAGCAGTTCGATAGTTACTGGTCTTTAACGTTTTCTTTCAGTGAAGGGACTTGGCTGCTTCAGGGACACAGGCCGACGAGCTATAGCACCACTGGAAGGCAGAAGCCGTCTTCTTAAGGGAAATTATCGTCGAAGGCGATACGCCATTCAGAAATGCGCCCTGGCGGCAGCGAAGCGAGGCTTCAGAGTGTTTGGTGTGCAGCACCAGGGGTGGTGTGCGTCAACGAAATACGCCTACCGAACATATGGCAAATACGGAAGATCTAACAAATGTAGAAATGGAAAGGGAGGACCTTGGGCCAATGATGTTTATGTCCTCAGAGGTGCTTTTGTAAACCATTTTATTTTTGGAATTGAAAGATTTTCTATTTTTAAAAAAGTCATTGCTTAACCACTTCACTTTGCACTTCTAACTTTGTTCATGACGCGATTTCACCGAGAAACTGTTGACCTCCTATTTTTCAGGCTCTCCTCGTGTACGAACAACCAAAGGAAATATTTGTGTGTTCCCGTTCATCTACCGTGGAAGGCGATACCGCCGCTGTACCCGAGTCAACTCAAGGCGGCCCTGGTGTGCACTAACCCCTAATTACGATGTAGATAAACTGTATGGCTGGTGCAGAGGACGAGGTAGACGAATGATTTATATTAAAAGATATAGCTGTAGCACTAAGGGGCTAGATTTGTTTTTCATTTTATTGATTTCTTTTCCTCACATCTGACTATAATTGAGCTGAAAAATGTCGTTCGTTTCTCCAGGGTCATCATTGCGTAGAGGGTCAGTCATATTGCGATTTCGTTGAACCCTACTGAAGCCTAATGACTTGAAACTCACCATCATTTCTTCACTGATAGATTGTAAAAATAAAAAAAAAAAAAAAAAAAAACTGCAAAACCCATGTTAAGTTTATGAGTGTTGTATCTGAAGATTTTAGCATCCCATAAGGTTATGAGTAATCCCTTTTTTTTCCTTTCATCATTGTTTTGTGTTATCACTGATGTTATTATTTTTATTAGCATTATTATCCTTATTATCGCTCTTTTGTCGCCTTTGGTGGGTGAGAGAAAGTAAAAAATATTCAGTCTAATATTGCACGCGTCTTCAAGGCAACGTTACTCCAACCTTTGTCTATTGTTTTTCTTTTTTCCCTTGCAGGACGGCCTATAATAATCTCTAGAACATTAAGAGGTAAGAATGAATTTATTATTGCCTTTTTCAGCACATACCTTAGTTTTTAACAGTCCAAAGCATGATTGTTTTAATGCTGAATTTGACACTAATATAGTAAAAACCCGCGTATAAGAACCTTGGTTTTTTCAAGCTAGCCTCCATAGCATCTTATATAACTGGTGTTTACTATAAAATTAGGCTACCTAGGTTCTTAATCATGTTCTTAGTTTTTGTTTAAAAAATAGACTAAACAACTTGTATAGGTGGGTGTGCGGATGATACTGTGCTGTATACCAGCCTCGTAGTGCCTTGCTTTGCATGATTAACTTGTACACACAGTCGGATATGTTACATAGCTGTGGTCTTATAACACTGCCAGCATTCTGGCTAGTTTTGTTACCTTTTGGTATCGCATGCGATGTACCGTATCAAATTTGAACAAACTCTAAATTCTACAAATAAGAAACTGTAATGAGATTTTGGCCTAGAATGGTTTTCATAAGATGAGTGCTTAACTGGGAAATTTTAGCTTAACAGATCCTTCAAAGTTAGGTTCTTATACGCGGACTTTTACTAAATTACAGCTCAGAGAATTGGCTGCTTCAAAGATACGGGAAGAAGGGCAATACCCATACTGGAAGGTAAAAGCCGGTTTCTCAGAGGCAACTACCAAAGGAGACGCTATGCCATTAAGAAGTGTCTTTTGGAGGCAATCAAGAGAGGTTACAAAGTATTTGGAGTCCAACATGGCGGGCAGTGTTTTTCAGGACCCAGGGCTCAGTATACCTATGCTAAATATGGACGATCAAACCGATGTAGGAATGGAAAAGGAGGGCCGTGGGCCAACGATGTCTACAGGATTTATGGTATGCGAGTGTTCTTTGTGATTGTCCTGTTCAAGGTCCACAATTCAGTTGGTATTACCGCGGGAGGGCCCACAAAATATCTTGTTAATTATCTATGGTGACCAGGTCTATAATGACCAGAAGAGCTGTCCTTGATTGCTAAGTTAGTGGCTCACTTTTAATCCTTTTTTTCTTAGAAGTATAGACCTGTTATAACCATCACTCATGCTTCAATGTGCATTATTTGACTACTTCTTACTACGTGTTATGCAGACTCGATTTGATTATTCTTTAGGGAGATGCAGAAAGCGTACGACGCAAGGTAACTGCTGCGTGTTCCCGTTCAAGTATCGCGGGCGTTATTACAACAGCTGCGCTAAAAATCGTCGTGGTCAGCGGTGGTGTGCACTTACGCCTGATTATTCCAGGAACAAGCTGTGGGGATACTGCAGAGGAGGAAGCAAACGTAAGTGTTAAGCTAAGTTGTCCCTTGGAGGGCATAGCAACCACAACAGCCAATCAGAGTATATGTAAATATTCCAAGGAACCAATGAGAACTTAGAGTAACAAGATACAAACAGCAATCAGCGTGAAGCGCGGGAAAACGCGAGTGCCCTAGCCGGTATTGGTTTTGTTTTAGCTACTGATTGGTTAAGACAATGGCGCATGCTCTGTAGACCAATAATAGAGCGTGTCGGTTGAAGGAAAACCAGTGCAATCCAGGATTAGAATCAACACTGAATTGAAAACTGCTCTAAAATGTTTCTGTTTTCCTCTTTTCATTTCATACTGCTTTCGATTCAATAGGTTATAATACTGACACCAGTTTTTCGGCCTTAATTAAGTCTTTTTGATTGGAACATGGGTCTTACAACGTTTAAAGCGTTATTTTTCAACCCAATACATACCTCCCCATACCCCCCAACAACCATCACTAAAAACTTCAAACTTGTGCGTATGAAGCTCGTGTAGTTTAACAATTGGCTCAAACGGTCTTTTTCTTCGCTCAGTGCTACATTTTGACATGTTTCTGTGATCAGATGCCAATTCATCATGATGTTAGATTCTCCTTTCTTTTAATCGGAAATAATCAAAAAAGAAATAAGAGCCCCTCTTAACGTGTGTACTGTATCATCAAGTTATGTTTTTTTTTTCTGTTTATTTTCCAGCTGCTCCAATAAGAATTTCTGGAGTTATAGGTAAGTTTATACAGTGGACATTTCTCTCCAAGTATAGTAAAACCTTGTTTTAATTTCGTAAAAATATTGAAATTCTTATTATAAAGAGTGTAAGCATTAGGTTTGTGCCAGACGAATTTTCCGTAAACTCTTTTTGTTTCCAAAGGGACAATATTGAAATAGCTTTGAGTTGGAATTTTTGCTAATTTTTCTGTTTGATACATATCTTTAAGACTTTTGAAATATTCAATTTTGTTTGACATACATTTCTCTTCATTTTACATTTCATTTTCAGTCCGATCCATTGGCTGTTTCAAAGATACCGGTCGTCGAGCCATCCCGCAAATGGATGGCCGAGGTATCCTGGTACGGGGTTACTACCGAAAACGAGCGGACGCCATCTTTAAATGCGCCCTAGAGGCCATGAAGCGTTCTTATAGATACTTTGCGGTTCAACATCAGGGATGGTGCGCTACGGGCCCGAGGGCTCACGTGACATACAGGAGGTATGGACGATCCAATCGATGTAGGAATGGAAAGGGAGGACCTTGGGCTAATGATGTTTACTCCATCACGGGTAGGTGATAATTTTAACGTCGAGGTTTTCTCTTTTCTTAAACAGACGTAATTTTTTTTTGTTTTCCAGGCGTCGAGAGGCATGCGCGAGGCAAAAGTAAGGATAGCGTGAACAGTTCCCCCCCAGCGCGTGTTTCCCGCCATATGCACTTGATTCTGTTTGAATAAAGTTGAAACAAACGCCAGTTCTGCAGGCTGTTTATCACAAAAATGGGGAGAGTTAAATTTTTTACCTCAGACGATTTCAACGTGTCGTTCCCGAATATAAACTGAAGTCAAAATATTACGGATATATCAGCTGGTGACCCAAGCTGTTTCTAAGCTTCTGACGTTCGCGTTTTTTAAGTAATCCATCCACCTCCTTAATTTTTCTACTTTAATTTAACCTTTTCCTCCTCCCCCCTCCCGGTTGAATTTGTGAACAGTGGAGTATCGGTAAACAGTGGAGTATCGGTGAACAGTGGAGTATCGGTGAACAGTGGAGTATCGGTGAACAGTGGAGTATCGGTGAACAGTGGAGTATCGGTAAACGAGCCTTCAAGGTTGCGCGCAAATATTTCCAAAGATTATCGATATCTTTTTCACTGTTAGGGCCAATGAAGCCAATTTTAAATTTTGATTTTAATCGATCCTTAACTTTACACAAATCTAAATTAATTATCTCACCTCGCACATACAGGTTCATGCCGAAGGCGCACAACTTCACGCTACTGCTGTGCATTCCCGTTTATCTACAGAGGACGTCGTTATAACAGTTGTACAAGAAGAAGGCACAATCGACCATGGTGCGCTTTGACACCCAACTATGATCGAGACAAGAAATGGGGCAACTGCGCAAGTATGTTCTTATAACAGAGATCAGCTTTACACCTAACAGGAATAAAGAGAGACTTGGCTGTTGAAGAATAAAATAAAATATTTCTGCAGTCTTCACCCTCCCTCTTTCTCTAATCGCGTTGGAAGTGACTCTGTATATCGTGATATGGCGTAGTAAATCGACTTGAGTAGCATGAACACAACTACCAAGCATGACACGACGTGACTTTGACGTGACTTGATATGTCGTGACATGACGTAGCTTGATATGTCGTGACATTACATAACAGATTTAAGTCACCATGATGTTACCATTATGCGTAAGAAATTTGATTTCAGACAATGATCAGTTCTCAATTTTTTTTTTCATCAGGAAGAAGACCCATCAGACCTGTTCGTCCTATTGTTCCTAAAGGTATCTTTTTAATGTTATACCATTAAGTAATGAATTGTTATCGCTCTCAATTCTTCTTGATAAAGTGTGAGAGATTAATATGATACTATGAGAGTATGTAGAATTCGTTAAATTTTCTTTATGTATTTCACGGTCCTAGTAATTGCTCTTTTTTTTAAATTAGATTTTTCTCGCTTAATGTATAGGTCGAAGAATAAGAATCACAACTGGACTGATAGGTAAGTTTGAATCCGATCAAACTCTCATGTCTCCTTATGGAAGCTAAACAATTCTCTGCCGCAAGCAAAGAGAATTTTGTGTATCACCAGACAGTTGTGTCTCTGTCAGTCAAAATTTTCCTATATTTTGATTAAATTGCATTCGCGTTGTATATGTTGGCTTTGTAAGAAGTTGTGGAGAATGATTATCCACGATTAAGCACACAACATCGAATGATTTAGAGACAGGGGAGTAAGCCTTGTATCTCTTGTGTCACCATTTCATTTGATCTTTACTGTATTACATCAAGCATCCCAATTAGTTATTTTACTTATTCTCCTCCCTTCTTTCTTAATATTCCGGAGCTTCAGAAAACCCCGACGGCAACGGGAACGTCACTAAACAAATAGTTTAATGAGTAGAACAATGGCTGTTCACGTGCGTTATAAATCTTAAAATCTTTGCGTCCTCTGCAAAACAACAACGTGAAATGACCAAACTTTGCGTTGTCTGGCGAAGGTGAACGACGAAGGCGAATTTTTAAATTTTTTTACAGTTAATTTAACGCTGTGTTCCATATTCAGTTTCGAGATAGTTTTGACAGTGAGAAACAAACTAAATGACCTTAGAGTATTGCGAGATTCGTTGGTAAATTTTAAATTCATTTTTTTAACAGTCGTTGTCCACGGCGTCGCCGCCGTTGTTTCTCAAACTCCCTAATTTTTATGTTAAGGGGACGTTACCTGTTGATCACTACTTGTTTTTTATAATATAGCATACGGCATCGGCTGTTTCAAAGACACAGGCCGACGAGCTATAGCGCCATTAGAGGGCAGAAGTCGCCTTCTGAAAGGAAATTACCGCAGAAGACGATACGCTATTCAGAAATGTGCTGCTGCCGCGGCGAGGCGAGGCTACAGAGTGTTTGCGATCCAACATGGCGGATGGTGTGCGTCAACAAAGTACGCCTATCGAACGTATGGAAGATACGGAAGAAGTAAAAGATGTAGGAATGGAAAGGGAGGACCTTGGGCAAATGACGTCTACGTTTTGCGAGGTTAGCTTCATATGAAGAGTACATATGTTAAAATTTTAGCTTTGTAACCGAGATGTATTTTTGTGTATGAAAATTTAACGACGTTTTCGATCTTCGATTAGTTTCTAACCCTTTACAGCCTAACATCAGAATGCAAGTTCTCTATACATTTCTAATAGTACTTACAAGGAGTATTTAATTTGTCTATTTGTCTTACAATCGAGAGTCTTTCGACCTTGTGATAGTGGCCTTTATTATCATGAACCTAATGTTTTATTTAGTAGTGAGGCTGTTGGGAGAAATAAGATGCTTATCACTCTTAAGGGTTAAAAGATTAGATAAAATATTAAAATGTCTTAGGTCAGGATGTTTAAATGAGAGGAAAGCTTCTTCCTCGAAAACGGAAGGAAATTGCCTTAATTATCACGTCAGTATCGGCACATAGCACATTACTCAGGAATTCAGTTCCAACCAGATCAGTCAACTAAGAAATAAATAGACCTTTTTTATTAAATTCCTTCCAAATACTGTAGAAGAACACAAGACTGATTTGACTGATCTGCCAGGAAAAGTTAAAATAATTTAACGGAGTTCTCTTAACAAATGATCCAACCGGCTGGCAAGTCTTTATTAATGGTAAGCAAGTACAATTATCTGACTCTTCTGTTTTTCACTCCCAGGCTCTCCTCGTGTTCGAACAACGCGCAACAACATTTGTGTGTTCCCATTTACTTATCGTGGCAGACGATACTCCAGCTGTACTAGAGTTAACTCCAGACGACCCTGGTGTTCTCTTACTCCTAACTACGATGTGGATAAAATATACGGTTGGTGCAGAGGCGGGAAGGGTGAGTATTGATGATAATTAATACCTGCATTTATTATCATAATTATAATAATTGGTTTGATGGACATTAACACAACGAATAACATGTCATTATTACGGTGATCGTAAATGTGAAGCCAAGAATTGAAAAAATATTTTACATAGATATAGCTATAATTATTGATGAAGCAGGTAGCCAGTATAAATAAAGGAAGAATGAAGCTGAACAGTTATTTTGAAAGGCACCCTTCATTGTTCGAAGGAAATCATCGCGAACTGCTTAAAATTTGTTTTTGCTAAAAGAAAATTGAGCGGAAACTTTTATCAGAAATTTTTCTACTAAAATGATTTATTTTGGTACGAGTTAGGATTTGTGTGCATGACGATTCATTTGATTTCACATAAGAAACAGAACGTTAAATTGTTTGACCCGCTATTGAAGATAAGACTAATTCCGAACTTTTTTATTTATCTCAACAGCTCTTCCAATCAGAGTTACACCATCGATAACACGTAAGCACTCGCTCGTAACCATCGCAGAATCTTGGTTGATGAATTACAGAATTTTTAGATTAGATGATAGACAGAGAATATTAGATAAGAGTTGAAAATACCTTGGATTGGAATTAATGAGAAAGATCTTGCCATCAATGCCGTGTCCATGACTTTTTTTTTTTACTTTTTTTTGTAAAGGGATGGGGGCTTTTCTTTGTTAAATTGAAGAACATCCTTTATGTGATATTCTTGGTTATTCTGAACCGTTTAACTCCTAAGATCTGAATCTTAATTCTCCCCTCTTCTTTCACATTTCTTTTGCAAATCAGTTGTAAGAATTTGGTGTTAGATCAAAATATCAACTTCTACCTGATAGGTTTGAATATTCTCATTACCTGTTTGCTGGATAATGTGAGGATAGTATAAGAAGAAGGTACATGTAAAGAATCTTTGAGAGTTAAAGGGTTGAAACCTATTTTCTTGGCACTGTTTGATATTGTACAGAGGAAGTACTTGTTGGGAATGAAAAGGTTTGAACGGGTTTAGATGAATTAATTTTTACATACAAATTTTTTTTAGTGCAAGGTGTCGGATGTTTCAAGGACACTTCGAGAAGAGCCATCCCAATTTTGGAAGGCAAAAGTCTCCTCTTACGAGGGAGCTACCGTGCTCGGAAATTTGCCATTAAGAAATGTGCTTTGGAGGCAGCAAAGCGTGGCTACAATTACATTGGAGTTCAACATGGCGGGCAGTGTTTTTCAGGACCTCGGGCTAGGTACACTTACGCCAAATATGGACGATCAAATAGGTGTAGGAATGGAAAGGGAGGTGGCTGGGCAAACAATGTCTACAGAGTGTCAGGTATTTGTCAAAATTTTTGCGTTACTCTTATTTTCGAATTATTGGGTAACCAGTCATTATTTGTCACTTGGGGGGGGGGAGGGGTGGAAGGATTTTCGGGAATCACGTGGTTTTTATGGGGGAACGGAAGGGTGATCATTCGTCGCCAACAGAGTATAAAGGGGTAATATAGAGGGGGGTGGAAGATTTTGGGGGAATTACATAGTTTTCAGGGGGGAACGGAGGGGGATCATTCGTTGCTAATAGAGTACAAAGGGGTGATATATATGGGGGAGGGGGGGGTAGAGGGTATTGGGAGAATCACATGGTTTTCAGGGGGTAGCGGAGGAGTGATCATTCGTCGCCAACAGAGTTACAAAGGGGGAATTATGTAAGATTGAATGCTAATTAACTGCCAATGGGGGGGGGGAGGGTGGGTCGTAGAAATATTACACAGTCTTATGGGGGGATCAGTTAATTAACAGGGGAACTTTAAGAAGCGATAAGCATAAGTTTCCACTCATCAAACAAATTCGTTTTCTCTCCTCAGGACGCTGTAGATACAAAACCAATACCGGTTTCTGTTGTGTGCCATTTACGTACCGCAGGCGACGATACCTTGGCTGTGCTCGCGCTAAAAACGGCAGAACCTGGTGCGCAATCACGCCTGATTATAACCGGAACAAACTGTGGGGGTACTGCAGAGGCGGAAAGAAACGTAAGACCACAACTTTTTACTTTAATACATACACATTTAATTTCCTTTTGTCGATTGTTGCGAAGAATATCTCCTACTCTTCTTTGGCCGCATATGATGGAAATTTTAATAAGAAATGTGGAACGTTGTGGTTGATTTTACCAAAGTTATGTGATTTTTTGTTACGAATGTTTTGCAGTACTCATTGTTTAATATACATTTTTGTTTTACAGCTGCACCAATTAGAGTGACAACTGGAGTTATAAGTAAGCATATTTTCGTAATTTCTATTGCCTTGCTGACGTTCATCTAACGTGAAAAAAAAGAATTAAGACAACCAAATCCAAAGCCATCTTACATTCTTTGCGAGGAGTTGCATCACCTGCTAGCTCTTTCCAGGATAGCGTATTTGAATTGAGTGTCCCACGACCAAAAACCAAAGCAGTTAGAATTACCAATGACAGCAATCGTAGTAACAAAAAATGAACCACTCTGGTTGCAAAAAATAAATAAATAAATAAAATACAAAAAAAGCACGTGAACCGCATCAAGCGCGGGAGATTAAAACGCATGGAAACAGATAACAGACGGTTTTGACTTTACTTCTGATTGGATAAGTATTTTAGAAGATGTGTGTGCACTGAGCGTGACAATACTCGAAGTGATTATTGAACTAGTGATGGCAGAGAAGTAATTATCGTTTCATGGAGCATGTCACAGTGACAATCCGCTTCGTGCGACGCGACATTTTTTTGCGTAAATCTCTCTCTGTGTTACATAATTAGTTTCAATTTTTGAGATGATGTGAGTGCTTTGTTTTGGTAGCAGTACATAAAAAGTAATTTATCGTAACGATTTGTCACCTGGTGTTTCTTCCTTCCAAACCTTGAATTGCCTTCCACACTTTATTCAGGAAAGCTCTGATTTTGTTCTTCCAGTCAATTCGCTTGGATGCTACAAAGACACAGGCCGTCGCGCTGTTCCCCAGATGGACGGCCGTAACCCATTAGTGACAGGCTACTACAGGAGAAGAGCAGACGCCATAAAGAGATGTGCCCTTGTTGCTTTGAGGTTCGGTTACAGAGTCTTTGCAGTTCAGCATCAGGGATGGTGCGCTACGGGTCCCAGAGCTCATCTCACTTACCGGAAATATGGACCAACTAATCGATGTAGGAATGGTAAAGGAGGTCCCTGGGCTAATGATGTGTATGCCATAAAAGGTAAGTGTACTTGTAGAATTGTCAAAAACGTATCAGGTTCAAACTACAAAAAGCTGCCTCACGTTTCTTTGGCTTATATGTCATTGTATAATCTTACAATAGACCCTGTCTAGATATCAATTCAAAACGAAAAATTTGACAAGCCGCTGAACGCGTTATTCTCTCATACTGACCCTATTTCTGACTAAAACATGCCATTTTGCATTCTGCATCTTTTCTTTTCATATGTTTATGTTTTTAGTTCGTTTGTTAGTTTGCTTGCTTGTAAGTTGAGCGTCTAAAACCTTCCCCCCCCCCCACCTTCATGGGGGGGGGAGGGAGATCTTCTGTCGTGGATGAGTGATGACGCATACCATTGTAGCTTGTACAGCGAATACCTTGTGATAATAAATTTGAAACTCGGTTGTGAAATGCTTTGATACGTGAGTCTACCTCATATTGACTGTCTTTTGTTGTGATCTGAAAGGTACCTGCGCAAGACGCACAACTTCTCGTTATTGCTGCTCATTCCCCTTCATCTACAAAGGACGTCGCTACCACAGATGTACGAGGAGAAACCATAAACGACCATGGTGTGCTACAACACCCAACTATGATCGTGATAAGAAATGGGGCAACTGTGCAGGTTTGTTAACTTGTGTGACTCAATAACAATTTGGTTGGCAATTTGTCGATATTTTGATTTTTTTCCGATAGTGTCCACCTGCCCAGTGTGTGTTAGCTTTCTATTTTTGTCAATCGTTTCACCTCGTTTTTGTTTTCATTCTTTATTAGGACGTCGACCAGTCAAACCAGTAAAACCTGTTATCCATCCTCCCAAAGGTAAGAGCAAACTAGGGAGATACAACTGTTCTACTTTCTTACCTTGACAGCCTTTTTTCGAGCTGAGAAGGTTTTTTCGTAGCTTACTTTTTGTGATTTAACTTGCCAATTTGTTTTGTATTTTTTGCTCATTTTTCTCAGATTTATTTAAAGTTCATTTTCTCAAATTGTGTGTATCAAATTGTTTTTCATCTTTTTGCAGCTAAGGTCATCCAAGTCACTGTAGGTTTGAAGGGTAAGGAAGTTTATCGCTAACTCGTAATATAACATCAGTATAAAACTAGTCCCCCCTTATCTAATGATACAACTAGAAGGGTTTCAACAAAGAGCAATACGCGTTAAGATAATTATTTACAAGTTATGAGCCCTCTGTTATCACTCCGCAACCTTCGAAAAAACCATGTTTGAAGCGTTTAAAGTAAAGTTCACTCATTATTTTATCGTTCGAAAGTGGCTAACAATGTTAACAATGGCAGAATTAGTAAGAAATCTTCACTGTGTACCTATTACCACGCTACGGGAATGCTAACTTATGGTAGCGTGCTGCAAGAGCCTGGGCAATAGGTGTCAGACATTGAACTGGTCAAAAGACAAATCAAACCGGGCTGTTTCAAGCGAAAGTTGCTAACCATCATGCTTCTGACGCGCACCCCCGCGAAGGAATTTTAAGTTGTTAATTTATTTGTCAATCTTCGGCCAATTATAAATGTCCTGCATGTAATACATTTTCCCCTTGCAGCCTATGGCATCGGTTGCTATAGAGACACAAGCCGACGAGCCATACCAACCTTAGAACGCCGAAGTCGACTACTTAAGGGTTATTACCGAAGAAGAGCAGGCGCTATAAAAAACTGCGCTTTGGCTGCGGCTCGAAGAGGTTATAAAGTTTTTGCTATTCAACATGGAGGGTGGTGTGCGTCTGCAAGATACGCCTATCGAACGTACAGGAAATATGGAAAATCTAATCGATGCAGAAATGGCAAGGGAGGGCCTTGGGCGAATGACGTTTATGTCCTCAGAGGTGAGGAAAAAGCTGTTTGTCTGTCTGATGGAGGCTATTATCATGTTTGTCGTTTCGTACTGAAGGTGAAGCCAGAATGTTCAAATGTATTATCAACCGAAGCTACTACGTATGGGCTCGATCAAGATTGAACATTCTAGTTTTAATTTAACATAAAGTTTAATGCGTTCATACGGTCTGTCTTAAGTTTATCATGTAAGACGGCATTTTGTTAAAAAAAAAAAGAAAGGGCTGCTTTAAAAGCAATACGTTTTCCTGTATCCATGTGGGATTAAACCTCAGATCTTTGGATTCTGCGCGATAAGAGAGATGTTGAATTTTTTGACTCGGTAATAAAATGAAGAAACTTTTCGATTTAATTTATGTGTGCCTTTGTATACTTTAAACTCAAGTTGTATTCTTTTTTTTATTGCTAGGTTCTTGTCGTGTAAAATCAACAAATGGATACTGCTGCTCGTTCCCGTTCGTGTATCGAGGCAGACGATACACTGGATGTACAAGAACGAACTCCAGGCGACCTTGGTGCTCCCTCACTGGAAACTACGACAAGGATAAGCAATATGGATGGTGTCCCACCCGAGGAGGTGAGACTGGAAACGAGGAAGAAAGTTAATTTTATACATTTTCCATGAGTGGTTGTCTTTTGTATATATTTTTTTTCACCTTTGTGTGTAAAGTTTGCCAAAGTAAGCTGAAAAAGTAAACTGAACTAATTTTACATGCCATGTCCCGTGATTGATTGGATGTTTCTTTAATTTTTCGCCAGCACGTCCTGTCAAGATAACATCATCGATATCAAGTGAGTATGGCGGCTGAAATAATTAAAGAAAAAAAGACCCACGAAAAAATATTAAATTAGTCAACTTAAATTCGTAAAGAGAAATTCCGTGGACGTTTTGTATTGTTTCATTTTTCCCCTTTTGTATACCATGCTAACTTTTTTTTTCCTACCTTGATGCAAATGATACTTCTAGGCCTAAAGAGTATCATTCATTTGTCTAAATTTTCTAAACGCGGAGTCATTTGAAGATTCAGACATGGAGTTTTAGTTTCGCCTTCCATCGGGCAGAACGCCTTTACTGTAATAGATCTGTAGTATTAGCGGTGATGAATGCACCGGTTGGTTTTATTGGGCAAAATAAAATTTTTCGCCTTCTCTTCAACGGAGAATATTGATCAAGTTCATTAACTGGTCGGGTGGAGTTAAAAAACAAAGGCATTACAAGTTATTGTTTATGCTATTGTTTCGTTGTACAGAGTCGTTTAAAAATTCAGTCTTTAAGTTTTGGTTTCGCCCTTTTATGTACGTGTAAGCCTGTAAGCCTGTAAGCCCTTGCCTCGTTATGGAGTACAAGTAAAGCATCATGAGTTGGCGTCCATTTGGGAGTGATTTAGTTTGGTCTACCGTTGTCTATAGATCAACTTCTTTTTCCTGTTACTTCTCAGTCCAAAGAATAGGCTGCTTCAAAGATTCCCCTCGCAGAGCCATTCCAATACTAGAAGGCAAAAGTAAACTTCTACAAGGCAACTACAAACGAAGGAAGATCGCCATTCGTAAATGCGCCATGGTCGCCGTAAATCGCGGTTACAACACTTTCTCTGTGCAAGACGGTGGTCAGTGTTTCTCAGGACCGCGGGCTCAGTACACTTTTGCCAAGTATGGGCGATCGAACAGATGTAGGGGTGGAAAAGGAGGACCTTGGGCCAATGATGTCTACAGGCTGACAGGTGCTGAGCCCACTTTGTTCATTTATTGTTCGTTTTTGTCTGTTCTTCTGTTAAAACAGGGTTCGTATGGGTCCAGGAAAACCTGGAAAGTCCTGGAATTTTATTTTGCAATTTTCCAGGATTGGGAAGTCTTGAAAAAAGACTACTGGTCCTAGAAAGATTTCAAAATTTACGTCATAAGAAATGTATTAGACCGTAAAGAGAATTAATTTTAGGGATGAAAGGGTTTAAAGTGAAATTTGAAATCCTGGAAAAATTCTGCTAAAGTCCTTGACATTTGTTTCAGAAAAAGGGTATGAACCCCAAATAACCTCAACCAAATGTAGTGTTGCTTCTCTAGTTAGGATTACATGAGAAGCTGCTCACTACACAACTTTATTTTCCATTTAATTTTTTTCCAAAAAACACAACCTAACACAAAGCGCTTTTGAGTGCCATCAACTCAAATCCAAAGTAATCACTGAGGCTAATTAGAACTTAGGTACACAACACAAGAAGCCAATGCGAGTTCAACTCTCCGTCTGATTGGTTCAGTGAGTGATACGAATTCTCAGGAACACTCAGTTAGCGCAGTTAATCAAATTTAATGCAGTTATGGTTTACTGTCGATGCTAAACTTTCAAGGAAAAGATGCGCTAGCCAAAGGCAATGTTACTTAAAGTTGAGTCCGACAAGCGTGAACAACATACCATAATCACGTAGATAATGATCCTGAGATAAGCTACATAATGTTGTATTAAGGAAAAAGTAATGTTTTCCTGTGTGGTGGTTAAACAAACTACGAATGAGGTAGCTGTGATATATAAGGAAAAATCAAATTATTTTACTACGAATGAGGTAGCTGTGATATATAAGGAAAAATCAAATGATTTTATCTTGTGGGTTTAGTGCAGTGTATTCGACGCAAAATAACCCCATACCTGTAATTTGTTAACATAGCTTATCTTCTTCCTGAGTTTAGGTAGATGTCAACGTCGCACCACGTCAGGAAAATGCTGTGTACTTCCCTTCGTTTATCGTGGACGCCGCTACAACAACTGCGCCAGGTCAAAACGTGGAAGGCCTTGGTGTCCAACGGCATCTAGTGTATACAAACGAAACCAACCATGGGGCTACTGCCGCGGTGGAAAACGTAAGTATCAGTTGTCTACCGAAGTAGCCTACCTCTCTTCCTCTTTCTCTCTTTCTCTCTATCCCGTTTTCTTTTTTTTCCATTTTTTTTCCCTTTCGCTTTTTTAAGGTGCGTCTTCTTACGTTTGTTTTCTGTCGAATAACGGTCCACTTCTCTTTCTCAGGTCAGCCAATACGAGTGACTGTAGGGGTGCGAGGTACGTATTCCACTTAATTTTACTTCAAGAATGTTAAATTTTAAAATGGAACGACACTTTGAAATGTATTTAATGTCAGATGCCTTTACGTGGAAGGAAAAGCTCGAGTCTCGCTTCCAACATGTAGCTTCGTAGCTCAGTGGGCAGTAGCGTCTAAATAGTTTCTGAAAGCCTCGGTCACATGTAAGGATCATTTCATTATATGCACCATAAGATATTCATCATAGAGAGACAGGAGCTTTATCCATTGACCTAACAAATTTTCATGAAATGAAGACTTCTCTCCCGGGGATTGCTATGGTATCAAGGACTTTTTAAAAGTCCAGTTTGCTTGATGGTAATATGCTGATTCATACCTTATTTTAACAGTCAAGCCAATCGGATGCTTCAAAGACACTGGTCGCCGTGCTATCCCAGGAGTGGACGGTCGTTACCCAATAGTGAAAGGATATTATCGAAAGAGAAAGGAAGCCATTAAGCGTTGTGCCCTCGTTGCTCTGAGGTTTGGTTACAGAGCTTTTGCTGTTCAACATCAGGGATGGTGCGCTACAGGTCCAAGAGCTCATGTGACTTACGGAAAGTATGGACGATCCAATCGGTGTAGGAATGGCAAGGGAGGACCTTGGGCTAATGATGTGTACAGAGTATACGGTGAGTCGTGGGTTATCACATCTTCTCTTTGTGCGCATATACTTGAACATAGTTCGTAAGGGAGACAAGTAAGGGAAGCCGATACAAATTAACGGTACAAATAACGTAACTGCAGTTTAGATCGTAAACATCCTGCCTGTGCGTTGTCTTTCTCCACTGTGGATATATGTTCACCCTTTGACCCCCTAGAGTGACCAGCATCTAATTTCTCCTTACAATATCAACTCTGAATCAAAAATTAAGGTTACGAGAATAAAGGAAATGATCAGTAACTTGAATAGCTGTTGACTGTTAAACAAATTCTCCTTGTCAGCATCTTAGAAAATGTATGGAGAATAGTATGGAGAATGTGCATATTGATGTTAGGGTGTCAAGACAGTGCCACGATGGAGGATATTTTTTGGTTAAATTGACACAGATTTTTTTTCTTATCAGGTTCATGTCGAAGAAGAACTACCTCACGCTACTGCTGTGCCTTCCCGTTTATCTACAAAGGACGTCGTTATAACAGTTGTACAAGAAGAAACCACAATCGACCATGGTGTGCTACGACACCCAATTATGATCGAGACAGACAGTGGGGCAATTGCGGTGGTAAGAGATTAGGGGATAATCGTGAGATTTTGATATTTTTATTCTTCTGCTAAACCAGTGTATTAAACCTGATGATTTGTCTTCTTGCAGGTCGCCGTAAACCTGTTAAACCTGTCAAACCTATTGTTTGTCCTCCTAGAGGTCAGTTGTATAGTTTCATTGCAATAACGTTTTCACAGTATTATTTCGTGATCTTTAAGGTGTTAATTTCTTGTGTCTTCTCACCATCCGAGAATATACGTGGGACTCTCCCACGGTTGTACACCATTACCTCGTTAGAATAGGGATGAGATCTGTTCTTACGCTCTCTCTTGGAAGTGATTCGCTAGAGAAAGAACTCCATTTTCATGGGCTCCTCCAGCAGTGAAACTGGTTCGCTGACTTTGGTGAATCTTCGTGAATAAATTTCATGTCGCCTCTTTAAGTCCATAATTTGAGTAGAAATTGTCAGCATGGAAAAAATGGTTGTTTAGGAGTAACAGTTTCTTGGGAGAGGTGGTTACCTACGTCTTTTTGCTTTTATTCTGTCTTTTATAACTTAGGTGGATAATTTTATATGTTACATTTTTGTTCGATAGATCTTTTATATTGTTGTTTCCTTTTGCAGCCCGAGTAATTAAACTTACACCAGGAATCACTGGTAAGATTTTTTCCCAAGTAATCTTTCTTTATTAGATTTTTATTAGGTGTAACCCAAACCGCGCTTTATACAAGCGGTGGGCCTCAGTGATTCTCTATAAGAGGGTTAATTTTATTAAATAAATATCCTTCCACTATAACGTTTCAGCCTCTTGACACTGTTCACAAAAAAAATTATTTTATGTAAAAGGTTCGGCTAAATTGAAGATGGCTTAGAACGCAGTTTTGTTGATGATCGCCTAACCTTTGTTTAAAAAACTGGCCCAGTGTGTTCGAATTTAGTAGTCTAGACAAGAGTACCTTAAATAGAGCTTTAATAGACAATATTAGCCAATCGTGTTTCGAAAGATGACCAAAAATAAATCGGTTTTTAGTACTCTTTTTTTATTATTAAAAGTATGAGCACTTGGCAAAAGGTTATTGTATTATCAATTTTTTTAATTCCGAGCCTCCTTAATATGTTGCGTTGTTTCAATATCAGCTAAATGGAATTTTGATTCTTCTAGTCTCATTTTTTGTCTCGGCTCTTTGTGGTTATATTCGACCGTGCACAGCAAAAGATAACAATTTTACGATTTTAAATTTAGCATACAGCATCGGTTGCTACAAAGACACCCGCCGACGAGCCATACGCCCCTTGGAAGGTCGAAGCCGCTTCCTAAAAGGAAATTACCGCAGAAGACGAGACGCTATTCGCAAATGTTTCCAGGCAGCTTATAGACGAGGCTACAAAGTGTTCGCCTTACAGCATCAAGGATGGTGCGCATCTTCAAGGATGGCTCACATAACATACCGTAAATACGGAAAATCTAACAAATGCAGGAATGGAAAGGGAGGACCCTGGGCTAACGATGTTTACGTTGTGAGGGGTAAGTAATTGAAACCTTTCCTTATGTCAGTGAAGGTGGGAAAAAATGTTTTTTCGAGCAAGTGATTGCTTGTCAAGTATGCGTAAGGATGGGGTAAGCAAGTGTTATACTAACGCTCTTTGCCATTCTTAGAACTGATCGAACTAGTTCTGTCGGGACTAAGTCTCTGCTTTGAGCGAGACTGGATATTTTTCACACTCGTGCTCAGACCAGAAAAGGGCGGGTCATGAAATGTGCGCTTTGCCAAATGCAGAAATCACGAAATATGCAGGAGTTGAGAGTGCATAACATTGCATTCGATAGTGCGAAATAACTACAATTCTTCTAAAATTAAACGCGCGGGAGAGCTGAATAGCTGAACGCCGTAAGTCGGAGGTCTATAGAATGGTAAATAAGCATTATTGTACTATTAACACTGTTGTTTAATTGCCTCGCTTTCTCTCAGGTTCCTGTCGCACAAGAACAACCCGCAAAAACTGCTGTGTATTCCCGTTCGTGTACAAAGGTAGACGATACTCGCGCTGCACCAGGGTCAATGCTGCTCGCCCATGGTGTGCAACTACTTCAAGTTATGATGCTGATAAAATGTGGGGCTATTGTGAAGGACATGGAGGTGAGTAAAAATTTTCGATGAGTTTATGATAGAACTGATGTAGGATTTCTTTGAGGGCGAAGAGGGGATCTGAATCAGAATAGATAATGATACTAAAAAGCGTCACCTTAGAGAATGGAAGGGAATTGCGGAATGAATTATGTTAAACAGCCCCCATTATTAAAGAGGGTAAGTTTCTAAAGACGCTGTGGTACTGTTTCGGTGGGAGAGTATAAAACAGTAATTTGGTATTATCGACTGAGTTGATAAGGTAAATTGGCCACCGTAAAGAGTTTCAAAGCTGATTTTTCGAGCGTTAGCCCTTCGTCAACTTTGAAACTCTCCACGGTGGCCAATTTACGACTCAAATTACCTTGTTTGGCATCATTATTACCTTGGGCCCAGTTGTATAAAGGGCGGATAACGCTATTCAACAGATAAATTGCTATCCGGCGGATAAGTGATAACAAAACGTTCAGCGTTATCCACCAGATAGAGTTTTATCCAGTGGATAGTGTTAGCCAACCTTCGAACAACCGGAGCCTGGATTTAGTTCTTGATTGCATCCTCCAGGGTTTGTATTGTTTCTTATCATAGTGAGGTTCACTTGCTTGTTTTCCGTATCTATCCTACATCTGAATTTGTTATTAACTTGGTTTTATTTCTTTCCAGTCTCTTTCATCAGAGTAACACCTTCAATTAATAGTAAGTATTTAAATTCCCGTCAGGAATTCATATTATCCAGGATTTCTATAAGTTTGCAAACAATTTAGTGGTAACTACTTACAGTTAGTGTGCAAGACATAGGTCATATTAGAACGTATACTACAGCCTAGATATCCAAGCTCAGCTAAAAGCATCGGTCCACGAAATCCGAGTGTTTCGGGTTTGATTCCTCGCGCGGGAATTACGTTTTTGTTTTTGTTGTTAACGCTCGTGAAAAATTAATCTCTCTTCATTTGACCGCCGAGCCGTCTCAAAAATATACCATCCTCCTTCGTTAACCAGGTTTGAATCATGTTCCCTTGGATTTTTCTTTCAGTCCGAAGAGTCGGCTGCTTCAGGGACACATCGCGCCGAGCAATTCCTCAAATGGATGGCCGAAGTGTGCTGTTAAGAGGCAACTACCAACGCCGTCCATTAGCTATTCGCAAATGCGCGCTTGTTGCTGCAGCACGTGGATACAAATGGTTCGGAATCCAGCATGGCGGCTGGTGTGCTACAGGACCGCATGCTGGGAGGACGTATGCCAAGTATGGCCGATCAAACAGATGTAGAAATGGCAAAGGCGGACCTTGGGCTAATGATGTCTATAGAATAGCAGGTGGGTGATACACTTTGAAAGCAACCAACAAGTGCGTCATACATTGAATATCGAAGCGTCCCCTGTTTAATTTCTCCACCATATCGTAAGACTCTTTTTTCAGGTACTAGGCCCTCTACCGAAGCATAAATTTTATACAACGTCTAGTTATTTAATTTTTCTTGTTTTCTGATCAAGATTATGTTTTTTTTTTTCACCTCAGGAACTTGCAAGTATCGCACTACAAAAGGAAACTGCTGTTCATTTCCGTTCGTGTATCGAGGGCGTCGATACAAACGTCCTGCCAGGGCTCGAAATGGCAGGAGATGGTGCGCAATCACTCCAGACTACAGAACAAACAAACTGTGGGGGTACTGCAGGGGAGGAAGAAAATGTAAGGCGCTTTCTTTCTACTGTTATTTGAACACTTTAACTCTCAAGATGCGATTATACTACTGATCGTCTCTTATTTGTCCTTTCCTCTACAGCTCCACCCATCAGAATCACTCCTGGAGTTTTTGGTAAGTTTGAATCTATTACCTACTTGTTGTTAATTTTTAAGTTATTAAATTTATGTCTTCTACATCTGGGGATAGTTTAAGGCGATTCTGTGTTGCTTTTCTTTATAGTCAAGTCACTTGGATGCTTCAAGGACACAGGTCGGCGAGCTATCCCAGGAGTAGACGGTCGTTACCCAATAGTGAGGGGATATTACCGTAGAAGAGCGGACGCCTTGAAGAAATGTGCTGCAGTTGCTATGAGGTTTGGTTACAGAGCTTTTGCTGTTCAACATCAGGGATGGTGTGCTACAGGTCCAAGAGCTCATGTGACTTACGGAAAGTATGGACGATCCAATCGATGTAGGAATGGCAAGGGAGGACCTTGGGCTAATGACGTGTACCGGGTGTTCGGTAAGTTGTTGGTGTAAGTTGCTCGCTCGTGTAAGGGCAGTCCTGAAAAAAGACAACCAACTCTTATCGATGAAATTTACCTGTATCTCAAAGCGGAAGTCTTTATAAAAGTCAAGTGGGCAGTATTTCGCTCCCTAAATGCAAACGCTCATCGTGAATAAAAATATTGGAAGGGGAAAAGAATCTCATGTTTGTAATGATGATTGTTGTTTCGGCCAACAATTTACTGAGTCTAGTGATTCTGCATTTTTTTAAATCGCAGGCCATTGCCGGAAGCGAACGACATCTCGCTACTGTTGTGTGTTCCCGTTCATCTACAAAGGCCGTCGTTACCACAGATGTACAAGAAAGAACCACAATCGACCATGGTGTGCTATTACAGGCCATTACGATCGGGATAGGAAATGGGGCAACTGTGCTGGTGAGTTTAATTGTTACTAAGTACGGAATACTATTTACTCTTGAACTGAATCTTGCGCAATAAAACCACTTTAGCTCCGTTCAAACATCCTTCTCTCTGTGGTTTTTAAGCTGGTTTAAAATTTGCGATATTTTTATTGGCTCCCACGTAAGTGGGCAATCATATGGAGTTTGAGAAAATAAAATTTCTTTTGGTAAATGTTTGGTATTTAAAAGATAAGGTCAGACGGTTTCATAGTAAATAAATATAATTATGTCATTTTTTCGTTTTTAGGTCGCCGACCGGTCAAACCTGTTCGCCCAGTTCGTCCAACGGGTAAGAACTTTATTTATTTTGAAAATAAGTTGCTGAACTCGAAATTCATTCCATAATTTAATTCTGTAATCGTTTTTAAATATTTATTCCTTTAATATCTTTGTATTTCAGGAAAAACTGTAAGAGTAACAGTTAACTTAGTTGGTGAGTAGCGTTCAAACGTTTTTTAATTATTTAATTATGTATTTCTCGCCTTAATCTTTTACAGAAATCTTGTTAGAAGTAAATTTTTTTTTTGCTGAGTTAGGAGTTGTTAGTTCTTCTATGAGACGGCAGGAACATATTTTTTTTGTAAATGTTTACTTTGAAAAGTTCGCTTTTGTTGTTCTCTACCTGATGCAACTTTTTCCCACTTAGCTAAGGGTATCGGCTGTTACAGAGACACTGGCCGACGGGCCATACCAACCTTGGAGCGCAGAAGTCGCCTTCTTAAAGGAAATTACCGCAGAAGACGATACGCTATCAAGAAATGTGCTCTCGCGGCTTATGCAAAGGGACACAGAGTATTCGCTGTGCAACATGGAGGATGGTGTGCGTCAGGAAGGAGAGCTCATCTCACCTATGGGAGATACGGAAGATCTAACAGATGTAGGAATGGAAAGGGAGGACCTTGGGCTAATGATGTCTATGTACTCAGAGGTATCCGTTTTACTTATGTCGCTCCTGAAGATTTTTCTGGTTTTTCCATTTCTTATGGCTGTCTGATCAATAAGCTATTTCCGAGTTTCAGAGAACCTCGCTTCTTAAATGAGACTAATTGCGAAACCTTTCCTGAATACACGAGTTTTATTAGTGTGAAAATGTAAATGATATTCCTATCAATCGTTTCGCACTTAACTTCAAGGCTTTGGGTATTTTGGAAATGGCCTTTTTGTAGCTCCTTATAGCTTTGTAATTTATTTATTTTTTCCTTCTTCTGATAGGTTCATGCCGTGTACGCTCATCTACTGGAAACTGCTGTGTGTTCCCATTCATTTACAAGGGCAGACGGTACAACCGCTGTACCAGAGTCAACTCCAAACGAGCGTGGTGCGCCAGTACGCCAAATTACGATCACGATAAGCTGTTTGGATACTGCGGAGGAAGAAAACGTAAGGAATTAGTAAATGATATCTTTTTTTACCTTAGATATAATATAAATGAACATTAAACGATTTGTCTCACGATACAGAGTCACTATCAATTATAAACCAGGAAGTTTCGACTGCTATTCCGTTGGCCTCCCAGGACCCCTTAACTCATTATAGTCTATTCGATGGCCAATTTTAGACCCATATTAGACGGTAAAAATAAAAAGACTATTGACCAAAGTTTGCGCAATTTTCTCTTAAAACAGCTGTGCGTCCAATCAGGATTACTACCTCGATAACACGTGAGTAAAATAACTCAATATTAGTGGTCAGGATAACACACTGTAATATACGCTTCGGTCCTACCGTCAATTTACATTGTATTCATGCATTCCTGAAAAAAAATTGCTTGCATTAAAGTTATTTTAGGAAATCTTGCTTTTTGAATTGAAGAGGGCAGTCTTGAAGTTGACTACTGATGACGCCGCGTCAAATTCTTAATGGTATTTTGGACAGAGTTGTTAAAAACAGTACCGAAATTTCTTCTAATAAAAGAATAGGAGTTTTCGTGCATAGCATGGCTGCCCAGTCTGTTTCTGATGTTCTTTGTTAGCTCGCTTTTTTCAGAGCAAATTCTTTGGTGACGACAAAACGAAGAAATACACATCTCTGAGTTCACTTCGAAACAAAAAATTTAACATCACGATCCATGGATCTTTTAGGAGTATACCTATATCTATTTGGTCAAAATGTTGACCATGTTGACATGTTAACTAATGCAATATAGAGAAAGGATTGTCTCGCATCAATTTTTACCCTCAAACGATACCCTTTTAGGCTTGAAATTTACGTTTATTATCGAAACTTCAATAACCTTTTCTTTCGCATGTTTGTCCTTCAGTCCAGAGAATAGGATGTTACAAAGACACCTGGCGCAGAGCCATCCCTATAATTGAAGGCCGAAGCCCGTTCTTAAGAGGAAACTACCAACGAAGAAAATACGCCATTCGAAAATGCGCGTTAGTCGCCATAAAACGTGGCTACTCCTACATGGGAGTCCAACATGGCGGGCAGTGTGCATCCGGGCGTTATGCCTATAAAACATATGCTAAGTATGGCCGGTCAAACAGATGTAGGAATGGAAAAGGAGGAGCTTGGGCTAATGATGTTTACAGGATTTCAGGTGCTTAAACTTTTCAGCCATGATGTTATCGATTACGCTGGTGGTAGGAAACTCAGGCAGCTTCTTATCACCTCCTCTGGAAGTAGAGGCAATCGTTTCACAAGCCATGCTGTTTTTCTTTTCACAGGAAGGTGTAAACAGCGTACTGTTACCGGCAACTGCTGTGTATTCCCGTTCCGGTATGGCGGGCGCATATACAGGTCATGTACAACTCGTGGAAGTCGACTGAGAAGGGCCTGGTGTCCAACCCTCCCAGGCTACCGCAAAGGACAACCTTGGGGTTACTGTAGAGGATATCGAGGTAAGATTTTATCTTGTGAGGTTCGTTTGATTGCTTGTTTGTTTGTTGAGTTATCCAATAGATCGTGTTTAGGTGACTTCCACGGTCACTTTAGCACGCATCGCACGGGCCAGAAATCCAAGCGAAAAAAACTCGGTCCGCAACTTTAAGTATGGAACTCGAACTCAGTTGATAAGAGGTTTTTACATGGAAAGTAACTAAATGAATGTATTCATTTTGCCAACAGTTCCACCAACACGAATCACAAGTGGAGTTGTCAGTAAGTTATGACTGATTATTATTCAAATATTTACTAAATCAACTTCCTCTCGCCGTTCGCTGCTTTCAAATAGAGTTACACAAACAAAAGTGTCGAGTTGAGTGTTTTTATGCATTCAGTCTTCCCTTCTATTCTCTGATCTTAGTTTCGGATTAATAAACTAGTGTCTTAATTCATGCAGGCTTTTTCAGGGGCTAAGTATATTAAGATTTTCAGGGTCTTTGTTAATCAGGTGTACGGTATCTCCCAAATACAACAAAAAGTTGTTTTTTATTCGTGTAGTTTAGTCAAGTTAAGGAAATTCCTAATATATTGAATTAAAGATTTCACGGGGGAAAAATTGGGTATGTCAGTATCCCGCTAACTCCCTCCCCCCTCCCGTCGGTCATGTCCCTCCTCCCCTCTCTTCCCCCCCCCCTTGGTCATGCCCTTCCTCCCCTCTTTCCCCCTCCCCCCCTTGGTCTTGCCCTGTCCTGGTGAGTCTCAGATTAGTTCATTAACCTTTTGTTTTCTTTTATTCCTTGACAACACCTTTCAGTCAAACCGCTTGGATGCTTCAAAGACACTGCTCGGCGAGCTATCCCAGGAGTGGACGGTCGTTACTCGTTAGTGAAAGGTTACTACCGATCACGAAAAGCCGCCATAGAGAAATGCGCTCTTGTTGCTTTGATGCTTCGAGCCAAGGTGTTTGCCGTCCAACATCAGGGATGGTGCGCTACGGGTCGAAGAGCTCATGTGACGTATGGGAGGTACGGACGATCCAATCGGTGTAGGAATGGAAAGGGAGGACCTTGGGCTAATGATGTGTACAGAGTGTACGGTGAGTAATGGGTACTGTTGGATACAATAATTACTGCAAATTGAGTCGTCTTTTTTCTGACCTCAATGGTGTACCCTTCAAAGTAATTTGCGCAATTTATTACAGACGGATGATGGTCCTTTGCTTAGTATACTTTGTGTTCCACATTCTCTCGTCTTCTTTCATTCATCTGACGGTGTGTTTGGTCTACGGGTATTCGTAATTGTTTCGTTACTTTCAAATTAAGAAAAAAATTATTAGAGCGGTAATATTTACGGTTAGGCATTCCATCGAAAAGAGTTACTTCTCTTAGAGATTTTCTGATCTCCTTGTGCAACCTTGTAATGTGTCATTGGACATGAATTAACCATTGTATAATTTTATCTTTCAGGATCCTGTGGAGCAAAGACAACTAAACGTTATTGTTGCTCGCTGCCGTTTATCTACAAAGGTCGTCGCTATAACAGTTGTACAAGAAAAAACCATAATCGTCCATGGTGTGCTTTAACTTCTAACTATGATCGCGACAGGAAATGGGCCAACTGTGCCAGTAAGAATTTTGTTTTCACTTCCGAAAAAAGTGAATTGTAGTTCTGACTATAAGATATTTCTATGATTTTATTTTAATGTTTTCTTATTTTTTTGTAGCACGTAAACCTGTTCGACCAGTGAAACCAATCATTCCGCCCGTGAGAGGTTAGTTGATCGAGTACTTGTGTGTTTTCACGCAGTCTTAAGAGTAGCATATCGCGATGTTTAAAACAGTCGAAACACGTTGTGATTCGTTTTTTCTTCCGTTGTTTCGTCCCTCAACCTGTTTTCTTTTCATTGCAGCCCGTGTCGTTCAAATCACTATTGGATTGAAAGGTATCTCTTTAATGTCGTAATTCGGTTTTCTGAATAGTTAAGACCATTTTTAATGAGAAATACAGACTTTTTCTTCTGGGACACTTTTTTTAATTGAAACTCACTCTGATTCCGTCTAAAAAAATATGTTAATATAACATTTTTACCATTACCTTTCTCCACCGGACACTTTTTACAGTCCTGAAGGAGTCCCTCGACTTAAAGTTCCATTTAACACTAAATATAGCCAGAGTGGGACAAATTTGCCCTCCTCCCCCCCTCCTCGTGGGTTTGATAGACGTCTTAGCCTCTATTTTATTTAAACTGTGTGGATCAATTCTTCGCTTATCCTCTTCAAGTCAAATATAATTTATTACATAGATATTATTTCAGAGTAAGAGGTTTGTTGGACCAGACGAAAACCTAAGGGACAAGTATGAACCAAAAAAAAAAGTTAAGTTACGGATGGAGACTAAAATTAAAGGGATTGCGAACGACCAACTCTTAAAAAATATTCTTATCCACTTCTAGCCATACCTATCGGTTGCTTCAGGGACACTGGTCGCCGAGCGATTCCAACTATGGAAGGGAGGAGCCGTCTCCTTAAAGGACCTTACCGACGAAGAAGATATTCGATTCAAAAATGCGGTGTCGCTGCAGAAAGACGAGGATATAGAGTGTTTGCAATACAGCACCAGGGATGGTGTGCTTCATCTAAATTCGCCTATCGAACCTATGGAAGATACGGAAGATCTAAGAGGTGTAGGAATGGAAAGGGAGGACCATGGGCAAACACTGTTTACGTTCTGAAAGGTAACAGGAACTTTTCTGCCAGTTTGAGTTAACCAAATAGTTTCTGATTAATTTTTCTACTGCTTTGCCGTGAGCTTTGGGGTTCGTATTTGATTTCCAGTTTCATGTCCTCGTCGGGATGTTTTCATCTTAATTCCAAATGAATCCCTCAAGAGTAACTAAAAACGGCTACAACCGCGTGTAATACTCATGACACAACTGCATTAACAAGGAAATCAGCTTTGCTCTAAAATCAACTACGCTGATGTAGGGCGTGGTAGAGAGATGAACTTATTTGTAAAGTTCCTTACGTTGCTAAAAATACTTACAAGGGAGTAGAGAAATGTTTGATATGAATCAACTTAGTATAGTGTTAACCCAGACGTTTCATTAAAAGCCAGTTACCGTTGGTCTACCGCTTCCTAGAAGACCTCTCACTGCTGTCTTGTTTAACCCTTTAACCCTTGAGAGTGATTAACATCTAATTTCTCCATAGAAAATCACCCCTCGATGAAACATTAAGGTCATGAGAATAAAATAAATGATCACCAACTAAAGAAGCTCTTGATTTTTAAACAAATTCTCCTTGTCAGCACCTTAGAAAATGTATAGAGAACAGTATGGAGAATATGCTTACTGATGTTAGGGTGTAAAGGGTTAAACTGCGAGCTGGTTCTCGTGTTGGGTTTCAGCACAGCTGCCTATTACATTATCGGTAGCAGCTCATGCGAAAAATGATTGAAACCGCTGGTCAATTGCCTTTCGAACAACCCGCCGCCGAACAACACATTCATTAGTTTACTCCTGTCTTCCAAGCCAACCGGCAAAATACCAATGACTGATTTAATTATATTATTCCTCTAGGCTCCGCTCGTGCGCGAACAACACGCAACAACGCATGCGTGTTCCCGTTTGTCTACAAAGGTAGAAGGTACACCAGCTGTTCAAGGGTCAACTCAAAACGGCCCTGGTGCGCCATTACTCCTAATTATGACGTGGACAAATTGTGGGGATACTGTCGTGGACGCGGAGGTGAAGACTATGTTTATCTTAAATACCAAAAGGCCCACCGTACAGCTTTTTGTGAAGTTATTGAGCACACCACAGTACTCACTTATCGATGCGCAAGTTATTTTAAAGTTCGTTTACATTTTCTCCTTGTTATTACAAAGTTTTTCTACCTTCTCCGAGAACCTTTTTCTTTTATTTTGTTAATTTATTCAAATTGAAAGGAAAAAAAACTACTCAAAATAAACTTTTTTTTCCGGTTTTATTTCTTTTAGTTCCTGCAATAAAGATCGCTCCATTTATTAGCAGTAAGTATTCCTTGTTTGGTGTGTTTTTGTTTACCTTTTTTTTTTTTGTTTTTTTTTTTACTGCTCATCTTAAATGTTTGGGTGACTTTAGGACATTTTTGTAAAATATGTCATTGACGGGTGCTTTACTAAGTCCGACCCTTCTTGAACGTCTTGTTTTGAAACGCTAGTTTTCTTTCCTCAGTGTGATGAGCTAAATAAGAGAACAAATGAAATAGTTTGCACCAACAAATTTCGAAATTTTCTTTCGTAACTAGCCTCCTTCTTGGCAACTCCTCGGTCTCCATGATCAGTTTTTTCTACTGATATTTTTTCACGGTTCTTCTGCAATTGCAAGAGTACTTTACAAAATGCATCAGATGGGTCATGGCTAATGACATATCATCTTTACACTTGCAGTCCAAAGAATCGGCTGCTTCCGTGATACATCTCACCGAGCTATCAAACCATTGGACGGTAAACTTCTGCTTGTCAGAGGAAATTACCAGAGAAGAAAGAAAGCCATTGCTAAGTGTGCCCTGGCTGCCTCTCGATTTGGTTTTAGGGTGTTTGGAGTCCAACATGGCGGCTGGTGTGCATCTGATCCGCGGGCTTTCAGAACCTACGCCAAGTACGGCCGATCAAACAGGTGCAGGAATGGAAAGGGAGGCCCTTGGGCGAATGATGTTTACAGAATCTCAGGTTTGTTATGTTTCTCTTACCATTTAGTAAGTTTATCATCTAAACGGCATAGCTATCAAAAAAACTGCGTAAAAACTGCGTAAAAACTGCGTAAAAACTGCGTAACAGTCTTTGTATGAAGCATCTCAACGGAGCGGAACCTTAAATCCTCGAATGTGATTGGTTGATCGTGTGCTCGTAACCAATCCACCCTTTACAATACGGATCACGGTCCGGAATTTTTTCCGCGCCATTCGCGCAAAGCGAGTAAAAGCAAAGCAATAGAAAGTTTGTAAGGAATAAGTAATTAACAGGTCATCAATTGATTCTTTATTCTGAGTTGTCGTTATAGTCACATTAATTTTGGTTTGTGAAACTCTAACGAGGTGCACACTACTTGTCTTGTCTAGTGTTATGGCTCAGTTTATTTTCCTACAGTATATTCTACGTAGAGTTTTCTTCTAACACGCCTTTGGACCTGGTGGTTCCTCACTTATCAAAACCTTCTGTTGACTTCGTCATAACTGATAAATTCTCTCATAACCCTTTCTTGTTTCTCATAATTCGGTTATGATATGATTTTGCCTTACTAGGAAAATGTCGTCTTCGCACTACAACTGGCTACTGCTGTGTACCATTCACGTATCGCCGGCGTCGATACAGAGGTTGTGCTACAAACAGTCGTGGCCAAAAGTGGTGCGCGATCACTCCTGACTTTACGACGAACAAACTGTGGGGGTACTGCAGGGGTGGAGCAAGACGTAAGTCAGATCAATTTGCCTCGTAGTTGTTCCTTCTTTCTTCGTTCCTATGTTTCTCTGTTTTTTCAGTTTGTATGTTGTTCTGCTTTATATTTCTCTGCCTGTGTGTCTTGCTGTATCCGTCCTCGTTTCAATCGCTTCATGTTTGTCTGCCCTTCTGGAAGGAAGACACACACTACGTCCTCAGTTACTCACAGTTTGTCTTCATAGTTGACTTCTATCCTTGCCTGCCTGATTTCTGTACATATGGCCTTGTCAGCTTGGCGTCTTATTGTCATAAGTTGGATCTTGACCTTTTTCTATATATTGCATTTGTATAAGTTTTAACAAAAGGTAAATATATTATTATTGTAAATATTATTAAATAAATATTATTGATCTTTTCAGCCAAACCAATAAAGGTGACAACTGGAGTGAGAGGTATGTAATTTTTTTTACTTATTTCTAAAAGAATATTTTAATGACCATGAACAATTCCGTTATTTGATAATCAACACAGCCATCTTTGTAGCAATCTTCCCTATTACGAAATGTTATTAGATTATCTCCTAAAATACCACTTTTTGTGAAAACCGAGAACAAATAGAGAAATCTGATACTCCCGCGTAATGCTTTCATTGTGTTCGGCGACAGTGATCAGTCAGTTAATTTGTAATAAGTATAAAAAGTTTAGAATTGTTAGGGCTAACAAAATTAGAACGAAACATTTGTATTCACTCATCTTGATTCATTCTTAATTGCGAGATCGTTTTAAAATTCATCAGGTTTTGATTTTTAAGTAAACAAATACAAAAGGCGAAGTTTTGACCTTAAAAATATGTTGACATGTATTTTCAGTCAAGTCAAGAGGCTGCTGGCGCGACACTGCTCGTCGAGCTATTCCCGGTATAGACGGCAAAGATATTCTTCTCCGGGATTATTACCGAAGAAGAGCCGACGCCATTGACAAATGTGCTCTGGTTGCCTTGAGGCTTGGTCATGTAGCCTTTGCTGTACAACATCAGGGATGGTGCGCCACAAGTCGAAGAGCTCACTTGACTTACAGGAGGTATGGACGATCCAATCGGTGTAGAAACGGGAAAGGAGGACCTTGGGCCAATGACGTATATTTTATTCGAGGTGAGGCTAAAGAGATTGTCGCTTCGTAATATTCACAATCCTTCTCGGGGCTACTCTCGCCCGGACGATCGGACGATTCGATATGAAAGTAAGATGAGACAAAACAGTGCTTATACCGCCTATTATGGCTCTGTTTCATACAGCTCTCGCTTTGTTTTCGTAGGGAGGTGCCGAAAGAGAACAACCTCTCGCTACTGCTGCAGCTTCCCGTTCATCTATAAAGGCCGCCGTTATAACAGTTGCACGAAAAAGAATCACAATCGTCCATGGTGCTCGCTGACCGGCAACTATGACAGAGACAAGAAATGGGGTAACTGTGCTGGTAAGTTCCAGATCCTTTCACCCCCTAAGAACTTAAGTTCAATTCTCCTTATTATCTGCTATTCGTTTCTTATGTTTTAAGTACTGAGAATTTGATTTTGAATCAAAAAATATTTCTTTGCTGACATTCTGCCATACCACATTTCTCCTGGATATTAATTGACTTTTAAAGGAGATAAATATTGGTCTCGAAAGATTAGAGCTCTCCAAGAAGTTTTTATCATTTCACACTTAAAGTATTTTTTTTGCTTCACAACATATCTTTAGAGTTTAGTTTAATGCTTTTAACGATCTTTTCCTCCATTATTGATCGGGGTGATTTCTGCTACAGCTTTTGTTCAATTTTCTAAAATCGATGTGAAGATTACTCACAATAACAGTTGTGTTAAGAAACGAGAACATAATTCTTTTGATTTATTTTTTCTCAGGACGTCGCCCGGTTAGACCTGTAAAACCGGTTAGACCAATAAGGCCAGGTAAGAATTGTACTCGGAACATCTCTGTGCACCTCACTATCTTTATTTTGTGCAAATATCTTGCAATTCATTCGTCTTATTTTAATTTGTGTCTACAGGAACAGTTGTAAGAATCACCGTTGGATTAGGAGGTTTGTATCCCTCTGAAAATATTTGTAGTAACTAGGTTACTTATTCTTTTGCGCAATGGAAATTGTTCCGTTTAGTGTGAAGCACGCCTGTATGTTTGCTACATGCAAAGCTGACAGAGCATGTCGAGTTCAAAGAAATTTAAAGAAAGTACCATATTTTGAGGAACTGTCCGTGCTTCCTTTGGTTTATGAGCGTGTATTTAGTTGGAGAGACGGAAGTAGGGGGCGCACTCGCCACTCTACTTTTAATTATTTTGTAAGCACCTTGTATGGATGTTTATGACATTACTGTTGTGGAGGGAGTCTATTCTCCAGTCGCGATTTTCCGGCCTCCCTTTTATGAATTCTCTGAATCCGCCTTTGAGATTCCACTTTGACAGTTAGTTGCAGGAGTATAAAAGTATAAAATACTTCATTTTTCATCTTATCCTTCATTTTTCCATGAATTTTTTTACAGCAAAGAACATCGGTTGCTTCAGAGACACAGGCCGACGAGCCATATCTCCACTGGAAGGGAGAAGTCGTCTTCTTAAAGGAAGTTATCGTCGACGGAAGTACGCCATTAGAAAATGTGCTCTGGCTGCACAAAAACGAGGCTTTAGAGTGTTCGCAGTGCAGCATGGGGGATGGTGTGCTGCTTCCAGGACAGGACACTTAACATACAGTAGATACGGAAGATCTAACAGATGTAGGAATGGAAAGGGAGGACCTTGGGCTAATGATGTCTACGTCTTGAAAGGTCAGAGAAAACATTATTTACGGCTTTTTAAGAGAATTCTCGTGGTTCTAAATAGACGTGTCCATTTGGAAGCAGGAACTATTTCGTGACATTGTTCTGTCTGTACCATTCAATCTCCGAAACGTTCACCTTTTTATCTTTCATGCACATCAACAAAAAAGTTGAAGAATCTAGACGCCCCATCTGCAACAATAGTTTTATACATGCTGGCCATTTCGACGCATTTTTTGTTTTGTTCTTGACAAATGCCGCCATAAATTTCCTTAATGTTTCGAAGAATGAGCCCATGAAGTATTTTAGAGAAAGCGGGATATGATTAGCGTACACTACTGAATCTATGCGGCTCAATTCGTCTCAGGCTCCTGCAGAACAAGAACGACCAGCCAGAACTGCTGCGTGTTCCCGTTCATTTACCGCGGCAGGCGTTACAACCGCTGCTCCCAGGTGCGCTCCAGAGGCCGTCCATGGTGCGCCCTCACTCCAAACTATGACGTGGACAAACTGTGGGGATTTTGCGGAGGACGAGGAGGTTAGGGATGTCTTTGTATCGCTCTTGGAGAAAATAAACTTTTTTTTTTGGTCTGCATAGGAAGTCTGTATTTGCTATGCATTAGAAAGCGACAAATATTTGACGTTGATCTGTCTTTTTGATTGCAGTACGCCCTATAAAGGTCACACCCTCAATAAGGAGTAAGTTGTTTTATTTTCTTTATTTAACACTTGTTAAAGATTACGAGCTATATCCTGCTGTTTAAGTATTTTATAGGAAAAGCTTTGTGCTCCCATGGAAATATATATATAACCATGATTATACCTTTGTCGAAATGAATTTCTGATTTTAATCAAAATGATTTTAGCAGATAAAGATACAGAAATTTTACAAAACCTCACGACAAAATCTTCGTATTTCTTGGTAAAGGCTTACTCTAGTATTTTAATTTTATGGTAGAGATTTATTTTTGTAAGGAAGATATTATTCAGTGAATGACAGAGAAACCTTTTTTTTTCTCTTTTCATGCGTGATGCCTTTGCCATTCACTGAATAACATCTTTCTTCACTTGAATCAACAGACTAAAAATTTGCCATCTCCTTTTTTTTAATTATTTAAGGTAAACCTCGTGTTTTTCTCTTTTGTTTTGTTTTTTTTTCTTTTCAGTTCAAAGAATTGGTTGCTATAGAGACACAGCTCGGCGGGCCATACCACAAATGGACGGGAGAAGTCGCCTTTTAAGAGGAAACTATAAACTACGAAGAAATGCCATCAAATTATGCGCCTTGACTGCTGCTAGTCAGCGGTACGCTGTGTTTGGTGTTCAGGACGGTGGATGGTGTGCGTCAGGACCGCAGGCTCATAGAACTTTCGCTCGATATGGAAAATCCAACAGGTGTAGGAATGGCAAGGGGGGGCCTTGGGCCAATGATGTTTACAGAGTATCAGGTAATTGATTTGCACAAGTGGTCAATATATTCACAGGTTTGTTTTGTCTTTGAAGTACATAAAGCGCAGTTCAAATGCAACAAAAACTAAACAAAGGTCCTTCAATGTGTCACTTGCTGTTTTGACCGCATAGTGCCAGTCTCCCTCAGGCAATAAACGTTGACTGGTTAAGCATGAAACGTGATGCACCATTTTGTTTTACTGCACTTGAAAATCTAGAACAACCAACAGATACACGCCTTAATTTTCATTTATTGTGTTTTATTCCTTAGATAGTTTGTTGAATTAGGTTGGTTTGTAAATTCACAAGACATGCTAGAAAGGGTTACACCACTTTAGTAGTCTGATACGCTGCTTTATAATCCTATAACAACTTAGAAACTTGAAGTTCAAACCATTTGAAAAAGCCTGGAATCTCGCTATGGTTTTCTGTATTTTCTATACTTCTTTATTCTAGGAACATGTCGTCACAGAACTACTCGAGGTCACTGCTGCGTTTTTCCGTTTGTATATCGCGGGCGTAGACACTATTCGTGTACCAGACGTGGAAAGACAAGGCCCTGGTGCCCAATCACCTTTGGAGGATATCGAAGGGGAACAGCCTGGGGATACTGCAGAGGAAAAAGATGTGAGAAAACTCACTTGCTCATTTATTGGTTTGAATTTTATTAACACATCGCCCTTCAGGGGCTTAAACATAAATTCTGAGTCTTTCCCTCCTCTGTTTGCCACACAAAATGACGTTTTTAATGCTCATTATTGCACTTCAAATAATTTTGTTTATCTTGGGAGGTCCAGTGTTGTCTCTTTCTCGTGTTTGAGAATTATTAATTTCAGACAACACGTTATATAAGTTCTCTAAAGCGGTCATCGTTTGCCTTCATTTAGTTTCTTTTGACACCAGCTCTTTTCGAGTATAGCCTTAGATCCAAACTCTCCGACCCAAAAGTTATCTCTAACCTTTCGTATTTATCTCAGTCACGCTTACGCTTTATATGTCTTTGACGGTCTGCAGAGGCTCTAGGCTTTTAAATGTACAGTCTAAGTGTATCCAAGGTCTTTCTTTGTTGGCGCTTAAGCCTTTCATAAAGTATTAAGTAGGCGTCGCAAAGTTAAAGATTTTGCATTTTGTTTTGTCGTCAACAGCTCCACCCATACGAATCACTACCGGAGTCAGCGGTAAGCGAGTTTCTTTGTGGGACAGTTCGCTCTTCTGCTTCCCTCTCTGTATAAGAAAATTTAATTTAAATGTATATGCTCTCTTCTTCAGCCAAAGCAATTGGATGTTTCCGTGATACTAGTCGACGTGCCGTTCCACAAGCGGAAGGTCGAGATTCCATTCTCGACGGTTATTACCGCAGAAGAGCAGACGCCATTACGAAATGCGCTTTGGTGGCCATGAGAATGGGCTTCAGTGTGTTCGCTGTACAACATCAGGGATGGTGCGCCACAGGTCGAAGAGCTCAGTTGACGTATAGGAAGTATGGACGATCCAACAGGTGTAGGAATGGAAAGGGAGGACCTTGGGCTAATGATGTTTACTCCGTAAGAGGTAAGTTTTAACGTGTTGAAAACTTGTTCACAGACAGTAAATTACAATTAACCATTTGAACCTTAAGGGTGACTAACATGAAATTTCTCCTCACAATATCACCCCAGGATCACACGTTAAGGTCATGAGAATAAAAGAAACGATCACCAATTAAAGAAGCTCTTGATTGTTAAACAAATTCTCCTCATCAGCACCTTAGGAAATGTATAAAGAACAGTATGGAGAATATGCATACTAATGTTAGGGTGTAAAAGGTTTTGGTGCGGCCTTAACAATAGTTCATTCTACGATCTCTCGCACACCGATACAATGCGCATGCGTTACCACCATGTCGTAGAGAGACTTGTGGCATACTCATGCGCATACTCACTTTTTTATGAAGTACGCGTCTTGTATACCGCCGTGACCAATGATGACAAAATTATTTAAGTAGTTAAAGATAAGGAAAAGAAAATGGTAGATTTGGAAAAAAATTACGTAAGGGTCTGTCCATCTGAATTTTTTTTTTTTGCCAATGTTGTTGGAGTGTGTACCACCAGTCCTTGTTCAAATTTGCCTTCTTTGTCTCTTGTCGGTATTCATTTCTCCCCTACTGTCTGATCTGAAAGTTAACTACTCTGCACAATATCGTGTAGAAGCTGCTTCAAGCACGGTCGCAAATGATGTGATACAGCTTTAACGAGGAATTTGTTGTTGTTATTCTTTTGTTTGTTTGTGTGTTTATTTGCGCTAGTCTATCCTCCTTCGGGCTTCCCGTTACAATTAAGTGGTTATCATAACTGCTTTTTTCCCTTTAATTTTTGATCCCTAAGTGATAAGAATGTAGTTTCTCCTCACTGTATCACCTCTGAATGAAACATTGACGTAACAAGAATGGAGGAAATGATCACTGACTAGAAAAGCTATGGATTTTTTCAACAAATTCTCCTTGTCAACACCTTCGGAAATGTATGGAGAGCAGTATATATTAGGGCGAAAATGTTTAATATTTTTCAGAACTGACATACAGCTGGGGTTTTTCTCTTTCTTTAAAACAGGATATTGCAAGAAACGAACCACAAGCCGACATTGCTGTGTGTTTCCGTTCATTTACAAAGGCCGTCGTTACAACAGCTGCACAAGAACTCGCCACAGCCGTAGATGGTGCGCTATCACACCCAACTATGATCGGGATAGGAAATGGGGCAACTGCGTCAGTAAGTAACTAAAGCTATGTGCTGATTTGAACCAGTATGCTTGTCATACTTGTTATTTTGAATTGATCAGGAACTAGAGGTTGAAAATTCGAAGGTAGACTTTCGTTACGATAGTAGCAAAACTGTTAGATGTAAGTAGACACATGTATCAATTGTATGAATGGTAATTCACTGATAATGATGATCAACTATCAGGCATGAATTAAGAACGAATAATGTATTGGTTTCATCTTATAGTCGTTCAAAACGTAACAACGATACAGTATCACGTTCTTATTTTGGTTTTTCTACAATCGCACACTTTTAGGCTACTCATTATGCTTACTATCCAATACAGAATAGATAGCGAATAGTAAAGCCAATAAGATTGCAAAATTTTCTAAAGGACGCTAATGGATTTACACCGAAACTCTTATATTATTATGACTCGTACACAATATTCCGGACGAAAGGGCGACACTGGCGTAAGTGCGTTCTGTTTTGTACCAACCCGAGTAGCTTTTGGGAACACAAGAATAGAGAAAGAGAAAAAGAGCTGATACATCACTTAAACAGTGAAGTTCCACTTTATCCATCATTCTCGAGTATCTTTTAAGGTAGATTCTTTACAATCGTTTGGTGTTTTTTCGCTTTCAGGGCGAATCAGGCCAGTGCGTCCGAAACCAGTGCGGCCAAAATTACCCGGTGGAAGTGAGTATTCACTCGTGTATTTTTTCAGTCTTCTCCTTTGATGTGATGTGTTTGAAAGCAATGAGATAAAGCAAGGAGTCAATATGAAGCGATGCTTATTTCATGTTTCATATATAACAGGTGTGTCTCACGTCGGTGTTACTGCTGATATTGCTTTCTTGATCGATGGCTCCCGCTATGTCGGTCGCAGAAATTTCCACTTTGAGAAGGCCTTCATCAAGTCGATCGCCCGTCGTTTCACAATCAGTAAGTACCAATCACACGTTGGTGTGGCAACTTACGGAAGCCGGCCACATCTGCGCATGCGTTTGAACCAGTACAACTCGTTAGGTCTGGTACTCAGAGCCTTGAACTACATCCGCTTTCCAAACCAAGTCGGTCGGCGAGTCGATCTCGGATTACAAGCTTGTCTCCGATATTTCTTCGCAAGGAGGCAGATGTTCTCTTTCATCCGAAAGGTCTTGGTGGTGGTAGTCAGCGGCAAGCAGACTGCAAGATCCTCCTACCTCATCAGTAGGCTTCCGTCGCAGTTCAGGCGTTATGGCGTCAAGGTGTTTATCATTGGAGTTGGTTATGTTGATCAGCGATACCTGCGACCCTTTACCTACGGGAGCAGGCACGTGTATATGGTTCGCTCGTACAGCAGCCTGGTCGCTAGAGCGGGTACCATCGCTAAGGCTATACACCTGGAAATGGTATGCTATTCCCTTTGTATCTTAAAATCATTATGCATGTTCCCCTTACTCTGTCTCTGAAATTTTTCTTATGTTACTGACAAGGAAAACTTTTTTGACAGTTAAAAGCTTTTTTAGTCAGCAATTATTTAATTTATCCGCGTGAGCTCAGTGTTTGATGCATGGGTGATACTGTATGGAGAAGTTAGATGTTGAAAACATTGAAGGCTTAAATGTAAAAGTCTGCAAGTTCTTATCTCATTGGTTCATAGTGATTGTCTAATAACCTGTGCTGTGCTTGAAAGAACTGGAAGAAGAGTATTATTTTGGTTCAATTTCAAATTCACCTTTCAACAATGTTCTTGTCGCCCCAAACTAATTCAAAAGTAGCTACATCGATTATCGAATACTTTGTTGGGTAAATAGGAAAAGGTGCCAGTCTGAGTAATCTTCCCTCCTCCTCCTCCTCATCTTTCAATGCCATATTTTTCCTGAGGCTGTCTCACCATTATCTGTCTATTTTCATGAGGGGTGGGGGGAGGGGGATTACACTCGTAAACTGGGGAAATTTGCACGACAACATGGAGTCAGAGATAGATTCCTGAACAGTATCGTAGCTCGAGCGTGCTGTCCATACATGAGCACCTCACTTCTTTTACGTGTTCTTCAATTTAACCTTACACATCGTAGAAAGGTCGCGCTTTCATAATAACATGTAATCTTAACGAGCCAAAATTATCTAAATCGGGTCATCCCAAGAAAGACAACCCAGAAAAGTGACCTTTTCTCTGTTTTCTTTGTCCTAAAAGTAAATGTCGTTGCAATCTGTTTTCTACTAATAGCGTCCTGGACGCGAACGATACCGAGATCTACAGAAGCGGCTCAACTATGAAGCTGGCCGAAACAGCACTGATGTAGAAGGAGAACGATACATTAATGGAAACGGGATGGAAGGCAACGAAGAACCTTACGTAAATGGGACCTCGATGGAAAACAACAGAGAACAATACATAAATGGGTCCAGGATTGAAGACAACAGTGGACAACGAAACGGAACGGAATTTTTAAAAACCTTGTAGATAAACCAAACTAAACGCAGTAGATACGATGGCACTCTATAAAAATATAAAAAACCTTCCTTGTTTAAGTTGCAACTGCACAATCACTGAGGTGTTTTTGGTAGTAATCGTTGCGTTACACAAAACTTTGCGTAACGCAACATTGCATAACTAACTGAGTGTTGTCTGTCAGTTTATATGAGGCAAAGGTGTCTTAATTCAAGATTGTTTACTTTGTTTTCTCTCTGAAAATTGATTCAGATATTCCTTTAGTGAAGGTCTCCTGTTTAAATCAACGCCTACGTTTTTAGTTTAGCAAATGGAATAAAGTGTCATTGATTTTCAATGTCAACAACCCGTGTGCCTTTTCATTTCAAGGGGAGAATTAAAAATTGTTTTTTCTTTGGAAGGGGGGGGTTGATGCCACAAGAAAAGTTGCAATGAAATTGCATCAATGCGCTCTAATTCTTGGTTTATGGCCGTAAGCTTTCCATTGTAAAGAGTATGAGCCCTCATGTGCATTATGGGCACATAATTTTTCTACTTCCATAGCAATGCATGAAACCACTCTACGACGAGACAGCATTAACAAAGTATAAAACATATTTATCACCTTAAATTTATCATCGTTTGCCAGAAATACATAAAAAGAATGATCTCTTCTCAGACAAGGAAAAACGACGTCTTTGCAAAGTTCCAAGGTGAAGAGGCTAATGCAAATCACATTCTCTACGGGTATAACGTTCTTTCGAAGACCTCTCATAGACAGCTCGACTTCGTTTGAATTGATCTCTGTGAATTGAAAGTTATTTTTTTTCTTAGATTTGCTCCTTATTAATGTATTTTAAAAGTTAAAATAATCGAAAAATGTTAACAGCTATATTACAGACTTAATTGATACTTGATATTTAATAGTCCTTTTAAAGAAAAAAAACTGGGGTAAAAGTAACAAAAGTTATCTTAATATCTGGCAGTAGCAGTCATTGTAATATTTCAAGTTAGTTCTTGCAAGTTTCCATCTCCCTGTCGGTATCGCCGGTCATCTGGTAGGCTGGGTTGACATGGCCACATTCCAATGGATCTTGATTATCAGCTTCGGGTACACTGCACAAAGGATTCTGGGGCGTATGCTTGTCATTTTCAGCCATTGCTACCATTTTCCTCTTAGCCGGAGGCTCAGTCAGCTCGTAAGTGACGTTACTCTGGGTGTATGCTTGTCGATGTACTTCAGTATCGTCGTAGACGGGATTCTGGAATGTGTGTCCACTCTTTGATTTCTTAGTGGAATCATCGTTTGATAATCCGAATCGTCTGATTTTCTTGACGCGGTAGTTCACGCCATAGAGCAGCATTCCTTTGGAATCAAACAAGCGAAGAAAGATTCTAGAATGTTACTTACCGGTTAAGTGATTTAGTCTTAAAAGGCCATTTCCGAGATGCTCAAAGCCGTTCCTTTAGAAGTAATGAAAGTTACTCAGCTTACCTGCCAGTAATATGATGGTTACAGCCAAACAAACTCCAAAGGCTATTTTCCATTTGAAGGAAACATCGTGGTAACTCCTAACATTCAGTGTCTTGGGCTCCTCACTACTAATGTCATCTTCATGGGTCGTCAAAGAGGCAGTGGGAGATGGTCTTGATAAAGTTGTGGAGACATTTGACAACTGGGATGTCCTAGCTCCTGGTGTGGTTGTGTCTAGTGTCAGATCTGTTTAACAGAGAAATCGTTGCTTCTTAACAGCAGTAACAGCAAATAAACTCACGAATACGAACGAAAGTCAGCGATACGAAAAGTCCCCCAAGAACACGAAATTAGGATTTGTTTTTCTAAGGCTGTTCTAGGATCTGAATTAGTGGTGGCGAATGAAAAAAGTGAGCAAGTCAAAGCGACAGAGCATTCTCCCTCATTTTCGTCCTCTTTTTGTGGGAACCTCTTCTTCTTTTACCGGCAGGATGTTAGCACGAAAGTCGTGAAAACTGAGAGAAGTGAGGGGCTCTAAGAGCGAGAATTACTTCAAACCACTTTGAAAGTTCCTATGTCGTTTCTCATAATATTCGTTTTAGAAGTAGCTTTCACATTTATAGTGCTAATTCGTGTTCTACCTTCCTTTGTCTTTGCTTACTGTGATTAATTCAATAGAAAAACTAGATGTTTCTTTATGTATACCCCGAAGAAATCAAGTCTAGATGTCATTATCCTAAGCCACTACCCGATGGATCCCTTAATTTAAGAATGCAGCCTCTCACCTTGGCACGAAGAAATATCCTCCAATCCTATACTACCGGAAGTAAAACCTGGGGGACAAGGCACGCATGACGTTTGTCCTTCATCGGGCTGATATGTTCCCACGGGACACGGGAAACAAGCGGGTAACGTCCCGTTTATGTCCCCATATGCTCCAGGTGGACAGTTGACTAAATGGAATACAAGTGAAAATAGTAAGAAATCGTGTCAAAATCTGAAATTTTAAATTAAGATTTCAACTTTTAGAAGATCACTTCAGCACACGACTGTCACGCATTTGATAACAGACCCACGCCATAATATCTCAGGCCCTATCTTGAACCTATTTATTCGGATCTCAGCGCGTCTGCTGGTCACGTTGATACATAGGAACTGTTAAAATGTATTCATCATAGTGTATTCATTGCAAATGGTTACCAGCATAAAGGATGTTGCGTTCTCCGATAGAATCCTATACACTAAAAACAATTAAAGGTTACTCACCGCAAATGAAATTGTTTCCATAGAGTACTGTACCAATGGGGCAGAGAGAGATGTATTTTCCAACACTCCATGAAGTCGGGTCTAGCTTTAACGTAACACTGTTGGCGTCTGAAGTAATTCCACTTATAACAGACTCGTTCACCAGCTTGGCCAAAGCTCTTTCTAACTGCTGTGCGGAATCCATAACACTAACGGCGTTTTCTGACGCGGTTTTGTTCATGGTCTTGGGTTCCGTCATGTTGAAGCTACGCAATCTAAAGGAAACCTTACAGGAGATATTGCCGCTTCTTTGCGAGATCATTTGGCAGTCTTCTACTGAAAGATCCTGAACTGCATCAGAAGGAAGGTCAACCAGGTTGCTTACGATTTGATAAAAGCCCGATTCCACATCCTGTCGAAATTTGACGTTATCACCGATTACGCTGATGCTTTCATTATAGGCCTCTTCAAGGTGTTTTTTCTCACCGGAAATCTGGAGAGACAATCCAAGCGAAGGCACAACCAAAGAAAAGCCGAGAATTCGAAGTCGGATATTGTGAGATATCGTGTAATCAAATGGATTGGACGCGTTACACTTGTAAAAGCCTTCTTTGTTTTTCTCCACGGAGCGAAAGTTCAATACAGAGAAAGTGGCATTGGGAACCAAAGTATAATTTTCTCCACCAAAAGGCTTGTAAATCCATTGATATCGAAGAGGCTTTGACACGCTAGTTGCTGTACACTTCATAAAGAAGCCAGTGTTCAGTGGTACGTTCTTGTTCCTAGGAGGCTGGTACACCAGAGCAGGAGGTGGGTGGATAACTATGTGAGAGGGAGTTGATGGTTCCACACTTAAGTGATTATAAGCCTCACAAGTGTAGTTACCATCGTCGGCTTTTGCCACTTTCTCGATGCGAAACGTATTTGTTTTTCTTCCTGGAATGATCTCGCCATTTTTTCTCCAGCGATAAGTTGGCGCAGGGTCTCCAGTCGCTTTGCAAGACAGCTCGAGCGTTTGCCCTATCTTTAAATTCTTTATTGGCACTGGATGTTGAGTTATATTAGGAGCGACAGCACAGAAGACGTTCGAATCTCGAGTATCTTTCAGCCTTTTCAGAATATTTGAGGCTTTATTCGCCGCTTCAGACACTGACAGATCTTCGTAAGAAAGAAGACTTTTAACTTCTTGGCCGAGGATTGCAATTTGTTGCCGCAGAAGAATTGCTTCAGGAAGATCGATCCCTTGGTAGAGGAAGAGAAAGTTTTCAACAAAGTCCTCCATACAGTCTATGAAACCGCTACATTCTAGTGATGTGCGGTTGAACACAGTCTCCATACTTGCTTCCCAGTCTCTAAACACCATATCTATTGCTGTTTGCACTTTCCTGTGGTTAGTCGCATTTCTAATCTCAATTAAACTTGCTGCGTTTTTCACCTCTTTGTCAGATTCCACCGCATTAATGGAGTCATCAATATCCTTTTCAGAGAGCCCGAACTCAGCAGCTTGAGTCAAATTCAGGGAGGGATTTCGGAATTCTGCATATTTTTCAGAATTGAGGTTTTTTACATTATTAAGGGAACGTAAAGATTTTCTGGAAATGTTATATAGAGTTCCTATGATGTCACTCAGGGCACGGTTGTAATTGGTTACCAAAGCGCATTTTCTCTTGTATTCCACTAATTTCGTCACGTCAGAGCCCGGTTCGTCAATGGCGCGCCTTCTTCTTCCATTGCCCTTCGGATTCTTTAGCTGATTTAATGGATGTCCAGACCGCAGAATGACATTCACATTGCCAAAAAGTTCATTAACGATTTGCTTAGCCGTTCGCTGGAGAGAATCATTCAGGGCTACAAAGTCAATCATGGAATAGATGTTTTTCTCTTTGCTCGCGGAGGCTATTTTAAACAGCACTGGTATTTGAGTTTCAGAGGGAGACGACAAGGTCACATCGAACGAAATTTCGTTTATGTCTAAAGGGCAAGTTTCATTAGTGCTGTTCCAGAGCTGAGTTAACGCAATTGCGTCTTGAATGAAAGCGCGACTCTTTTCATTCGATAAGAACAAAATGTCAGCCCCTTTTAAAATAGCACTGTGTGCTCTTCGAAGAGTGTCACGCTCACCAGATGCAGCTTCCAACTCAAGTTTACGTTTTACAAGCTCAATATGAGCAATGTTGAATACTTCCTTTGCTTGCTGTAACTCCATTAGAGGTTTTAAAATATTTTTTTTTGCGGAATTCAACTTCAACATGGCCTTTTGCCTTGTTACACGACAAAACGCATTCCTTTTCTGGCATTCTAAATCTTTTATTCGTGATGCACAGTTCACCTCTCGGCAGCACGGAGTGGCGATCGTTTCTCTTATGACGTTCACTTCACACGAAGTCTCGCATTGGAACGGTATGTTGATGTACTTATAATTAAATAATTCCTCGGGACAGGGATAAGGTTCCAATTCGCAGTCCCACGAACCCCCACTATTGCATTGTTGCGAAGCCTCATGTATCCCGGTTGCTAAACCTATCCACAAAGCACTACTTCCATCTGGGTCCGAGTTAGTCAGGCCTAAGGTATTACCTACTTCCGCCCCCACCGCTCCTCCTACTCCTGATTTGACACCAGTTTCTGCCGCTTTCTCTGGATCTTTCGATTCTTCGTATTCAAATGCA